TATCTGTCTATCTGTCTATCTGTCTATCTGTCTATCTGCCTATCTGTCTATCTGTCTATCTGTCTATCTGTCTATCTGTCTATCTGTCGATCTGTCGATCTGTCGATCTGTCTATCTGTCTATCTGTCTATCTGTCTATCTGTCTATCTGTCTGACGGTGAAGCAGCCGTGTCCTCAGAACAGAACCCCAAGGGTTTGATTGTTGTGTTTAAAGCAGAAAGTCGGCGATCCAGGCGCAAGACTTGGCGCAAGGCTGATGTCACGGAAAAGAGTGCGGCTCTTAGGTGTTAATGCGATTCGTTCAACACATGCCCTGCTCAGTGTTGCATGCTGGTCCTTTATTTTCTTTGCGAGACCGTCTCATGGCCGTTTGGCCTTTTGCTGAACCTTTATGGTTGAGCTTGGAGGTGCGGCCCCTCGGATGTGAAGCATGTTCATGCATGTTGCCTGTCCTTGCAGGCCTTGAAGGAGAGCCCCACACCACCGAAGCCTAACCGTGCATGCCCGGCAGTAAAGATGACAGTAGAGGCCATGAACGTAGGGCATCTAAGAGATATTCCCGGGTGAGCTTGCCCTGGCAGGTGATGCGTGAGAAACTGCGGGCACGATGCTCAGGGGGGCAGGAACGAAGGGACGGAAGGTATTCTTGTAGGGTGTTTCGGCAGATCCGCTTAGCCTCCAGGCCTTCGAAAATGTCCATCGCAAATTTGACTGTTTGAAAAGCTCTGGGTGGACGTGCCGCGTCCTCAGGATATATGGACTTCATGTTTTTCAAATTTGTCAGAAACCATCGGTGGCCCAGGCTATATTGACCCAAGAACAAACAACTTTTGGTGGCATTGGGCTGATGATCTCTGGGCTTGGGAAGATGCCCTTTTTGACGAGGCGGGCGAAAAACATGACATAAGTTAGCACCTCATGGGAAACGCTGGCATTCCTAGCTCTTGTTGGATCGCAGGAACAATGACGCAGAGGCAGGCGGGTTGATCTTATTGGGCCCGCTTCATCGCGGATAGGCTCAAACTGACCGTCGATCTCCATGAATGCCTGGTGTTGTGTGGTTTTATGTTGCCTGAATGTTCCACGCTTCATTCTGGACGAAAGGCTGCTTTTGCCCACTAAATTTTCCCGACGTGCAGGACTGGTCTCCCATGGCGCTTGTGAGCCTGCGTGCACAGACCGTTGAAAAAAATGTTTCACTGACAGCCAGCCTCAATGGCCTAGTTAGAAAAAAAATGGGTTGGGAGACGCACGATCAATCAGACATCGGTTTTTGAGTTCAATGGTATGCAGTTAGCCAGATGCGATGCATCATCAAGCAGCTGCCGGAGCAAAAGGCACCACGCAGGAAAATGTGAGTTCAGAACTTTTACTGATTGGATGTTTGTTTGCTGGAGTCAGAGGACGGATATGAAATTCAGAATGAGGAGTAAATTCACACTTAAGGACTAGGGGTGTTGCAAAACACAAACCTGGTGTTATCATGCCGTTTGGTGCTTGCATGAATGGTTGCACGGGTCTCTCACATTCCCATTAATTGCGAGAATTGCATTTGTGTGCGTGCAGCGGTGGTTATACGTTTCGATGCTGTATAAGCTCAATTAGTTGGACCCATTGTGCGCGGCACAAGCACCTACAGCAAAGAAGTACGCTGTAGATACAGCGTAGAGATGGCATCAAAGATAGGAGCAACCAGTGGCTATCAATCGCAAGCGCTCCCATGGAAGCCGTGAGCTCTTTCGAGGCCTGGCCTGTGGGCGATCCTGCGGCGGAAGCTGCGGCGCTTCGAGCAGTGCATCCAGCTCGATGGACTCCAATGGGCGACACGCTCGTCATGGTAGACTTGACTGAGCAGATGGTGATGAGCGCTCCTTTTGGAGGCGCCGGGCGCTTTGAGGTGACCATCGTGAGGGCAAGCAGCTTAGTGGATGATCGCGGCTTTAAGACTAGTCAGGTGACAGCCAACTTTCGGGTGATGTCAGCCAGGTGGCAACCTTTGAAATATTTTAGACTCGTCAAGTGACAGTCAATTTTCTTCCGGGTGCAGGACTAGTAGCACTCAGAACGGTGTCAAGTGACGTAGTGCTGAAAAATTCACGCAAGGTGATCTCCTCCAGCTTCGTTTGGGACTCAAACCTGGTGTTGGTCAACTGACTGACTGGATCAGGTCAGTCGCCCTACTTGTCGTCTCCATTCATGTACTTGGGATTGGCAGTAGGGAATCTTTTCATCCAAAGTGACATGTTTTTCATGCGTCTAAACGATCTCTACCAGGTCATTTGGATGAGAGAGAGTCGACAACCGAACGCGATCTTGTGGTTCGGGTCCGAACTGACTTGGAAGCTGGAGAGTGGTTCACGAACGGAGATCGAGTGATTTTCTTTGTAGGAGAAATTGACAACAATTTTTCTTCGAGCTCACTCTTTCCTTTTTCAAGTGGACTCCTGCCTTTTAACTCAACTACTGTATTTCTGTTGACGCGCAATGAACCTTCAAGGACTGAACTACTCTGAGTGGGGCATGAGAGCCCGGTTGAAGCGCAGACTTTCCGAAGAGCAGGATAGGGCTGATGTAGACTCCGTTGACTCTGAAGCTGTCAGACATCCCTTGCCTGACTATTTAGATATATAACGACACAGGGTTTAAACTAAATCCCGATGATTTGAGTCCTTTTCCCGATCTGAACCTAGAAGAGGAAGCGTATCCTGAACCTCCTCTTAGTTTTGCAGCCTAAGGCTGTCCCGGAGTTAGAGCCTGAATCTAGGAGCAACCTCCGTTCCATGATTCTCATGACGCAGGAGCTGACAGCGTTTCAGGCCTTTCCTACCTTTTCGCGCATCTGCATCTGCTTTCTTCTGACTCTTTCTCTTCTACTCTTCTTTCTTCTGATCTTTCTCTTCTCTCTGCCTCTTCCCTGCTCTGCTTTTCATCTGTCCGTATTGTCGGAAGTTTGACTTCTAAACTTCCTCCGATAACTCCAATAACTATAGTGCAGAAGCTGTTTTGGAGAGTGAAACCATTGCCCAGGAGCTCAAAAAAAAATCAAGACACATTGGCCAACGAAGAAGCTGAGCGCAAAGTTGCCGCAGGCATTGTGGAAGAATCATGTTTACACACAAAGTAGATCATGTTTACATTTAGTTCATTGGATTTTACACCAATATGCTGGGACAAATGGTTTCATCACAGTTTAAACTGGTTATCTCAGCTGTACAGAGCATGTTCTTTACATGGGTGGTTCTGAACTGGTGGCTGGAGACTCTGTGCGGTGTCATGCCTTTGTTTTGGGTCCTGGAATGTCCTGGATATATAATTATATATGTATGTATCCTTGGAAGTTATTTTTTTCTCTCCTATCTTGGAAGTTATTTTCTATCCATCCATCCATCCATCCATCTATCCATCTATCCATCTATCTATCCATCTATCTATCCATCTATCTATCTATCTATCCATCTATCTATCCATCTATCTATCTATCTATCCATCTATCTATCTATCGATCTATCTATCTATCTATCCATCTATCTATCTATCTATCTATCTATCTATCTATCTATCTATCTATCTATCTACACATATATGTACATATATGTATACGTATATATATATATATATTTATATTATGACTATGCGGGAAAATGAACGAACATGATAATTAAATAATTTTTTGTGGTACAAGGCAATTGACGTTGCCAGGCCATTCAATGGAATAATGACCTTTGCTGCTCCAAAAGCTGGGATTTGACCAACAAAAACATGCCGATGCCGGTGAGTCGTTTGTTGCAGGGATGCCGGTGGGTGAAAGAACTGGTGGTTGTAAATATCCGACATGCGACGGGGGGTTGGCAGCACTATTTTGAGTGAAATTACGACACCCGCGATGTTACCATAGATGATGGCTAGGTTTATGTGAACTATCGCATTTTGTGGTCTTACATTTCAAACTGATGAATTATGAGAAGATTTATCCAGAGTTTAGAGTGAATTTGATAAAACGAATCAAGTTGGGTAGATGGCCGTTCCGCATGCAGATGACGGAAGAGTTTTGTTTGTTGGTTTTATATGGTTTTATAACCCCAAATGACTATAGTTATATCCCTGGTAAACCCTATAGTCCTTGGAATTATATACCAACGTAGCTATCTTTTGGGGGCTCAATTTTCGTTAACAAGCAATACGTATGTTCATTGATTTGGGGGATATATTTTTGGACAAGGCATTCAATGGGGATGTTTTTGCTAAATAGATATCCCATCATATCCCCACCATGACTACACTCTTTTGTCTGTTTGGTTAAACCATATTAAACATGGTTAAAACCCCATGTGTTGCTGTTGATGACCCATATCATCTATGCCATGGCCAAAACATTCTGATTACTTTCCCATAGGTGACCGCCAGAGTGGGTAATATACTCAATATGCAATCCCATTCATGATGGCGGGATGAACGTACCAGTTCACATGACATTGCATGATCTTGTTGGTTTTGTTGGCGCCACATCCCATGAAACATATCCCTTTCATCCCATTCAAAATACCTTGGTTGATTGATCAATTTCGAGCTGTACTACCAATTTATTTCTATTATGATAACCCATACTCGTAGTCGGGAAATCTAGAAAAACATGAAAAACCAGCTAATATTTCATGAGATGGGAGCACGTGTTTTTTGTAATGGCCCGCGTGAGCCTTGACCATGGCAGCATAGATGTCCTTTTCCCATTGGTTGGTTGATTAATAGAGGGGTTTGAACGTTTACCCCTTTAACAACAGGTTTGTTTGATGATAGATGGGATTAACCAGCTCCCGGCCCAGACCTATTTTTACCCAACAGGTAAATGATGATAGATGGGATTAACCAGCTCCCGGCCCAAACCTATTTTTACCAAAAGGACAATGGTACAGTACCTCCATTTTAGGATCCTGAAATTCCCACTGATATATGGGGATTTCCAAAAATAGATGGAGGATTTCCCATGGTTGCGCATGGCGCAGGTGCACACGGGTTTGCTGATCTACGTTTTGCTGATGATTGGTGTGCTGGGTTCCAATGGATTCGAGCGTGGGACCCTGGAGAAAATGGGTACGGTGGTGCCCCGCTTCGGAACGAAGTTTGGCTTAAACCGGGGTTTACCCTCTGGTAATTTAACATAACTATGGAAAATCACCATGTTTCATAGGAAAATTCACTATAAATGGTGATTTTCCATACTTATGTTAAATTACCAGAGGGTATCTTGACTCTTGACAAAACTGGAAAGATGGGTTGATTCAAACTGATTCCATTGTTGCCGAATCATGTACCACGATGAATCATGTACCGAAGAAGGCGGACACCCACCTTGCACAGTTCAGATCAAGCAAAACAAGGGTCCTAGCGGTCACCTTAGCGAAGAAAATCAAGTTTTGGAACATCATTTTATGTTCAGTTACAACTCAGAGACGACCCAACTTCATCTGGTTGGTGGTTTCAAACATGGCTGGATTATTTTCCATGTCATATATGGGATGTCATCCCAACCCCATTGACTTTCACTAACTCATATTTTTTAAGATGGTTAAAACGCACGCACCACCAACCAGATAGTAGCATCATTTCAACCATAGTTAACTATAAATTGGTTTAGATTCACCCCATGAATACTCTAGTTATTTGCGTGTCATAAACCAAGTTTTTCTGGCTGTCTGGCTGAATGGATCCCCATGGATCAAGTATGGTTTCAATCGGTTTCAATCTGATTTATGGGATATATGGATATATATTTTTAGATAATATATATATATACATAGATTATATTAGATATTATATTATATATCTAGATTATCATATTTTCCAAAAAAAAATCTTCAGCGGAAGTGGGATTCCTGGACCATCTGAGGTTCGGCTTGCTGCTGGTTCCAATTCTGTCGCAGGGCCGCAATTTTCGGCGGCCTTTTTTTTCGGTGGCAGTTTTGGGCATGGCTGGAATAGCGCCTCGTAGTCACAGTATGGTCCCTTTGAAAACTCCTGACTGGAAAGATAAAAGAAAATCGAAGATCTGCTTGCCACTGCTTGCTGCAAGTGGCTGGCATGGCCATGACTAGTTGGTGCTTTCAAACCATTTTTGGGCATGTTCAACCCATTTCAACCCTAGAAATGGGATGATACTCTTGACAATCATTATGGCTCAACCACCAAGTAGATGGCTAGCGAAATCTCCGAACTAGCCATGGAGGTGCTAGTGGGACAACCGTCTAACTAAATGATGGATTTATCTGCAAACTATGTTTATTCTTGGATGTGCATTTCAGTTAGTAAGTGACTAATAGCCCCTTTATATATACATATATGTATACATATATATATATACATATGCATATATATGTATATTCATACATACATTACATTACATTACATTACATTACATTACATTACATTACATACATTACATACACTACATACATACATTACATACATTACATACATTACATACATACATTGCATACATACACTACATACATAACATAACATAACATAACACAACATGACATGACATGACATGACATGACATGACATACATAATACATACATATGTATATGTTTATATATATATATACACACATGTAAAACTGTGAACATTCTATATATATATACATAGGGATATACTGTTTTTTTCTATGGAAATCAGTGGGATGCACGCCCACCAGAGGGCATCTGGGCTGGATGAGGTTCATGGTGAGTTGGTCCTTGCTGAGTTTGGAGAGTTTCCTCTGGCCCTGCCTACCGTTGAATCAGGCGCTCCTTCCATGGGGTCAGGTTCATGGGATAGATATCCCCCAAATGGATATGTTGCTTATGGTGTTTAAACATGCTAAACATGTTTAAGATCATGAGAAGCCAGAAAATTGTTCGTACTTGAAAGTGAAGTGATGACCCTGAGAGACCCTGAGAGACAGATTGCAGTTTCACGCAGCCCAGCCAGACACCCCTGAGTCTTCAGCCTCCGCTTTGGTCGCAATTGGTCACTGCTATGGCCTCCTTTTGGTGTACCCTTTGGTCGACATGCATAAAGGTATGGACATCACCATTTTCAATACCCATAGGATCCATGTATGCTATATATGGTAACATTTACCATCAATATACCCCAAATGTTAGCATATATACCAGCACCATGGATCCTATGGGATAGGTACATCATCTATAAAATGGGCCATGGCTTCCAGTTCGCTATGTCAGTCTACTGGAGAGTATCTCTGTGGGCCATGATTTTTTAGGCTTCAGACACTTCATCATTTTAGGGGTGTCATGTGATGATCGTCTGCGGATGATTGGTTGAATCCGCAATTGATGTGCGAAGTTTTTAACAAAAAACATTAAAAACAAACCAAATGATATAGCAGATCATATAAATCACCAATATTAATAATATTAAAATGTTAATTGTCCCCAAATGATTTAGCAGATTTTTTTTTGGTGATTCAACAAATCATGGCATTTTTGGGTTTTTCGCTATATTGGCTTCACCGCGAGGTGATGGACTTGGACGACAGAGATCCTCCAATGACTGATGCAACAGAAGCGCCTCGCTCGCGTCGATTGACCTTTCTAGGCCTCCAATTTCAGGGGGTTATCCCTAGAACTGGTATGTGTATTGTGGTTATTAAGTTCTAGGGATGATAAATCATGATAAATCCCAATTGGAATTTGGCAAAGAAGTAGTGGTTATTAATGTGTCATTGTTTAGAAACAGATAGCAGTTTGATGTGGTAAAGCAAATAGACCACCCCAAGTCATCACCATTTTTATAGTGTAAAACATTCCCAACTGGTAGGTCTATTAGTGGTTTGAATAGAATTTGGAGGTCTACCCCATTTTCGGGGCTCCATGATGTGGAAAGCACTGGCAGCAACAGTCCAACTTTAGGATCCTGAAAAACCAGAAATTTGATGAGGTGCACCGCAAGAATGGGGCTTTGGTGACCTCCTACCCAGATGTGTTGTTGCTGGTAGCATCATTTTTCTAGTCAGTCCTGAATAAAAATACCGCTTAAGGCAACATGATTTTATCGGGCAAAACTAGAGTCATCCTAGAGACAGAATATCCATGAATATCCATGAATATCCACTAGATTCCTCCAAAATCATTATTTAAATTTGAAGATATTTACTGGTTGGTGCTTTGGAACATGGCTGGATTATTGTTCCATTTCGTTGGGAACAATCATCCCAACTGACCAACTCCATCATTTTTCAGAGGGGTCCAATTTTTGCCGTAACTCCGCGTTGCTGAGTTACCTCCAAGGTTCGATGTTGAAAAAACCCTTGGGGTAGCTGGATTCAATGAGCGCCGCAGCATTTTTTGTCCACCAAAAGTCACATTCGCATTGTATGATACCCGGCCTGGTAAACATACAAAAAAAAATATGGAAAATCGCCAATTTTTATGGTAAATCAACTATAAATGGGTCATTTTCAATAGCTATGTTAAATTACCAGAGGGTAGATGCTGCTTTATTATCTACATAAACCATATATGTATAGTATATACATGGATGAATTCTAACTAACTACAGTTTCTGGTAGATATAAGATGATATGTGGGTTTGTCAGCCAACCTGGTAACCTCTAACTGGGCATTCCCAGACATGCACAAAAAGATGGGCTCGAGCAAACCACCACGGATTTCTATCACAAATCAGCTATTTATCTATCAATTATATAAACAACAATATATATATATATACATATATATATACATATATATATATACATATATTGTGAATTGTACATTGTGGCAAGGTGATTCTCAGTTCTCATGTCTTGGCGATGCAACAGTTGAACCATGCAACTCGTGAAAGTGATGATACCCTTTTCTCAACCGGGCATTTTGCCGTAGCAACATAGGCTCTGGTCCTAACAGGAGACGAGGTGGGTGGGAGTTGCTTGCAGCCATAGCTATTTGCGCAGGGCGCCAATTTGGGTGAGGACATCCAACTGCTTTGGTGTGTGGCTACACCTTCCATTCCAAACTTCAGACTCTCTGGCCGACCGCTTGTAGGGAAAAGAACCGCCTGACTTGGGAGTTGGGCTTTGTGGAAGAGGTTTGAGCTACCAGTGCGTTGTTCGCATTGGTAGCGGAGCCCCGCTGCCGATAAGTGCGGGTGATCCAGGACTTTGACTTCAAGCTGACATCATGTCTGGGGAAGACGGTGTTCCGTCAGCTGGGTCTGAAGCCTCAAGTTTTGTGCCCAATCAGCTATCAGCACTGGTACCTTCCTTTGATCCCTCGAAAGACGATTTGCAGGTATATACTCAGAAAGTTGGTCTGCTGGTAGAAGCTTGGCCAGCTGGCAAATTTACAGAATTGGTAACACGACTGATTTTGAATTGCAGTGGCTCCACCTTTCTGAAACTCCAGTTGCACCAGAAGGAACTGTTGGAGAATGATCGAAAATCTGTGAAACGCCTTGTGGAGATCCTCGGAGGTCATTGGGGCCAATTGGGTCTTGAGAAACGGTATGAATATGCAGAACGTGCGCTGTACAAGTGCATTCAAAAGGCTGATGAGACAGCCGACTCCTTTCTGGCTCGTGCAGATATCATGTGGACCGAGTTGAATAGCCGTGAGCTCAAACTGTCCGACCTTCAGGCCTACGTCACTCTTCGAGGTTCGACGTTGTCGTCTGAGGACAAGAAAAGGGTTTTGGTCGATGCAGATGCAGCCGGATCCGGTGAACTATCTGTACAGAAAGTGAGTAGTGCCATCCGCATGCTTGGAGCAGGATTCTTTCAAGATGTGACCGGAATGAAACCCACCAAGTTGAAAACATATGATCAAGCCACCCTGGTATCTGAGGCCATAGGTGATGATGATGATGATGGGAACCCTGAAATCTATGCTGCCGAAGGTGAAATGGAATGTGAGGATGAACTGTTTGAAATCTTGTTGAGTGAAGGTGACACTGATGCCACTTTTATTTGCGATTTCGAAAACGCAGCATCCGAGGTAATTCAGGGTGATGAAGAGCTAGCAGCAGCATACAACACGTACACTGAGGCAAGAAAGCGCCTCAGTGAAAAAGTCCGCTTCCGTGGATTCTGGCCAGTATCTCAAGGAGGAAAGGCCAAAGGCCACTCCAAGGGACGCGTCAAAGGCAAGTTCCAGAAGGGACACAGCTCTTCGAGGAAGTCACTTGAACAAAGAATCCTGACATCTAGGTGTAGGATATGCAACAAGGTAGGGCATTGGAAAGCTGAGTGCCCGGAGAAGCCGAGATCCATCCAATCCAGTGCCGCTGCACCCACATCCTTTGTGAGTTCCGACGCAGCCTTGCCGATGGAGTTTCTGCAGATCCCTGAAGACCGTTCAGGGCCCATAGATGAACCTCAGGTTGAAGCGAGTTTTTTGTCTTTTACTGGTTCTCAGGATTTCAAGGGGAGATTAAGGGTATCCCTTAATAATGTGTGGGAACGAAATCCTAAGTTCAAGTTCCAGCGGTCCTCAATGCCGAGGATTGAGCCAACCTGTGAAGGTGCAGTTGAGCCTTTGTCTGAGAGTCATGCCCTGTTTGCCACGCATGGTAGCTTGGGGGTTGTTGATCTAGGTGCAACAAAGACAGTGATCGGTAGTGAGTTGGTGGTTGATTTAATCCAAAGCCTGCATCCGAACATCCGTAGCCAGTTGTCCCGTTGTCCCTGTCATGTCACTTTTCGTTTTGGTAATCATGGCACCTTGAAAAGCACCCAAGCTTTGGTAGTTCCGCTGCAAGACATGTTGCTGAAGATCGCAATTGTCCCTGGGTCAACGCCGTTTTTGATCTCCAATACATTGTTGCGAGCCTTTCATGCTGTGATTGATGTTGAAAGACATGTCATGTGGTCGAAGAAGTTTCATCGAGAATTTCCACTGCAGTTGACGCCCAAGGGACTCTTTTTGGTAGATTTGAATGACCTGGCAGCCTTGCCGGCCAATGCATCGGCAATTCAGCCTCATGCCGAAACTCACATGGCCGAAATCAGCCTGCCAAAATCTATGTCCGTGTCAGCCGCAGAGGGTAACATAGATGAAGTTTCCTCTCAAAAGGATAAGTTCGTCTCACAAGTGTCCATGCATGAACATGACATGAAAGACAGCATGCCAGTGATGACATCCGAGATTTCGGAGCCGAAATCATCACATTCCGTCCAAACAGTATCAGCTCAAGTGCCTTGCGATTTGCCTGAACGTGCCTTTCCTGACGGATCCGTTGCCCATGACGTCGTTGCTCGAACGTCTCCAGAAGATTCAAGCTCAGAAGGTCGAGGAACTTCCCGATCTCAGCCAGTACTCACTGGAACAGCTGAACATGATGAAGGTGGATTTTGGCACCAAGTATCGGGGCCGGCAGTTCCAGGAAGTGTGGGAAACCGATCAACAGTGGATCAACTGGTTTCTCAAACACTACCAGGACAGCAGAAAAGGCTCACACCGTCTGATGATTCACTACATCGGGCTCAAGATCGAGCGTGCAGAACTCGAAGGAAGTGTGGTAACCGTGACAGAGCCACAGCCCCAGCCTTCCAAGACCTCTGCACTCAAGGGGAATGGGAAGCCATTGAACCCAAGCTGGTCTCCAAAGCCCAAGGTCATGCCAGCCAAAGAGTTACGAGTCTACCTGGAACCCGAAGAACAGTCAGTGTGGGACTTGGACGAGATGGAATCGGAGATGCCGATCGAAGTTCCAGTCGATGTCTCTCATCTGGAGCAGCGCATGCTGCACATGGAGAATGCCATCCAGACCATCCTGCAGGCCGTCGAGCAGATGTCAATGAGCCAGGGTTCTCAGAGTCATGCCGGGATCATCGAACAGTAGATTTTGAAGCAGCCGAGATGATGGGTTTTCTTGCAGCTGGAGAGACATGGAGTAACAACCAACATGTGGATGATCTAACAACTCACAGTTGTGCTGAGCGTAAGAAGTTTCTTCAACTGATTGAATTGTACTCCCAAGAATTTGATAGCTGCAATCGAGAATCCAAGCCAACTTTTGGCAGCCGCGGCAGACTCACACTTTTGGAAGTCTTTTGTGGCCCAGAGAGCCGACTCACCCACCAGGTGCAACAGTTAGGTTTTCAAGCGCAGCGTCTTGGTTTAGCTCAATGTGACTTGCAATCTCGTGAGGGTCGTTTGCTGTTGTTTCAAACTTTGCTTTCCAAGAATCCGGAACATGTATGGTTTTCACCTTCTTGTGGGCCGTGGTCGGGTTGGTCAACCTTGAATGGCAGTCGATCACTCCAGTCATGGGACAAGTTGCAACAACTGAGACTTCAGCATTTGGAACAGATTGCTTTAGGGATTGTTATCATGCGATATCAAAGATCATGCCATCGTCACATGCACTGGGAACAATCACGTGCCTCACTGATGTTCAAATTGCCATACCTTCAAGAAGTTCACCAGGTGACTCAAGCAACAGATTTTGATATGTGCACTGCTGGTTCTTTGCAAGACCCTGAGAGTGGCAAATTTATCAAGAAGGGTATGACCGTGCTTTCGACTTCAAGTCGTGTTGCTGAGAGTTTGCGCAATAAGAAATGTTGTGGCAATCATGAACATCAGGTGATCGAAGGTTCCACGGTTGTCCATGGAATGCGAATGAACAGGTCCACATTCTCAGAATCATATCCTCGAAAATTTGCACGTGACATGGCCAAAGTTTTGTGTAAGATAACTTTTCCAAGAGAGAAACCATGTGACCCAGTCATGTTCATGAGTGAATCACCCACTTTGGTGAATGAACCTGCGCTGAAGCGACGGAGACTTGTCATGACTGCAAAGCCGAAACTGTCCAGGTCGACGGAGATGACCTCATCCCTGCAGGTTAAACGGAGAAAGCTCAATGGAAAGCAATCTCCTTTGAACGCTCTGGATGCTTGGACCAAGGTGTTTGATCTCGTAGATCCCCTGCTGGCACGGGTAGGTAAACGTACCATTGATGACCCCACAATTTTGCAAAATGTCCAGGAACTCTTACCTGACAAACAAGTAAAATTCGTCATTGCTTGCAGAGGCTCGAATCGAACAATTGTGCCACCTGAAGATGTTGTTGCCAGCGAAGCTCCCTTTAGGAAGTGTGCCTATCTCAAAAGAGGAACAACTCAAATTTTTGTTGAAGATGATTGGGAGAACTGGGAGCAATTATCCAAGCGCCAGAAAGTTCGACCTTCCCATGCCTGCCGAATCAATATAACGGTATTTGCAGCAAACACTGGAGAAAGTCGAGAACCTGCCACTGTAGAGATGCCTGTCCCTGCGGTCTCCTCTCCAAGCATTTTGCCGGAGAATGTTCCTGTGCACCCAGATGAGCCTGACAGAGTTGAACATGAACATCCCAAAGAGTCAATTTCACCCTCAACTGCCATAACCCCACAAGAAATTAACTATAATCCTCCCTGTGATAACCTCCCTAAAACCGAAGATAACCAGGAATACCCAAAGCATTCCATCTCCAGTAAACTTGAAAGTCATGAATCACTCAAAGTCCTGTCCAAAGAAGATCGAAATATCCTGAACAAAATCCATAAGAATCTGGGGCATCCAAGTGCTGAGAGAATGAGTACAATCATGTTGCAACAAGGTTACCGACCAGAAATGGTTAAAGCCGCCAGGAACTTTCAATGTGACATTTGCACTCAGAATTCCATGCCAAAACATGCTCGGCCCAGTTCTTTGCGTGATGACATAGATTTCAACGACAGGATTTCAATTGATGGACTCGTGTGGACAAACATTCATGGAAAAACCTTTCATATGTATCATGTACTTGATTGGGGAACCAATTTCCATATGGCCACAATTGCCCCTTCCAAATCAACCGAAGATGTGATTCAAGCCATGCTCACCATGTGGTTGTCTTGGGCGGGAATCCCTGGAGAACTCCTTGTTGATGCGGCCTCAGAACTGAACAGTGAAGGTTTCATGCATTTCCTTCAGAGCCATAACATACGAGCCACGACCATCAGCCCTGAAGCCCATTTCCAAAATGGTAGATCCGAAAGACATGGGGCCATTTTACAGCACATGCTCACAAAGTTCAATGCAGAACACAACATAGATAGCTATGCAGATCTACAAAAGGCACTCTGGTGGTGCACTCAAGCCAAAAATGCCAGCAGCTTGAAGGGTGGTTTTGCACCAGAGGTACTTGTTTTGGGCAAACATAGTCGTCTTCCTGGTTCTGTTAGCAGTGACATGTTGTTGCCGGCACACATGTTGGCAGAGTCTGATCATGCGCAGGGAATCAAATTCCGCGCCCAACTTGCCTATCGTGAAACGGCAAGACGAGCCTTTCACAGTGCCGATAATGACTCTGTCCTGAGAAGAGCCATGTTGCGTAGATCAAACCCATTTCGGGGACGATATCAGCCTGGTGAATGGATAATGGCCTGGAAGGAAGGAAATGGTCAACAGCCAGGATTTTGGCAAGGTCCCATGAAGGTAGTTGTCCATGAGAATCAACAAACCATTTGGGTGACCATGTCCAGCAAGCTGTTTAGATGTGCACCCGAGCACGTTCGACCAGTGACTGCCGAAGAAGCCAAAGCCATTGTCCAGAGACCAAATGAGCCTGGAATATCCGAGATTGCCAGACAACTACCAGCTGAGACTTCCGGGGTCATGACCAGATTTGTAAACTTGGGCAACCAAAGTACCCCTGAAAGCTTTCCCATTGACGATATCCCCAACAACAATCCACCAACTGTCAATAATAACATACCTCTATCCAACAGTTCCAATACTGATGAACAACCTGATGATGAACCTGCAATACCATCCACACCACCGGCAGAAAGCGTGGAACCAACCGTGCCTGAAGAGATCCCAATACCTGATGATGATGATGATGATGATGATGATGATGATGATTTGGTTTGCGAAGGGCTTTACTGTCATGATGCGGATGATCTTGCCCTGGATGAGCTGGAAGAAAATGTTGGCTGGCGTAGTGAGATTTTTGTCACCGATGCTGACATTCAGGCGTGGCGACAATCCGACAATCCCGAAGACTTGGCTTTTCTGGCTTCAGCTGCAAAGAAACAGCGTGCTGAGGTTCGTCTGTCAGAACTGACAGTGTCTGAAAGAGCTGAATTTGTCAAGGCCAAAGAGGCCGAAGTTTCCAATTGGTTGCAAACGGGAACGGTACAACGTATGTTCCGGAACCAAATTGATCCAGAACAAATTTTGAGATGTCGTTGGGTTCTCACCTGGAAACCCATTGAAGTGGAAGATCGCGATCCTGAACATCCACAGAAACACCGCAAGGCAAAGGCGCGATTGGTGGTACTGGGATATTTGGATCCTAAGATTACCGAGATTCCAAGGGATTCACCAACACTCAACCGACATTCAAAGATGCTGTTACTACAATTGATCGCCTCCAAATCATGGATACTCAGATCCTTCGATGTGAAAGCTGCTTTTCTTCAAGGAAGGCCCCAAAAGGATCGTGTGATTGGTTTGGAACCTGTGCCGGAACTAGCAACTAAGATGGAACTCCGACCAGAGGAGATTTGTCGACTAGCCAAGAGCGCCTACGGTCTCATAGATGCGCCTTGTCTCTGGTTTCAAGCTCTGCGAGAAGAGTTACTAAAACTTGAGTTCGAACAATCACCATTTTGCCCCTGCACCTTCATTCTCAGATGCCCGAAGACACAACAACCTGATGGAATAATTGGCATACATGTTGATGATGGCTTATGCGGTGGTAATGAGAGATTTCTTTCGAAACTTGCCGAGCTCGAGAAGAAGTATCCTTTTGGTTCACACAAAACAGGTCAGTTCACCTTCACAGGTATAGAGATGTTTCAGCACCCAAACAAAGGGATTACTCTCTCACAAGGTGAATATGTCAAAAGAATTGAACCAATCCGGATCAAACCAGATCGCAGAAAAATGGAATCCGAGCCAGTGACAGCAGAAGAACGTTTGGCGCTTCGTGGGCTCATAGGGAGTTTGCAATATGCTTCTGTGCATACCCGTCCAGATCTTGCAAGTCGTCTCAGTTTCCTACAATCCGATATCAACAAAGCAACTATCAATACACTGATTGACGCCAATAAAACACTTCATGAAGCCAAAAGACATGCTAACGTTTCCATCACCATCAATCCTATCAACTGTGCAGATCTGAGATTTTTAGCATTTTCGGACGCATCGTTCTCCTCGAAGAAGAATCCGGACTCTCACACTGGCAGTATCATCATGAGTACTCACAAGGAAATTGGGGATAACGTTACTTGTATGGTTAATCCAATATCCTGGGGTTGCAAAAAGATACAACGTGTTGTGACCAGTACGTTAGCGGCAGAGACTGTTTCCTTTAGCTCAGTTCTCGATCAACTTTCCTGGGTTCGGCTTTGTTGGGCGTGGTTATTGAACTCCAAGGTGCATTGGCAGACTCCCGAAGCGGCTTTGCAGAAACTTCCAGTTTCTTATTCCACAGCTACAGTCAAGGCACAGAGGTTATCTGAGGACACCATTGCCACTGATTGTAAGAGCTTGTATGATCTTATTACACGCACAGCCCCTCCAGCGTGTAGTGAATTCAGGACTCAATTGAATGCCAGAAAGATTAAAGAAATGATAGCCGAAGGAGTCAGTGTTCGTTGGGTTCATTCCGGTGCTCAATTGGCCGACAGTTTGACGAAGATAATGGATACCAGTTTCCTTCGAGAAACCCTCATGCAAGGAAAATATCGACTGAATGATGAATTGGAAATTTTGAAGGCTAGATCCGATTCGCGGACTCGACTGAAGTGGCTTCGCAACAACTGTCATAGTGATGCAGATCCCTCTCAATCACCTTGCTGATTTTTTTTTTGTTTGGATTTTTGGGAGTGTGAATTGTACATTGTGGCAAGGTGATTCTCAGTTCTCATGTCTTGGCGATGCAACAGTTGAACCATGCAACTCGTGAAAGTGATGATACCCTTTTCTCAACCGGGCATTTTGCCGTAGCAACATAGGCTCTGGTCCTAACAGGAGACGAGGTGGGTGGGAGTTGCTTGCAGCCATAGCTATTTGCGCAGGGCGCCAATTTGGGTGAGGACATCCAACTGCTTTGGTGTGTGGCTACACCTTCCATTCCAAACTTCAGATTCTCTGGCCGACCGCTTGTGGGGAAAAGAACCGCCTGACTTGGGAGTTGGGCTTTGTGGAAGAGGTTTGAGCTACCAGTGCGTTGTTCGCAATATATATATATCTGTATATGAATACAAGTCCCATTTAATCATAGTCATATTAAATACCTATATGTTTCTAGGTTAGCATGTTTCGCCATCTTTCCTCTGGTGTCGCTATGAACCATTTCGTCAGGTCTATGAGCAATTGGAGTGCCGAGAAGAGATCGTGCAGATCGTGCCACAGATCGTGGTGTCCAGGTGCGGTTTAATCAATGGCCGTTGCAGGGATAAGGGCGTAGTTTCAGGGAAAATTCCGCAACAAAATATGGCCTAAAATAAGGTACCAGGTACAAAATCGCTCCGTTTTCAGGCCCTGAAATTCTTCCCATTGAAGCAAACTCAAAAGTGGGATTCAATAAAGTACAAGATTTCAAGATGGTTTACCTGAAAATATAATAAAATATATAGCTTTTTTGCAGCCATGGCAGCTATTCTTGTCAAACTTCGAGGCCTAGGGAGCAGCCAGAACCAATTGACCCATCCCCAAACGTGATGTTGTTTCTAGGGTGCTGCAACTGTTTCAACGAGATGCAATTTGATGCCCCCGGGAAAAAAAAACAATGTTACAAGTTGATAAATCTATCCACCCAATCGTTGGCCCGTATATGTTAATGCAACCAGGCGATATGATGTTATTGCGGGTTCTCTAAATATAGGCCCGGTACAATCACCATTGTTTGATATAAACAAGCAAATATTCTCACTATATCTTATACACCGGCACTTGATATTTGTCTACGAATATTTATCATTAAGATCATATGTTGTATACTTTTGGTCATGTATATATATACATAATCATGTAATTATATATAATTACATATATATATATATGTAATTGTATATACATAGATACTTAAGTTATATATAGATATACAATTGTAAGATACACTCAGAAACCAGCTGCCACCCCCTTCCAGCATCCTCCAAGTTCGCCACGCCTAGGGCTTCGCTGACCGAAGCTGCCGTGGCTGCTGCCGCACCAACGGTTGCGCCGCCTGCGATGCCTGCGATGCCACCGGCGGCGGCGACGTCGACGACGACGACGGCGGCGGCGACGAGGGGTGGAGGTGCGAGGTGGGGATGGAGGTACCTGGCGAAAATGGTGGGAAATCATCTTTAAATCATCTGGTTATTTAACCTAGCCATGGTATAGATGGCCCATAAAAATAGATGGTTTACCTAGCTATAAAATGGTGATTTTCCATGGCTATGTTAGTCACAACCAGATGGTAAATAATCTTGAAATGGTGGTTTTAAGTTTAAGGTTCTATTGAATGATAATCATCTTTAAATGGTGTGTGTGTGTGTTTTTTTGAAGGATGTGTTTTAATGGTAGATGATATAACCAACAAGAATCAACAATATGATTTATATCGGGATGGATGAACACTCATTATATATACCATATTTGGGGGAAACAACATCTACCTGCCAGCTATTCCGACGTGAACAGAAGTTTTGATCCATACCCATATATTAGTTTGTCTGAAACTGCTGGATGCTAATTTTTGTTGAAGGGGGGAATATGTCTGAAACTGCTGGATGCTAATTTTTGTTGAAGGGGGGAATATGATGCTCAACCAGTGAATTTGGGGATGCTCTAGTTTCAGACAAATCCATAGTGAGAGCACTAAGGAGGCAGGAACGATTACCCTCTGTCAATCAAACATGGGAACGGAAAATCATCCATTGATGAGTTTCCAATTAAGACACCATTTGTGGAGGATTTTCAACTGCTCCGTTTGATTACCAAAGAATCATATCTGGACTAAACGGTCCAAGAGCCCAACTAACCATAGCCAAGTTTGATGACACCGTTTTGGGTAATATTTATTTTGGTGCCATGAGTCAGAAGTGATGATAACAATTGATAGTATATGTTTATCTTAATGATTCCAAGCCACCAAACTAGTCAACTTACAATGGTCCAACCCCGTCTTTCGCCATCATCGCCATGCTGAACGCAGGCAAAGCCCCAGAGGAGACAGGGACCGCAAGTCAGGCGCCAGAAAAGTTGGTGAGGCCCCCTTATTTTTTTGTGTACTATATTGGGTTTAACAGTAATTTCTAATAGTTAGTTACCCCATAATGAAATTCCTAGAATAATTACATCCAATAATTATTCCAATTAGCTACCCAATAATTATTAGAAAGGATTAGTTGCCCAGTAGTTCTTAATAATTATATAGTTACCCAAGAATTATCAATCTATTGGGTTATGACTATAAGTTGGTTCGTAGACCCATGAATACTATTAGACTATAGATATATCTAGCGCAAACATCCATAAACCATAGTTACTATAGTTCTAAAGCAACTTAGCTATGTTATTAACGATCTCACCTTGTATGGGGGACCAGCTTTCGTTCCATGCCAAGTTTCTAAGTGAAATCTATTGATGCTAAAAAAACAATGGTTTCAGGATCCTAAAATGGAGGTACTGTACCATATAAGGCCATATTTTGTGGGGATATGCCCTTACATAGGCCTGAAAAATAGGCCACACATATATGGAATCGGTACCTCCAATCAATCGGTTCCTGTTGCATGGCCATTGAAAAAAACTAAGGTTTTCAGTTTCCAGTCAGGTTTTGGTAGCTCTTCCATGCTATTCGCCATGGGGCTTCAGCCGAGTTTCCAGCCAAGTTTCCGTGGATTTTTCCAACAAAACCCATCTGCTTGTGGGCTGGGTCTGTTAGCAACTGTTAGCATACTGAAGATGACTCATCTAAGACGTTTTGCCTGCGTGGTTGGTGCTTGTAAAAATGTCCTGCTTTTCTCATCCTATTTCTTAGGATGCCTGAGTTGGCTACAAAGAAGTTTGTCAAAGAAAACGGTGCAAGCCATGTCGCAGAAATTTCACACATAGTTGTTTCTATATTATATACAATACAGGATCCACGTACCAAATTCTTCAAAGTGACCCTTTTGAGGTGGTTAGTGACCTTTTTTGGGGTTATGTGACCTGGAATTGGTGCTTGAAAAGGTCACTTTGACAGAACCAGTTGTGACTTTAGACATAATTACCCAGTATGTGGGTGAATCTTTGGTTGAAATGCCATGTTTCTCGTTGTCGCGCAAGGAAGCCGAAGACCTGGAGTTCTGAGTGCAGAAAAAAATTGCTTGAGTTCTGAGCGGGAGATCATGGGTGCCAGCATTGGGGGAATAAAAATCTGGTGATCATGAGTTATCATGAATTATCCAGATTTAGGAGGTTTCCTAAAATGGCAGACCCTGGAATCATCCAATTTGTTGACAACTCTTGATGTGCATTTGGTTTGCTCTGTCCACCCTGTTTTTCCTCAGTATCAGAAAATATAGAAAATATTGATGATACACAATTTGAAATTGGATAGCATTGGATATCCATGTCATATTCTCAGGATTTTTCAGCATAGTATATCACTTGTGTCAATTTGATCAATGACCTCAGTCAAAGACTTCACGCGAGCAGTGGTTGACGTGCTTGGCTGGTGATTGGATGGAGTACGAGTAGAAGTAATCCGACAATAGAGTTTCATAACATTCAGGTGACGAAACGAGTTGGAATTCTGTATTCTACTGCATCTTGGTCAGATTCGGGGGAACCATGATTCATCCCGCTCGAGCGTGCTTCAAGTCAGCTTGCTGGATGTTTTACAACACAGCTTGGTCAGAACCTTCCATTTTGATCATTTTGTGTATCCATTCGGTATGTTTACATATGTAGGTTTCCTGCAATGGGGGTACCCCAAAATGGATGGTTGTCTAAAAATAATGGTAAATCCTATTAAAATGGATGATTTGGGGGTACCCCCATTTTCGAGAACCTGCATATCACCATTCATACCCCAAACATCCCCCAAAGATGGGTATCTGGTTGGTGCTTTGGAACATTTCTTATTGTTCCATTCAGTTGGGAATAATAATCCCAACTGACGAACTCCATCATTTTTCAGAGGGGTGGCTCAAAACCACCAACCAGTTATATAGTTATTAACCATCATTAACCATATAATAACCATATATTAACAATTATTAACAGTATATAACCACCAACCATTAAACATGCTTCCTGACCACACTCCCTGTCCTTGTCCTTGATGACTCTCGCAGGTTTTTTTGTTGTCCATCTCAGGTGCGACAAGTTCCCACCTGGGATTTCGAGAGTGCGAACCATGGGGCTGGATCATTGAAAATATTGTCTGGAAGATATTATGGTTTATATAGGAAAATGTGAATGTGTCGGTATTAATCAACATGTATCCAAACCATATATATATACGTGTATATATATATATAATTGTATATATATATATAATGGTATATATATATATAATTTGATCATGATTGTGATAAATGTTTGTAAATATTGCAGCACGAAGGAGCATTTAGGCTAGGAGACTTCAAAAATTGTATCAGCATGGTAACATGGTCATGTTGAAATGTTGGACTAAGCATTTGATTCCGCCTGACCCAAATGGATTTGAAACATGACCTGTTTTTGTTATCAAAAATGACCATTTTGTGGATTTCATGCTAAACCTAAATGATCTCAATGAGGCTAGATGTTTGCAGCGCATTTGCGGGAATCCATCTTTGGTTTGGGGATGTTGTGTGGAGAGTTGTGGTGTAATGTTTCTCATTTCATGGATCAAGACCTTTCTTGGTAGGAAGACCTTGTGTCCACGTTGATTTTCTGGTTGGCAAACCAGGTTTGGCAAAGCAGAGGTTGGTACCCCCTGGTAGACTAACATAACTATGGAAAACCGGACCATCTATAGATCAATTCGAAAAATGCTGATTTTCCATAGCTTATTGTTATATAAATTACCAGAGGGTACTGTAAATGTCCTATCTTGAAGGCTTTAAATTGTTGATATTACTAGTAGCGCTTTCAAGGGCGAGATGATGTCGGCTGATGTTCGGCCCATGTTCCGTGCAGCCCTGTTTTTTGTCCAGACTTTCTGGGATGCCATGAAACCACCATGACCTCTCAAGAAAGGGTCAAAAATCAAGGGACAAGCCTCCATGTATACAATGCAACTTGAATCAACATTATTTTGAAGATTGTTATTGTTTCAGGATTAGCCGCAGCAACGCGTTTTGCCGAGTTTCGTGGAAGATAAGCAACGCCGAAATACAGCTACCATCATAGAGCTTGATTTGTTCAACGACATGACTCGACTCCATACAGACATTTCCTACTTGAAATCCAATCAACCGATTGCATTTATCCTCCGGTAAACAAACATAGCTATTGAAAATGGCCATAGAAATAGTTGATTTGCCCATTAAAAATGGTGATGTTCCATAGTTCTGTCGGTTTACCAGAGGGTAATAAAACAGAACATGTCTTCCAGAAACACACATTTTTTGGCTTCTGCCGGGTAACGAAGGTATAAAGCAACAAAAATCATGGCCTGGGTCACAATCTGAGGTACCCTCTAAGCCTCTAAGCTCTGGCCTTGAAATTAAGACCCATCCGATACGGTACCAGCATGGTGAGAGCCCTCACAACATGGCGTACGAAGAGGAAGATGTGGTGCCTCGTTGTTCATTACGCGCTGGGTTTTTGGTCAATAGCTGCAGCAGTGGCCAAACATGTCCCAAAGAGTGTGGACCAAACATGTGGGTTGGGATCAAAGCACTGAACGGATCCTCACAGCATATTACACCCAGAATCAAATATCAATTTTCGGGAGTACCTTATTTTGACCGAGACGCATAAACGTCATACTATAGTTACTAGATGGTTTGAAACGAAACTTTCACATACTGTATTTTCACTACAATGACAAGGCATGGCTAAGCGACGCATAGCGACGCCTATGATGCTTGCTCACGAGCCGTGGAGGCACAGCCAAAAGGCACCCTCCGCCATCCAAAGACGGCGCGCGTCAGCGCAGAGGATGGTAGTTCGACCTTTGGAGATGTGGCGTTTTTTGAGATCTTCGCAAAGGGAAATTCGGACATCTTTGGACTTCAGGGACCCAGACTTGTTGAGAGGGGCCTGCCAATGCTATATAATTATATAATATTATATATATATATATGTGCATGTGATTATATATGTATTTGTGTATGTATATATGTATATGTAATTATATAATTATATATATACATATATATACATATATATATAGTATATAGTGTATATATATATGTGTGTATATAATTGTATATATATATATTCATCTTGCTGCTATTTTGGGGAGTCGGTTGATTTTTACACCTTCAACGCATTGGTTAAAAATTGTGGGATTTACCACTGCACTCATCCCAGCTTCAGTAGCGCACGGTGTTTGCACGGTAAATATCAGGAATCCTGAGTATCTTTGCCCGGCTGGCAGCATCTAGATAGATCAGAGTGATTTCAAATGGCTTGACCGAAAATGGTCATGATTCAACCAGCAGGAATGATGGATATAATGACTGAGAGGCATAGCATCATATACCGGGTTTAACCCAAAAATGGCTGATAGAGGTGGTTGAAACCATAGGGAAATGAGCAGCAAATATGCAATGGTGGCCTTCATCCTCCTTCTTGGCGCCATTTATGGTGAGAGTCCAAGGATCAACACATAGAGATTGGTGAAGCTTCCCTGCTCTCGGGATGTATTCCGATTGAGGATGGCAGCCACGAAATCTCATCTGGAGAATTTCCAAGAGTTATCAAAAAAGATTCATGTCAATGACATGTTTTTTTTACTTGGTTTTCCATGATTAAACCATTTTCTATCCACATACTGTATTTCTTGGTCAAACCATTTCCAAGCCCCCACTTTTGTTACTTCAATCCAGCATACCATCATAAAACCATAGAAATTCCAGAAATTAAGCCATTTTTTCAACCCCAAAAATGGCCAGCCAAATCATGCCAAATCATGCCAAATCATCATGAATCCCATGTCATGAGCTATTGTCAATACTCATGGTTAATAACCATTAATAGGGGCTAGTCATCCAATGGTTCATAGGGATTTATAGTAACCATTATAAGGATCCTTATTATGGATGGGATGACCATCAACCATATAGTGAGTATTGACCATGGCTCATGTGTTCAGCTGTTTTTCCCGAGTTTTGGTGAACTCCCAGCCTTTCCCCAGGAATGGTGGGAGGTCCGTGCACCTGGCGGCCTCCCCTTGCGTGCCGGGCCCAGCCTCTCGGCGGAGGTGGTGGGAGAAGTGCTGCGACAGCAGCGGATCCAGGTCGGGGGGGTTGGTGGGGGGTTGATTAATAATCCATAGGGAAAATATGGGAAAACTCTTTGGGTCTTTATAGAATTAGGATTTTCCCATATTTCAGATTTTATATTTCCCACCAATCCATATATTTGGGAATAAATCCACATAGCCAATTTATATAGAATTTATATATATATATAGGATAAGGGTGATTCAGTCCATAGCCAGGGATTTGTGTAGAGGATTTATAGAGGATTCCACTGTTTATAAGAGGATTTCTAAGGCCATTCTATCTGAACTGAATGTTGATTATATATTCCATAAAATATCACACATAATTATAATGCCACTATATCTCCATCATGTCCCTACAGTTATGGCCCTTAACAGTTTTAAATGTGCTATATAATGGGATTAGAACTCCTGCAACTAGTTGGTTATATATCACTTAATGAGGTTATAAGCGAATTAGAACTGGCTATAGGGCTATATCCCGCGTTGTGTGTGTGTCGTTTTTCTTTCCATGGCCTCCTGCAGCGACTTTTTTTTTTTGGCGCCAGGTGAGCGTCGCGAAGGTGAAAGGTTGGCTGAGGCACGGTGTGGTGTTCAAAAACCCTGGCAGGGTTGATGATTAGTTCGGGGATGATACTACCCTTCATATACCGGGGTCTGGTTGGTGGAACATTTTTTCCATAGGGAATAGTAACCCCAAATAGGCTACCTCCAATTCCAATGGATTTTTTGATGTTCCCCAAGATGGCCATCTGTGGGTATCCTCTATTTTCAGACAAAGCCATGTATGATGTTTACTTGGCTGGTTGGTGGTTTCGAGAACCTGCATATCACCATTTATACCCCAAACATCCCCCAAAGATGGGTATCTGGTTGGTGCTTTGGAACATGGCTGGATTATTTTTCCATTCAGTTGGGAATAGTAACCCCAACTGACGAACTCATAGTTTCCAGAGGAGTGGCGAAAAAGCACCAACCAGGGGATTATAATCCAAGAACCAGGAATCCTGTTCAACCAACCAGGATTCAATCAATGGCCATTTTGGAGGTACCTACCATATATAAGGCCTATTTTTAGGCCTATGTCAGGGAATATCCCCACAAAAAATCATCTTATATGGTACAGTACCTCCATCAATTGGATCCTTTTTATTCCTATTGATTCAATGAAATGATAGAGGGATTTGTTTCACACTGCTCACGTGGTAAATGAGGCCGTGTATCTACACGTGTATCATATCCCACAGCAGGCCGAATTCTTGCATCAGGAAGTTATGGAAATGTGTATCCCGGATGAGACTAAACCATGGTTTACTAATTAGGGGGCTACTCCTCCAAATAGTCTTTTTATATGATACATAAATGGTATCCCAATCAAACAGCCGTTTGGGGTTTATTAATCCAGGGTTGACATTAATGTGTATCCCAAAGTTACTTTGTCATCAAATAATATTTGAATGTAAATCATGTAAAATGGTACCCCAAAGTGCCCACGGTCAAGGAGATCTATAAAGCTCCCAAAGTTCCATTTCTCAACTATAGTTAATGGAGTTTATAAACCAACCTATAACTGGGGGCACCACCCTTGCAGGAAAAACATATTTGGTCAGAAATTGTGTCTACCTTTTGAATTGTACCATGTTCCAGTTCATGGGTAATTATCAGGAAAAGATGTTTGAATGTAAATAATATCCATTTTTTGGTCATAACATTTAGAATGAGATTAATGAATTTAGCACTTTCCTGTTGATTGGTTTCAAAACAGGGGGTTGACATGATCTAACCATCATAGAGGTTTTGACCATCAAACATATGAGAATCAATCCAAATCCAAATCCAATTGGATCATTTAACTTGGGCCCATGAAGAGAACTTGGGAGACCGGTTTGACTGCGCCATTCAAAATACCCTTGTTAACTTGTTGATTGATTTATACAGTAGGTTATAAACCTACCCAGTTTATTGGGATTATGTTTATCCATAGTCCGGGACACCTATCAATCAACCACAAAATTTCATGGGATGGGAGAGCAACATGGGCAACGTGGCCCACATGAATACGCTTGGGAAATATCGGTTATAGAATTTGAATTAACATATATATATATATACATTATATTATATATATATATATTATTATATATATATAATATTATATATTATATATATATTACTGCCACAATACAGCCCCCATGTTCCGCATGGGTTCCGCATGGGTTTCGCCCACTCCTCTGGGACCCTGGGATTTTCCCAGAAAGTCTGTGGGGTCCTTGTTTGGGGGGATATGCATGGCCAGTCCGGACAGGTCTTGCAGCAGTTTGACACAAAGTTTGGTTCGTCTGAAAATAGAGCACAGTTTATTGGGTACTCCTATATCCAACAGTTTATATCAGTTTATAGTCATCCCCAAATAGATGGAAAAGTAAATCCCTACTAATTTGATGGCTATTTGGGGAGAAGGATATAAGGATGGAAGAGTAATCCCCAAATAGATGGAAAGGAAAAATCGTCATCCCCAGCGAAAATTTGATGGTTAGATGGACTTTTCCATCTATTTGGGGATGACTATATCCTTTTCTCATTAGGATGGCAACAAATCGAGGCTCCATGGTGTACCCTCTGGCAAACTAACATAGCTATTGAAAATCACCATTTTTTATGGGAAAATCAACTATTTCTATGACCATTTTCAATAGCGAACTGTTGACATAACCAGAGGGTACATCATGGACTTTTCCCCACGCAACGTGTTCCAACTCTTGGGCATCGCAGGTTGGCGGCTGTGGAAACGTGGATGACTTTTGGTCGACTTTTGGCCTTGCGAGGATGACTTGAGGATTTGACCAGCAATTTTTGGGGCTACAGATCTGAGCAAAGCTATGATTAGTGGTGTATATAAAATACATACATATAATTATATATATATACACACATTAATTATACACATATAAAGTGAGCTGATTGTTTATTTCTTGCCATATAGATAAAAACATGTTTAGAAGATATTCTTATGTCACCCCAGCCAGTTGCAAGTTGCCTCGAATCCATTGGATTCAGTGAATTTAGCTACCGTAGTAGCTGCCAGGTCTGACCTGGTTGATGAGCTTTGATGAGTTAGACCGAAACAAAACAGTAGTGCTCAAACATGACAGTATTTTTCAAGCACACCAAAATAGTGAACTCCCAGCAACTATCACTTTTTTGGCCTTAATCCATTTTCTTGGCAACACATATATTATTTATATATCTGGTACATCCTTAGGTTGGAAAAAAATGATCTATTTCTAGAAAACCAGGTTTTTGGGAAACGGATTGGAAAAAACCAATCTAGAGGGTTACCAGGTATATACAGTACGTCTTATCCTTCTTGGGGCGATGTTGGTCACATCTTTGCCTTTCTGGCTCATCTCAGGGTGACTATCCCGACTCAGTAGATCCCCTAGCTGGGTTCCGGCACTGGGGAACAAACATCAACAAACTGAGTGGTTTCCTACTGTTGATGGTTGCGAAATCCTGCACCACCAAAAGGATGGTTGAAACATGTTGAAACCCTATAAATAATGGGATGTTTACCACCGTTTTCAACTGGTGATTCGGATTTCGCTGGCCCATCCACAGTATATAGCGCTTTCTGAGATGAATATCCTGGCGCATGCCTCATGGCCGTCATGCCCCACACATCGGTGTGCATCACTAAAGATGTGTTCCAAACAGTGGGAAGTGACGGGCAAATCTTGATTGATATCTGCAAAAGGCGTTCACTACTAAGTGGCTATATAGTAGATTCCATCAGATTAGTTGTTACCTAATGCGAGCTAAGTTTATACCCACTTACATACGACAAAGAGGCGTGGCATTGTCCACCGTCACTGGTGACTGCACATCACCCAGTACATTGCTGGCATCATAGATCTCCTTTCCAGAGTGGTTGATTGGCAGAGAGGTAAGCCTCAATTGAACAACCAAGAAATAGGCAGTGTCTGGTTGGTGGTTTGGAACATGGCCTCTGGTCATGGGATCTGGGGCAATGATTGTTATATTGTATATTATATATATATATATTATCTGGTTGGTGGTGACTGGAACATGAATGGCTTGTATTTTATTTTTTCCATCTATTGGGAATGGAATAATTATCCCAACTGACTTTCACTCCATCATTTTTCAGAGGGGTTGGTTGAAACCACCAACCAGGTGTAGTTTGGTCATGATGTTTACCGCTAATCAAGGATAGCAATGGAAAGTCCCCCATTTCGGTCCAGGATTTTTCGAGAAAACTCCGTAGCCGCGTAGCCCCAGGAAAGACAACAGCTTACGTGCCCATGGAAGATGAAGGCGGGGGGTTGCGGGTGAGCGTTTTTGTCTTTTTTGGGGTGCCCTGCCTAGAACAACCTGCAATGAGAGGATTGGCCGATTGGCCAGTGTGTCCACGACTTGCTGTGCATCTAAAACATTTGATATTTCTGCAAAGAAGTATGGAGTATTCCATTGCTGCCGTGATTGCAATGATTGGCCCTACCGGTTGTTCAAATGGATGTGAAACCATATACCCTCTGGAAATTTAACAGTTTGCTATTGAAAATTGCCATTTATAGTGAGTTTTCCCATTAAAAATGGTGATTTTCCATAGTTATGTTAGTTTACATACAGGGTAACTTGGTTTTCTACAACCACCTGGCGGAATTTTAACAATTCGAACGACCTCAATGCAACATCACGATAGATGATGAGATGATGTTTTCATGCTTGGGTTCAGAGGAACCATCTCCCCCAAAAAAAACACATTTCAGCTTGGTGACTTTGTAGTGATTCACCCAGACTTATTTGACGGATGATGAATGATATTCCCCAATATACCTTTGGCTAGCTTGATAGACTCCCAGTTATCATCCACCAAGGGTTTCCTTGATGTTGAATGATGATATACCCTCTGGTAAACTAACATAACTATGGAAAATCACCATTTACAATGGGTAAATCCACTATAAATGGCCATTTTCAATAGCAAACTGTTAAGTTTCCAGAGGGTAGTACCCCCCAAGAAGATGCTGAAAAATGGTTCCACACCAAGAGTTCGCTGATGTTTCCTCAGGTTTCCCTACAGTGGTGCCAAGCACAGCGCCCGGTGGAGACTGGGATCAGGCGCTTTCGTTGGAAGACATGGGCAGAAAGAGAACCGGGAGATGTTTTTTTGGGCCATGGAAAGTATCAATATTAATGGAATAATGGGATATAATGGACTATGGAAATAGAAATGGAATATTCATGGGAATAATTAGTAATGGAATATGAGTCCCTATCCCATCTCTTGATACTGATTAAAAACAGTTTCCCTACTGTGGATTATCATAATCCCCAGCGACTCAGGTAGTATAACTCCCTTTAATCACCAATGAACCAGAGTATTTTTAAGGGTTCAGTTATCTGAAAAATAGGTAGTGGGTAAGGCGGAAATGGTGATGAACCAGCAAATTTGAGGGTATATACCATATTTTTAGACTTGGCCAAGTTGGTTTAGAGTAACTATGAATGATGAACTAGGGCTTGAGGTAGATATCCCTATAGTTGGGTTGGCTTGTAAAGAACCTGAAGCAGGAGGGCATCACCTTGTAATTGAGCCGTTGGAAAAACCTAAGTTTGATAGATATAAAGGGGATATAAGTTTGATAGATACAAAGGGAATATAAACATATATATATATATATCATCCATGTTGGTTTCAAAAAGATCAAAACTGGTAACAGTTGGTAAGTGTTGTTAGCTGAAGATGTTTGCCGGGGTCACTCTTCCTTTAACATCGTGGGGCATACAATAATCCATTATGGGATTTTTCGTGCACCAACCATTACACGGGATTGTCAAATTGTTTTTCTGAGCTTTTGACTGGCAGCGCAGATTCTATTCATGTTGGGAAACTACTATCCTAGTTTTAGGTTTTAACATACGTCTGACCGTCTGATCCATCGCCCTTTCAGCCAAAAGGTGTTGCCTTTAGATCGCCAACCGCCAACTTCGCATCAGTGTCGGCATAGTCCATCCCAATCCTTGAGAGATGGTTAGGATGCCACTTCGCATCCTTGGTATGTCCGATTGATATTTGTTTACATACTGTGGATGGACGAAATCCTGCATCACCTTGTATGGTTGAAAACCCTATAATTAATGGGATGTTTACCACTTCTCAACTGGTGCAGGAATTTCGCAACCATCCACAATAGGTCTATAGTCCCTGGCCAATTGTTGTTTACATAGGTGTCCAGGGACGTCCCATTGATAGTTGTTTAATGTTGTTTACATATCATGTGCCTCAGATATTGGTGAAACAATGTGAAACATGTTCCTCATCTTGCTCGAATTTTGGCGTGTGTTTCCATGCTGAAAACCAGGATGGCTTTCAAGCAAACCACACTCACAATCTTTCAATTTCGGGTCCCCAGGTGATTTTATCGCAAATTACCCTTCAGAAAACTGACATAGCTATTGAAAATTGCCATTTATAGTGGATTTACCCATTGAAAATGGTGATTTTCCATAGTTTTTTGTAAACGTTTACCAGAGGGTACCCTTCAGAAAACTGACATAGATATAGAACATCCACCATCTGTAGATCATTTCCTATAGGAACCCTTCAGGGGTTCCATGGTAAAAATCGTCGCCAGTGGGCTGCCTTACTTCGTTGGTGGCCTTTGGGCGGGGTTCCTCCGCTGCTGCCTGCCACGTGTCTTGGCCTTTTTTGCACTGGATTGGTGGTGGGAAAATCTACGGAAACCATAGTTGTCTGGTTGGCGGTTTGGAACATGGCTTTTATTTTTCCATATATTGGGAATAGTAACGCCAACTGACTAACATTTTTCAGAGGGGTTGAAACCACCAACCAGCTATAACATGGTTTAACAGCCAAATATAGGTGTGTTGTGGTTGCTGATGGCTCCTGTAATTGTGTTCCTCAAAATATGTCCAAGACTGTTGGTGGTGGTATGGAATAATTACATTCACCTTACAAAATGGGAAGGAACAGATGTCATCTCTTTGTGATTGAGACCAAGCAAGGCAAGGGAATTTCCACAGGGCTTTGTGCAACTGCAGTAGGAGTGTTGTTTCACAGCGTGAAGTACTTGCACCTAGAAGTTAATGTTCGTAAAGCAATAGAAAACCATCCGCAATTTTACCATGAATTGGTGCTATAAACCATCAACGTGTAGGTGGTTTATTCTCGCTTTACTAACATCGCACCGGATTTGTTTAAATGGGTTTGTCCAATGATGGTATGCCTGAAATCCCTTGGTTGATCACAATTTTCCCTGATCAAAAGTTCCAGAAATCAGGGGTGAATCGCCAGCCTTATGGGCAAAACCCAAGTAAATCATATTGCTTACAAAACCCATCATATGATATAACCATATATATATATATGGTACCCCCCCCCTGATACCCACCTCACATTGATTCAAGAAGTAAGTTTTTAATGATCTACTGTATATGTATGTAAAAAATGTATGTATATATATAAATAAATGTATGTATATATATATATGTATACATATATATATATATACACTTGCACGTCACTTGGTACTATGTGGTTAAATAATTTGGGTACTTAGGCAAATTGCACACAGAGAAAAATTGCAATTTTTGCAATTTCCAGACCCCAAATTCAAAGATTCAAAGATTCAAAGATTCAAAGGTTGAAAAGAAGTTCTTTGAATCGAAGCCCCCAAAATTCAAAGATTCAAAGATTCAAAGGTTGAAAAGAAGTTCTTTGAATCCAAGCCCCAGACCCCAGATTCAAAGATTCAAAGATTCAAAGATTCAAAGGTTGAAAAGAAGTTCTTTGAATCGAAGCCCCCCCAAAATTCAAAGATTCAAAGATTCAAAGAAAAGAAGTTCTTTGAATCTTTCACTTGGGGTTTGGGGCTTCGATTCAAAGAACTTCTTTTCAACCTTTGAATCTTTGAATCTTTGAATCTTTGAATTTTGGGGGCTTCGATTCAAAGAACTTCTTTTCAACCTTTGAATCTTTGAATCTTTGAATTTTGGGTCTGGGGCTTCGATTCAAAGAACTTCTTTTCAACCTTTGAATCTTTGAATCTTTGAATCTTTGAATTTGGGGTCTGGAAATTGCAAAAAATTGCAATTTTTGTCTGCGTGCAATTTGCCTAAGTACCTCAAGGTGCAAACTTATCTGTCAAAAAACTCACACAAACAAGTTGCTCAGGCAAACTGCTCCAAAGCCATCTACAAACCACCGCAGAGGCGCCTGGGATTTGGTGGTGTCAAACCTGGTCAGTACCTCAAGGTGCAAACTTATCTGTCAAAAAACTCACACAAACAAGTTGCTCAGGCAAACTGCTCCAAAGCCATCTACAAACCACAGCAGAGGCGCCTGGGATTTGGTGGTGTCAAACCTGGTCTGAGAAACAGTTACTCTAATCAGACACTTTCAGTTCAGCACATCACTGTTCATCTCTGCAGCCGCCTATCTCATCCGAAAAAAGTCTCTGACTAGAAAAAGGTCACAAACATGCAATTTCCAATCGAGGGCAGCGTCTCTTTGAGCAATGGCTCAGCCACATTGCGCTTGAAACCTGCAAGCGTGGGGGTGGTCTACGTTCAGGCTCCTCGCCCGACCGTTGAGGATGTTCAGCTCTGGGATGTTCACTCGTCACGACTCCCTATGAACAAAAAGGTCTTGGCTTCAGCAATGGTTTGTGTCCAGAAACAGTTGGGCATCCCCACCGGCATCAGTGGAGTATGGACCCAAGATGCCACACGCAGGCTGCAGACCAACCTCGCCAAACCAAAGAAGGCAGCCCAAGCACATCCCTCATCACCTCCTCAGCTGGCACTCGAGGACATGAAGCATCTTCCTCCTCAGCCCAAGCGCAAGCGTTCTTCGTCGTCATCTTCCTCATCATCATCGTCCTCGTCATCTTCTTCGAAGGCGTCCGCGGCGTCCTCCACAGCATCGAAGTCATCCAAGGCATCCTCCAGAGCATCTAAGGCATCGAAGTCATCCAAGGCACCCTCCAGAGCATCTAAGGCATCAAAGTCATCCAATGTATCTGCCAAGTCTTCTGGAACCACCACCGAAAAGCTTCTTGCACAGATCACCCGCCTTCAAGCCGAAAATTTGGAGTTCTCCGATGCCATTGCCTGCCACCAGGAAATCGAGGAAGAGATTATGCGTGTGAAAGCCGAGCGAGACAAGTTGGCCAAGGAGAATGCGAAGCTGAAGGGCGAGATCGCTGCCTTGAAGATTCGCATTGGACTCTAGATAGCGGCTGTGCGGTGAACAAAAGGAATCTTATTGCAGCGTGACAATAGTATTGTTAGTTGGGGTTAGGGTGACATGATGCAGGTATGCTGTCTTTAAAGGAAGGGTATACAGGGAAAGTAAGATAGTGCATAGCTCCAACCTAGCTGTATATCCAAAACCGCAACGTAAACAACAAAAACAAAACATTGCGCTTGTCTGCTGCACATTGGTTCCTTCTGCTTGCCTCACATCTGCTTTCTTGTGTGACATTTGGCTCAGCCTGGCCTTCTAGCCCTGTCCCGCAATCGTTGCTCTCAAATCTGACGAAAATGTCCGGCGCTTTGATGGACAAGGCCATTGCAGACCTGGCTGGCAAACAGATGCTTCTACGTCTCTTAGAGAAGCCAGACCACAGTCCCATTGATTGTGAGACACCCTTGGCCATGGACAAGTTCATTGCGGAGGCTTGCCGGGAATGTGTCAAGGTCCAGCCCTTTAGGCTCGTCTTTGATGTCCATTTGTCCATGGAAGCCTGTGGAGACCCTGCTGAAACTTCCAAGAAGCTCTCCGAGTCAGATGTGGAAGGCCTTCCAGCAGCCATCAAATTCAAAGCCCCTCTTCCTGAAGGATCCAAGGTTGATTTCATCCATGTCAGCAAGGACGATGGTAAGGTTGACGTCCTGAAGGTGATCTACACGTCCCGTCCGATCTCTTCCCAACTAGCCAGTTCTTTCTGCAGTGGCAAAATGCACTTACCTGTCCATCGAGCAGGCCCATGGAAAGTGAAGAAAGCCACCCAATGGCTTCTAGGTCAACTTGGTGGTTATCAGCTCCGCTGGCATGTCTTAGAAGAGAAGACTGCAGACAGTGCTCCACCAAAACCTTCATGGTCCCCATCAAATGCTGAACTTGAGGAAGGCGTTCTGTTCATCAATGCGCATGCACCAGAGTGTGACGCACAAAATGAGCAGACCCTGTGGATCCTCATAAACATCAAGTCCGACTCCGGCACGCCAATTGCCAGCTGGCCCGAGCCAAAGGTTCGGCTCATGTGCCAGAACAAAAGTCGAGGACAAGCGGGAGCCGTGAGCATGACAGAGTTCCCTTTGACTACCTACAGCCTCAAGCCCTTCTTACACTCAGCCCTCTTGCCTCTCCTCTACCCCTTGATGCTCAACTTTGGCGTGTTGTTGCTGGGGTGTCCAGGAGTTGGCAAGACTCCCTTTGTTGTGATCTTGGCAATGGCCCTGGGAAGGTATCATGTACGCCAGAGTGGTGATACAAACTTGAAACCTGGGTGGCGTAGGGCCAAGTCTTTGGACAACTTTCGTCACCGCGCTCCTCGCGTTCAAGAAGCCTTGTTCCTTGATGACCCTTGCCGCGCCAAAGTGAGCATGGCTGACTTGAAGAGTTTCCTGACTGTGGATGAGGATGGAACTGTTGAGTCCCGCTACAATGATACCCGCCTAATCAGGAATCAGTTGCGGGCCTATGCCTCCAATGATCTGAAAGATGACTTGGAGGAAGAGCAAAAGATTGGAACTACTCTCCCTCCAGGACGCTTTCTGGTCATGCTGGATGACTTGTTTGCCGGGGAGAAGGAAAAAGATGTTCTGGCTGTTCTGAAACGTTCCATCATCTTCGTCTTCACCGGTATGGCTCTATACTTGCGCTTGCCCAGTGAGAATAAGGAGGCCATCATCCACCGCATCTGTGTAGACGACTTGCACAAAGACTTGCTGGCTGACAAAGACAAGCCCTTCTATGGCAAGTACAAGGCAGGCTCCATGGAAACTGGCCCCTCTTTTGATACTGATGTAGGTCGAGAGCAAAGGATGCTGGAGCAGGCAATGAACACAATGGCAGAGTATGAGGAAGTCCAGGGTTACATTGAGTTCGTCAACGGCAAGATTCAAGATGCACTGTTCCGATCTCAGGACATCCGCATTCTTCCAGGCTCTCCATCGTCGGATGACGACGACCAGGTGCCTTTGGCTGCTCGTCCTGTGCCACCCATTGGAACTCATTGTTCTGGTCGTCGTGTTGGTCCATTTGTCTATCCTGGCCGCCGTGTGCGGAGGAAAGCAACACCTGTGTCTCAAGAGCTGGAAGAGTTGGCTCAGGCTGCCGAGGCACAGACTGCTGTCTTGGAGGATGGCACCAATGATGAGATGGACTTTGAAGCTGCTCTGCTAGACACCGCTGCAGATGAAGAGGCAGCTCATGCGCTAGGCACTCTTGATGCTTAGGAGTAGCTACTGTAGCTTCACCAATTTATTGTGCGTGTACTTCACGTGCAATAGCTTGCGTACATGCTGTCGTTCCGGATAGACAGCTATCGCATTGATCATATCTGGGGAAAAAAGTTTGTCCCACAGCTTCTTTTGTCAACGGAACTGAGTTTGTCTACCCTCATGCTTGCAAGCGCTTGCAAATCATTCCACTCCAAGTCCACCAGCACCATACCAAACCTAATTGCTCATTCAAATTCAGTGTCTGATTCAATTTTGTCACTCGTTATAGCTGTTTGGTTTCCGCCTAGCTCCGAAATTGCGCCTTGCCATGTCCAAGTTCAACAACTTTCCCGTGCCCAAGAAAGGTAAGCTACGTGCTGTATTGAAACGGCCTGCGAGCATGAAGACCAAGGCATGGAAGCAAGTGAAGTATGTGCGATCCCCTGATGCAGCTCCTGAAGTTCGCATGGACCGCTGCAAATGGAAGCGCTCCTTGGCACAAATTTTGCAAAGCTCTCCATCTACTTTGGTGAAGATGCTTCGTGAAGATGGACTTCTTCATAAATGGGAAGGGCATGTCTGTCCGCGATGCTGCCGTGGCACCCTTGGTGGCCTTCAACAACTTGGAGGTTTACTAAAGCATAGATGCAGTGCCAAGAAATGCCACACCTACATCAACCCGCATCATGCTCACCCCATTTTTGTGGATCATTGGGGCTCTTCTTCTACACCGCTTGCCACCCAGGCATGTTTACTGATGCTCCTGCTCAACCGTGTTTCCCACCCCACCATCCATCGCCTCCTGCATGTCAACCATAAGAGCATTGAGGATATGGAGAAGAGATTAGGCCAGCTACGTGAAAGGTGGGTCAGGAACAAGGAGAAGGACATCAAATTTGGGCAAGGTGGAAAATGGCAGGACGTGGAAGCCGATGAAGCCACGTTTGACAAGAAGGTCGTGAATGGACAGCTGCACTGGGAGCAGTGGTGCGGCATTGTCCAAAGAGGTAAACCTCAGACGCTTGTCCTCCATCGCTTGAAGCCAGTCATCTCCAAACTTCGCGCTCCAGGCCCCGGTGCTATTCGAAAAGTTGAATGGCAACCATTGGCTGTGAAATGGCTTCAACACCGTGACATTATTCTCCACACCGACTCGGCAAAAAGTTATGCCATCAAAGTCAAGGGTGTCCTCCATGACCGGGTCATCCACAAAAAGAAGCGGGTGAAAGTCAATGGAGAATGGAAATGGCTCACTCCAAAGTATGTGGAGTTGCACAAGCATGTCCTCCCCGGCAGCAAGAAGGCAATCACAGTCAAAAAGGGCACCCAGATCATTGACAGATGCTGGCGTTTCCTCAAAGACCGGTTGAACATCAACCAGAACTGCAAAGTTGGCAGCAGTCTTCTGCGCATCCGGTTGCGCTCTGCTCGGTATGAGTACTGGCATAGGGGGCACGATCTGTGGTTGGCAACGGGTTCTCTTGTTCAGTGGTTCTTGTTGAAGGCCTAGAGAGCCCAGCCACCACAGCGGGGCAGAGTTCAAAAGAATCAGCGCGTCGCTGCTAGCACCTGCTGCTGTGTTCTAACCTTCTTGACTTTGCTGCCATCGCATATCTGTGGGCTTCCTATGTAAATTTCACGCCTATTTGCTTCAATCATCTGCTTCAATAATCTGATTCTCATGTCCTTCCTGATCCATCATCTGCTGGCAAATGTCTTCAACATATTCATGTCAATGCTCGCTCTGCACGCATGCAGGCCGCTCAAGGTGGGTATCAGGGGGGGGTAGCATATATATATATATATAGCCCATTTAAAAACCCACAAACCCCATAGAATCTCCCAGGACGTCTTCATTTGTGGGTGAAAAATTGCCATTGCCAACTCACGAGTCGCCCCCAAGTCGTCGTTCTTGGGCGAAGGTTGGGCGGAGCCTATTTGTGCCACTGGCGCAAAAATCCTCGTGATGGAGATGCCTCCATCAAGGCGATTTTTGGGATGTACAAAGTCGTGGGTTCAATGGGAGATCTCCAGGATCCGATAAACATTGGAGGTACCTACTGTACCATATATGTTTGGCCTATTTTTTAGGCCTTAGTTTCAGGGAATATCCCCAGAAAATATGGCCTTATATGGTACAGTACCTCCATTTTAGGATCCTGGAATTCCCATTGATGGATGTAGTAACCCCAAACAAAGATGCGGAACAGTGATATGTTTTACTATTTTAGTGGGATTTTAAATTGACTTCCATATCTTTTTTAGGGAGTACTGTACACATAGACTATCCGGTGGTTAGGAGGAGCCAGGGACTTCCAGCTTTTTTGTTTATCAAATGGGGAGCCAAGGAGCTACCAAGAGTTTCCCAACCACTTGATGGTAAAGCAATGGGAGAATTGTCAACTCATGTTTTTCATGGGTGAATTTCTAGCTGTCTTGATGTAGGAATATGATTCCATGTGATGCAGGGTATCAAGGATCAGCTATGGTTGAATGCAATTCCGTTTTGTTGAACCCTCGCGGTATTGCTTGCATAGGCTGTCTTTTCATGTCTTTTCCATTGATTTGAAGAAGTGGAGGATCAAAGTACGTCGCATCAGATAGTGCTCAGTGGAATGCGCAAGAAGATGCACCTGCTTTGGTATCTCGAATTCCCACGAGTTTTCACATGTTTTGAGTATGATTTGACAGTATGATTTGGCTGCCAACTTATATGGTCGCGCCTCTTGAGACTAGTGCTGTCGTTGAAAAAACCTATTCTTATCCACCAGTTTAGATAATCAAGAAACTAGAATTCATTTATTCCTCTATTTTCCTCATTTTCTGCTCAAGAATCCCCACAGAAAATATATGTGAAACCATGATTTTCCAATCATTCAACCAATCGCTGTCAAACAGCCAGGCGCACTGGCTGCGTCCTGGAGAAGAGTTGCAGTTCGTAGCATGGCAAAATGGGATGGCAAGGAAGCTGTGGTAATCTATGTAAGTTCCTCTGAATTCGTGGCATTTTTGGCATTTATTATTTGTAAAGCCTGAATTCAAGGACTTCACTGAATCTCGTGTTTTTTTCCATAGTGGGCAGTTTCAAAAAGCGAGAAAAAGGGATCAAAAATGGAGCTTTGATCAAAACAAAAGAGTGTTTCATGGGGATATTTGATGGGGATACTTGTTCGGATGTAACTCCCGCCTGATGGAGTGGTGGCGAAACTTGGAGGTTGGAAGATCCTTCAGCCTTACCGCCGGCTCTTTTCCTCAGCTTGCCGATTTTGGAAGGGTGCTCTTTCTCGCAGACCTTTGAGTCTCTTTGGCACCTCCTGGAAAAGCGAAGAGCGGAAGGATTCCCTCCTCCTGAAGAGGTCTTTAATGAAGTAATGTCTGCAGGGAAGGGTCAGGGCACCAGAAGGCGTATGCAACCAACCGCTCATGGTCTGAAGATAGCTGATCGGCCTACAACGGAGATCATGTCTCTTGAACGTCCTAATGCCAGCGGAGGGGAGGGCGTTTACATGTTCCTCCGTTTGTTGACTGCCTGACGCAGGTTCTCCAGAAGTTCCGCTATCCGCCTCAGGATATTTGTTACTTTCAGGCTGCGACCAAGGTTTTTAAGCCGGAAATGAGGACAAAACATGACAAAACATCGTGTTCGTTGCAAGTGCAATCCGCACGCCGCGAACATTAGTGGAAATAGGCTGCGAATACTTCTAAGACAATCACTATACTATCAATCTGCAAGTTTTTTGGACTTTTGAAGATGGAAGTATGTAAAAACAATTTCGAACGACTTTTAACTATTTTACATCCATTACATTATGCATGAGGCTCATGAGGGTGCTTAGGTTGGGATCATGAAACCTCAAACACACCACCATCGCATTTTGCATGTCAGGGGGTTCAGCAAATCTTGATGTAGACCCGCACAAATAAGTGGATGGTTTACAGCTAAAAAATCATTCAAGTATGTCATTCTGTCCCGAGCTTGAAATGTTGACCCATACCGTGAAAAGCCATACTCAAAGCGGTGGTTTTTAGCGCCCACGGTGGTTGTTTTATATGATGAGCTAATAACCCACATGTTAGTTTGGTTTCTGTTTGCAAGCATCGTGATCCCGGGGTACCCACTGATGTCATCAGAAGCGCAAAAAACTGAGGTCGGACCCGCTGATGCGAAGGCACTCGCTTTCTCTGGAAAAACCGATACAATTTGGTCGTGGCAATTGGGAAAGATGATGATTCACTATGTGATGATGGGGCACTCGATTTTGGGAGATAAACCTAGGTGTGTTTATCATTGACTATTTCAGTTGGATTGTATATCCACATTGGGAGATGGGAAGAATCCATCCATTTTTGTATGAAAGAATGGTGAATGGGTTTGTTTGGATTCCCATTATGAGACTGGTTGGTGGTTTGGAGCATTTTTTATTTTCCCCAATAGTTGGGATGATGATCCAATCTGACTTTCATATTTTTCAGACGGGTGGCTCAACCACCAACCAGGAGATATAGTACCACAAGCAAGAAATACCATGGTTTGACAGCACCTATAGGCAGTTGGGGTACTCGATCATTTCCAATGCTATTCTTGGAGTCTTTCTTTGCAGGAAGGACATATAACAACAATGTGCTGTAAGACGCATCAATCGTGCGTGTCTATCTTTGGGTGTAGATGCCATTCCAAACTCATGCCGGGTCTGTGTGATGAGACGAACCTTTACATGAAGGCTTCCGACATCCGTGAGACGTATGTGTCTAAGGCACAAGCTGAAGCAGCACGCCGATCGCAATACCGTGTACATCGCCAACAGGTTTGAAGCAGTCATGTCTATGCCATACGCGGATGCACACCCCGTGGCAAGCCATTCGCGATGACTTGGGGATGGCCTGGGCTGCAACACGCCGAATTCGGCAGATCACGGCGTTGAGGCTTACCCATTCTTGTTGGATCATATCATCATAGTCCCACTGTTGTGCTGTCTCGCTTATGCTCTGTTTTTGTTTTTCTTGTTCCATATTTATATAGCCTTTTAGGGATAAGATTGAATATACAAATAATTATAAATAAATATATATAATCGAAGGAAGTTTAGAAGTCAAACTTCCGACAATATGGGGAGATGAAAAAGCAGTCAGCAGGGAGAAGAGTCAGAAGAGAAAAGATCAGAAGAAAGAAGATGCAGGTGCGCGAAAAGGTAGGAAAGTCGCGAAACACTGTGTTTTTTCGTGGTCTTGTGGCTCCGGAGGGTTGAAAAGTAGGCTCGCTAAGCGGCGGGGGCGGAGACATCTGGGGAGATGAGAGATGAAAAGTTGCACGCCGTTGTGGCGCGAAGCCGATTTCGAAGTGAAAAGGTACAAAACACCGCAGCGTCGGACCACTTTTGGAAGTTCAGATGTTGAAAAAGTGCACGGCGTTGTGGCGCGAAGCACATTTGGAAGTAAAATGTGTTAAAAACTAAGGGGTTCGGACCACTTTTGGAAGTTGAGATGTTGAAAAAATTTGCACGGCGTTGTGGCCCGAAGCACATTTCGAAGTCAAAATGTACAAAACACACCATGGTCGGACCACTTTTGGAAGTTGAGATGTCGAAAAAGTGCACGCCGTTGTGGCGCGAAGCACATTTCGAAGTCAAAATGTACAAAACACAGGGTGGGATCGGTTCGGTTCGGTTCGGTTTCGGTTTCCAGGAACTGGTGAATTTCCGGTTCCCGGTTCGGTTCGGTTCGGTTCCTCGGGATATAATTTAAAAAACGGTTCGGTTCGGTTTCCGGTTCCTAACCGGTTTGGTTTCTGGTTCCTAACCGGTTCGGAGTAAGTCATGGTCTTGGTATTTGCTTTTTACGGCCATTCAAAAAAGCAAAACATGTTCCCAGTTAGTTGGTTGTTATGATTCATGTCAAGGACACGTTGCGTCAGGTGGACCTGGTCGTGGAGGCTGTTTTCGTTTTTCTAGGCTGCCAAAAAAGCAAATCCAACACGAGAGCACAAGGGTTGTGTTTGTGCTTTGCATAAGGGTTGTGCTTTTTCTTTTTTGTGGCTTTCGAAAAAGCACATCCAATACGAGGGCACCAGTTTTTTTTGCTTTTTTGGGGCTTCCAAAAAAAGCAAATGCAATAAGAGGGCACAAGGGTTTTGTTTTTGCTTTTTTGGGGCTGCCAAAAAAGCAAATCCAATAGGAGGGCACAAGGGTTGTGTTTTTGCTTTTTGGGGGCTGCCAAAAAAGCAAATCCAATAGAAGGGCACAAGGGTTGTGTTTTTGCTTTTTTGGTGCTTTCAGAAAAAACAAATCCAATAGGAGGGCACAAGGGTTGTGTTTTTGCTTTTTTGGGGCTTCCAAAAAAGCAAATCCAATAGGAGAGCCCAAAAAGCAAATCCAATAGGAGGACACAAGGGTTGTGTTTTTGCTTTTTTGGTGCATCCAGAAAAAAACAAATCCAATAGGATGGCACAAGGGTCGTGTTTTTGCTTTTTTTGGGGTTCCAAAAAAGCAAATCCAATAGGAGGGAACAAGGGTTGTGTTTTTGCTTTTTTGGTGCTTCTAAAAAAAACAAATCCAATAGGAGGGCACAAGGGTTGAGTTTTTGCCTTTTTTTGGGCTTCCAAAAAAGCAATCCCAATAGGAGGGCAGAAGGGTGTTGTTTTTGTTTTCTTCTTTCTTGGGCTTCTAAAAAAACAAATCCAATAGGATGGCACAAGGGTTGTGTTTTTTGTTTTTGTGGTGCGTCCAAAAAAAACAATAGAAGGGCACAAGGGTTGTGTTTTTGTTTTTTGGGGGGCTTCCAAAAAAAACAAATGCACTAGGAGGGCACAAGGGTTGTGTTTTTTCGTTTTTGGTGCTTCCAGAAAAAACTATAGGAGGGCACAGGGGTTGTGTTTTTCCTTTTTTGATGCTTCAAAAAAACAAGTCCAATAGGAGGGCACAAGGGTCGTGTTTTTGTTTTTTTTTGGGGTGGGCTTCCAAAAAAAACAAATCCAATAGGAGGGCACAAGGGTTGTGCTTTTTGCTTTTGTGGTGCTTCCACACAAAAAAAAAAGTCCAATAGGAGGGCACAAGGGTTATGGTTTTGCTTTTTTTGGGGCTGCAAAAAAACAAACCCAATAGGAGGGCACAAGGGTTGTGTTTTTGCTTTTTTGGTGCTGTCAGAAAAAACAAATCCAATAGGAGGGCACAAGGGTTGTATTTTTGGTTTTTGTGGGGCTTCCAAGAAAAAACAAATCCAATACGAGGGCAGAGATTGAAGGGAACGTTTGCTTGAGAGAAACAAACAGAGCACATGCCGGCGGTTCGCATCCGGTTCCTCCCTCCGGTTCGTCCGGTTCGGGAGCTTATTTTATACATTAGCGGTTCGGTTCGGTTCGGTTTCCCAACTGCCGGTTTCTGGGCGGTTTCCGGTTCGCGCGGTTCGGTTCCCGGTTCGCGGTTCGGTTCGCGAACCTTCCTGAAAACACACTGTTCTCGGACCACTTTTGGAAGTTGAGATGTTGAAAAAGTGCACGCCGTTGTGGCGCGAAGCACATTTCGAAGTGAACATGTACAAAACACACCATGTACGGACCATTTTTGGAGGTTCAGATGTCGAAAAAGTGCACGGCGTTGTGGCGCGAAGCACATTTCGAAGTCAAAATGTTAAAAACACTAGGGGTTCGGACCACTTTTGGAGGTTCAGATGTCGCTTCGCTTCGCTTCACTAGACTACACTACATTACACTACACTACATACACTCCACTACACTACACTACATTACACTACACTACACTCCACAACACTACAACTACAACTACACAACTACACTCCACTACACTAAATTACACTACACTACACTAAATTACACTACACTACACTCCACAACACTACAACTACAACTACACAACAACACAACTACACTCCACTACACTCCACTACACTAAACTACACTACATTACACTACACTACACTACATTACACTACACTACAATACACTACCTTCCACTACATTTCACTACATTACACTACACTACACTCCACTACACTACAACTACACAACTACACTCCACTACGCTCCACTACACTCCACCACACTAAATTACACTACACTCCACTACACTACATTACACTACACTACACTACCTTCCACTACACTTCACTACACTACACTCCACTACACTACAACTACAATTACAACTACAACTACACTCCACTACACTCCACTACACTCCACTACCCTAAATTACACTACACTACATTACACTACACTCCACTACACTACACTCCACTACACTACATTACATTCCACTACACTACATTACACTACACTGCGCCCCACTACACTACATTACACTACACTACCTTCCACTACACTTCACTACTTTACACTACACTCCACTACACTACAACTACACAACTACACTCCAGTACAGTCCACTACACTCCACTACACTCCACTACACTAAATTACACTACACTACATTACACTACACTACATCCCACTTCACTACACTACATTACGCTACACTACACTACCTTCCACTACACTTCACTTCATTACACTACACTACACTCCACTACACTACAACTACAACTACAACTTTACAACTACACTCCACTACACTAAATTACACTACACTAATATACGCTACACTACATTACATTACACTACACTCCACTACACTACACTACACTCCACTACACGACCTTCCGCTACACTTCACTACGTTACACTACACTCCACTACACTACAACTGCAACTACAACTACACAACTACACTTCACTACACTCCACTACACTCCACTACACTAAATTACACTACACTACATTGCACTACACTCCACGACACCCCACTACACTAAATTACACTACACTACACTACATTGCACTCCACTACACTCCACTACACTACATTTACACTACACTACACTCCACTACACTACAACTACAACTACAACTACACAACTACACTCCACTACACTTCACTACATTACACTACACTACACTTCACTACACTACACTACATTACACTACACTACACTACCTTCCACTACACGACACTCCACTTCACTACAACTACAACTACAACTCCAACTACACAACTGTATCCACTACACTCCACTACACTAAATTACACTACACTACATTACACTACACTACACTACCTTCCACTACACGACACTCCACTTCACTACAACTACAACTACAACTCCAACTACACAACTGTATCCACTACACTCCACTACACTAAATTACACTACACTACATTACACTACACTACACTACATTCCACTACACTCCACTACACCACACTACATTACACTACACTACATTACACTGAATGACACTGCACCACAGATAGACAAGGTAGATAGTCAGAGAAAGAGACAGAAAGAGAGAGAAAGTCAGGAGACCTCAAGCACCTTTCGGTCCATCAGTGGCTTTGCTCTGCGATCCCTGATTCACAACAACCAATCTCTCCTATAGGTTTCCTATTTTTGAAACTTCCGCCACTGCCTTGCGCGGTACTACTGGTATAAAAACACCATAAATGCCATGAAATGACACCTTTAGAGATTGAAAAAGCATCTAAAACCACCATTTGTCCCACCAGAAATGGCAGATTTCATGACACCTTTAGAGACGAGATCCCCACGTGCTTCTCCTTGCAGGCAGGGCACCTCTGTCGTTGGTTGCAGCAGGATATGGCCTTAGGACCGGATCTGGAGGCTGGGGGATCTTCGTATAGGATATGTGTGGCCTGGTATATGTGGATACCCTCTGGTAAACCATCGGAAAATGGGAAAACCATAGGAAAACCATAGGAAAACCATAGGAAAATGGAGATTTACCCTCTGGTAATTTAACATAACTATGGAAAATCACCATGTCTAATGGGTAAATCAACTACGTCTATGGCAATTTTCAATAGCTAACTGTTAGTCATTACCAGAGTGTATGTGGTTTGTTTAGGATCTAGATAACTTAGGCATGGTTGCGAAGAAACTTGAAGTTATTCTCCTTAAATCATCTTATCCCAATGTTTCCTGGTGTTTTCCTGGTGTTTCTCTGTTATCCCAATGGGTCAGCCATGACTTTTCTATCTACTTGAGGGGTGCCACAGTTCACCGGGGGTGCTGTGGCAACCTGGTTTTGCTGCATGACAATGCTTTTTGGGAACTGGAGGAACCATTGGAGGAACCATTGATTTACAAAAACTGAGGCAGGTGGTTCGGCCAAGAACAAGATGAAGGATTAACATATGGTTTAACCAACTGAGACAGATTGCTTTCCTAACATCTTTAACCGGGGGTTGGACATGCAAATAGATCACCAACGTGATGTGTGTTACAGTATCAAAAACTGTTTGGTGGTTTGGAACATGTTTTATTGCTCCATATATTGGGAAGAATCATCCCAACTGACTAATATTTTTCAGATGGGTTGAAACCACCAACCAGATCACCAGCGTGATGTGTATTACAGTATCAAAACTGGTTGGTGGTTTGAAACATATTTTCCATAATATATGGGATGTCATCCTTCCTCTTGCCACTGATTTTGTTCAAGATGGTTAAAACATTTAAAAACCACCAACCAGTTCTAACATGTGATAGTGAATTTTCCCGTTAAAAATGGTGATTTTCCATAGTTTTTGGTAAACGTTTACCAGAGGGTATTGAATCCACGTATTTACAGTTCTCAACTGACTTTCATATTTTTCTGAGGGGTAGGTATACCACCAACCAGATCACCAACGTGATGTGTATTACAGTCTCAAAACTGGTTGGTGGTTTGAAACATATGTAGCTGTTTAGCAGAGGGTAAATCTCCATTTTCCCATGGTTTTCCTATGGTTTTCCCATTTTCCTTTGCTTTACCAGAGGGTCATTGGCATTTCTTTCTGGCGTTCACCACCTTCAAAACGTGGATTTTTTCTCTGTTGCCGCGAGGTGGTGCTGGTGCAGGAGACGTAAAGCGTCAAGCGCGGAAGATGGGGATGCGGGGTGGTTCAATGTGAAAATGCCCAGCGGTGGGAAAACATATGAAAAACATATGAAAAACTAACAATGATGGCAAGGATTTTTTTCAGAGCTTTAGGTGGTTTTACAAATATGTTATAAAGTTAATTAAAGTTATATCAATCAGAAGACTTGGGGATATATACGTCGCAAACATTTTCAGACAAAGCCAGAGTAGCGCTATACCAGACTAGCCCTTTTTATATATACCCCATCCCAGGCGAATCCAGAAGCATTTCTGGGCAATTTTCACCAGGTGCCTCTGCAGAAACTGACCGATGTTTGCAGGTCTTGAAATGTCCCGTTCCGTTTTTTTGTGAATGGAAATTGGGAAATAAAGATTGGATACAGATTGGATACCCATCTAGGGATATCTACTTCAAGAAACCCATTTGCTTTCCACAGAAAGTAATAGCTTTGTGCAGGATTGTCTGAAAATAGACTACCTCCTATTCCATCGGAATGTTTGATGTTCCCGGTCAAGATGGCCATCTATGGGTATGCCCTATTTTCAGACAAAGCCATGTATGATGTTTACTTGGCTGGTTGGTGGTTTGGAACATGAATTTCATGTTTCCATTCAGTTGGGAATATTAACCCCAGCTGACGAACTCATATTTTTCAGAGGGGTGGCTCAACCACCAACCAGATGATGTAAAAACTTGGTCTCGTCTTATTCCAAGGTTTCCAAGCTTCAACCTACCTGGGGGTTTCCACAAAATGAACTCACGATGAACTCACCCCATTTCGAAGGACCAGTTGGCCCTTGATGGCTGTTCTCGCCTGCTGGATCACACTGACATGAAAAGTGTCACTTGCTTTGAGTAGTTGAAGGGTGGGGAATCTCCTGTTATGGAAGTTGATTTTTTACATCGTGCCCGGTCGTGCCCTTCAGTTATTAGTAGCTCTAAGGCAGAAAGTATATAATATTTTTGTGGCATCACGAATCTGTGGTTCATTGACTGTCCGTTTGCACATGAGTTTTCTTGAGGGTATGCTGGCTGCATGGCTTTGTCCAGCATTTGTAAAACGGTCACAACCAGAAACTGGAAGCTGCTCCGAGACTTGTACTTGACATCTGAGAAGATGACTGAATGATGGATGGTGAACATGATTTTTGGTGAAAATACAGCGCCAAATACCTGATTTGTATTGGTACGGTTACAGCTTTGTCTCTTGCCTAAACCTTCAAGCGGAAAACCCCCAACCATGGTTTTGAACGTGTATCAACCAGTGGTTAGGTCTTAAAAAAAAATCGTTGTTCTTCGACAATCACCTTGATCTCACCATTGTTTCTTTACACAGCATATTTGTCAACCCATTTTTAAGTACTATATTCAGTTACATGCCTTTTTGTTGTCCTGGTAGTTGGTGAGAACCCTTTGAAAACCGAATGTGTAACCCACATGTATATAACATTATATAACCTATTTCATATAACCTGTTTGGTTTGATAAAATAATATCATCCATCATACATAAGTGGCATGCCTGGCATAGAATCAATTTCATTTATAGTCAAGTTTCCTCATGGTTCCCAAGCAGTTGGAACCAGTATGTTAGGTAAAACCCTTAAGCTTACAAGTATGTGGCAGATCGTTCCAATTGAGGACGAGCTTTTTTCAGATGGGATGAGGAAAAGAAACCAAAGAAATCATCCACGATTTCATGGTGCAGGGGACATCGACAGCAAACAACCACAATATCTACGAATGTGTATCTATGTATATATATATATGATATATACATATATAAATATTGCAAAAAGCAAGGCTCCCTGTAAAAGTTCCCTTGAATCAATCCATTCAATCTCATGTTTGTTTGATGAATCACAAATTTTGATGCTAAAATCTCAACTGGCAATGGACATATTACCGTAGACTTGCCAAGGTTCTGTTTACCCTAGATGGCCTTCAGACCAACCTTGTTACCCTCTGGTAAACAAACATAAATATGGAAAATCACCATGCTATTAATGGGTAAATCCACTATAGATTGCCATTTTCAATAGCAAACTGTTAACTTACCAGAGGGTATATTCCATTAAGTGGATTATAATCCTATTAAACCCCATGGAAAATCCCATTAAATTCCAATTAAACCTTATGAAACCCCGGGTAAACCCATGACTGATGATTACCACAAGGTGGTGCCCCCTAGATAGCTAAGTTGGTTTATAACTCCAATAACTATGGTTTATAGGTGATATATCTATAGTTAATGGGATTATAAACCAACTTATAACTGGGGGGCACCACCTTGTACCCCCTTTGTTCGCGAGATCGAGCTGGAGCTGTTCCAAGGTCACAGGTCCCTTCTGCGCCCTGACCTTTGCGCGCCCGCGGCTGCTGGCGGCCGAGGAAGCGCCGTTGCTGCAGCTGGCGCGGGAGGAAGCGTGGTGCCTGAGGCGGTCAAAGATGGGGGGAGTACTCCTCCAATAAGTTGGTGATGTATCCCATATTTATCATATATACAGAAATACCAGGTATAAGTACTTATAATTATGGAATTATATACAGAAATACCATGAGAAATACCAGGTATAAGTACTTATAACTTATAACCCCATTTATGGAATGTATAATCCCATTTATAAGAACCAGTTATAATATAAATACTTATAATGTCAACCCTGGATTAAACCCCAAACGGCCAAACGGCTGTTGAATTGGGAGGGTACCAGGAAAAAGTATCAGATTATGACTATTTGGGGAGTACCCCCTGACTAATGAACCATGGTTTATTAATCCGGGGTTGGCATTAATCATAATCTAATACTTCAATGGTACCCTCCCAATTGTACCCTCCCAATTCAACAGCCGTTTGCGGTTTAATCCAGGGTTGACACGAACTATCATTTTTTGGGGGGGTTCAGCATTAAACATATGGGAATATAATTGACAAATGATGGTTGATCGATGATTCTATGGGGTTGTATCCAACATATCGGGGACTACCACAATCCATGAACTGGAAAATCCATTCTCAACGGAACAGTTTTTGAAGGGACGACATTTCGGGTTTTGAACACTGCTGAACTATGGTATGTGCATGCTTAGTTTTTTTTGGCGAGATAGGGATGCAGCCCATCTGTTGGTGGGCTCCTTGAACATGAAAACCATTCCTTTTCACTTAGATATATACGGATATGAAGTACGAAAAATTTGCCAGGGTGTTTGAAAATGAGGGAGAGTGGAATCGAACAGAATATGGGTTTGCCTGAAAACAGGGTACCCCAAAATCCTGGGATAGTAATCATTTTTCCGATTCAAATTCTTGTTTGGGGTGTATATCCAATTTTCAGACGGACCCATATGCAGAAAAATGAGCCTGGGCGCAGGAAGAGAGCAAGAATTCAAAAACTTGCATTTTTTTAAGCGTAAGCGTTGGAAATCCGTTTTAACTAGTTCTTCATTGTTTGGGGTTCCCTTGTTCAGTAACAAAATCATGCAGCTGAGACGATGTTTTTGTTGTACGTCTCAGGTTTGGACACGAGTCATTGATGCAGAAAGAATGGATTGCACACCTGGTCAAAGGTGTTTCCTTTTTGCCTAGTTAGAGACCATTATCCACCGTATACTTCGGATACTTGTGTACAAAAAATCCACATGTCTACGTAGATTTTGATCTGCATCTTTAGATTGTTTTAGAACTGAACATGAGTCTGTATACATGGCCAGAGAGATAGACAAATACTGGTAGGATCAAATAGGCACAATAAATCTGTAAGTAATTAGAGAAATATTGTTGGGTACCCTTTGGTTATTTGACATAGCCATCTATGAATGATTTACCTATATTTACCTATTAAGAATGGTGATTTTCCATGGCTACGTTAAATAACCAAAGGGTATATCTCCATATTTCAATGAGAATTTCAGGATCCCAAAAAGGAGGCACTGTACCATATAAGACCATATTTGGTTGGTGGTTTCAAACATTTTTTATTTTCCATAATATATGGGATGTCATCCTTCCCATTGACGAACTCATATTTTTCAAGATGGATATTGCACCACCAACTAGATATTTTGTTGGGATATTCCTTTTCCATATATTGGGAATTTCATTTTCCCAACTGACGAACTTATATTTTCAGAGGGATGGCTCAACCACCAACCAGCCTTACATAGGCCTGATCCAATACATGGAGGCACGTTAGTATCATATTTTTCACCATTATGTATTATTTTGTTGGGATATTCCCTGAACCTAAGGCCTAAAAAAATAGGCCTTATATGTATATATATATACATATACATATGGTAGGTACCTCCAATGTTTACTAACAAAATTAAGATTCTTTCCCATCTTCGTTTCAGACGCCAGGGACGCCTCCAATCACGGCGCCGTGGTGAGAGCCGTGAATCGATGGATCACATCTGTCTACGACTGCCAGGCGTCGGCGGGATGGAGCTAGCGAGCTAGCCACATGGGGAGCAATGGGGAATCGAGCAACATGTGGGTTGCCAAAAATTGGGGGAACTCACCTAAATGATCTAAATGATTCTAAATGCTTGGTGGTGACTGGAACATGAATGGATTATGACTTTCCATTCAGTTGGGAATGTCATCATCCCAACTGACTCATATTTTTCAGAGGGGCGGCATTGAAGTTCGTACTTGCTTCACACCCTTGGGACGAAGTGCCCTCATTCTGTGACTTTGTCATAGCTACGGATTTCTACGCTCATTTAGCAAGTACCATCAATATATTATGTATATAAATATAATATTATATGTATGTTGATTCCACATGTTTGATTGGTGAACATCACATTTTGGCCGTATAAATTCCGATTCTTGGTGAATCCTCAATTCTTTCTGAAGTTCCAAGATGTTCCCAAGCATTTAGATCTGGTTGGTGGTTGATCCCATTGCATGTTTATATCATTGAGTACTGTACAGGATGGGGCCCCCCAGTTATAAGTTGGTTTATAAACCATTGTAGTCCCCATTAACTATAGTTATATCTACCATAAACCATTGTTAAGCCACTTATAAACCAACTGAACGCTATCGACTGGGGGCCCCATCCTGTAGGAGTTTGTATGGTTTGGAAACTGGACAAACAAGAAGAGAATCAGTCAGTTCCAGTCAGTCCTTTGGACGATTTGCTGGTTCATGTGTGGTCAGGCGTTAGAATGTTGATGCAAGATGACTCAGACTGACTTATCTGGTTGGTGCTTTGGAACATTTTTTTGGACCATATATTGGGAATTTCATCATCCCAACTGACGAACTCCATCATTTTTTCGAGGGGTAGGGTGGCTCAACCACCAACCAGTTATAGATTTTTCGAAAGCTTGTGCACCAACCGAGCAGCACATCTGGAAGAAAAAACGATTCCGACAACCTTCGACTGTGGCTGTTTTCTGGAACACTACAGCACGTACAGCCGACAAATTTGAGACCTACAATTGGTCAAAAGGCTGTACAAGTTAAAAGATGTATGTAAACTATAAACTAAATTAAACTGGTATACAGGGGCTTTTTGGATGCAAGCTACCATGTCATGTTCTAGTGTATTTGTCTGGGTTTTGTTTCAAGAGACTGAAATGAACACTTCTTCAACTTGTTCAACTGAAAGATTCCTAGAACTTGTTCAGTTGAAAGACTACGCTGAAGTGAAATCCTTCCCCCTCATATATTGAACATGGTATTTTACCCATTAAAGCCATGCTTTAGTAGGTTGAATCCACATAGGAACAATCAGACCATGGGGGTGTTAAACTGTTATCTATGAACGCTTTTGGATACCGACCGATGATGTCCATCCTGCTGTCCATTTTCTGTTGGTTTGGAAAAATCATCCACAAAAAAGATCACCCAATTGTTGATGGTTTTTTTAATCATAAATCCCATTTTATATAAATCCCAATGAAATCCCATTAAAATATATTAAAGACCCATGAAAACCCATTTAAATCCCATTAAAGTCCCATTTAAAGTCCCATAAAAAGCCAGCTGGATAACCATCAAAGCATCGATCTCCAGGCGTCTCAGCGTTTGTTGGCCTTCTTTGAGGCGCTGGGGCGCTGCGACCGATTCATGTTGATTCATGTTGATTCATGTTGATTTACCCTCTGGTAAACTAACATAACTATGGAAAATCACCATGCTATTAATGGAAAATCCACTATAGATTGCCATTTTCAATAGCAAACTGTTAACTTACCATGTTGATTTAGTTGTTTTTGTTTCGTGATCCCATTTCCCCTGGTCGAAAGTGTGAATCCTTTCTCTCCGGGAGATTTTTGATGAAATCTCTCCGGTTTCGCGGGGTAAAACGAACCACTTGGCTTTAAAGAGGAGCTGGTTGGTGGTTTTTATATTTTCCCCTATATATTTGGGATGATTTTCTCCAATCTGACGAACTCACTCCATCATTTTTCAGAGGGGTAGGTCAACCACCAAGCAGAGGAGTATAAGCTACAAACTCGGAGGCCTCATGAACCAACCAGATCGCGTGAGCCAATGGATTCTTCGGTCTTCACCTACCGGTCGTTGTTCATCATCATCATCATCATCATGCGGCCCCATTTTTCCCGGTTGTTTAGTCACAATTGAGAAAAAGAACATGTTCTATCTCATGATAACATGATAAAAGCATGTTTCTTGGGGGTAAAGTCATGTGTGTTGTTGTGCTGTTCGCCGATCCTTGGTGGAACCAGCTTAAGTCACAATGTTTTTTTGTGATTTACATTGACGTAATCCTAACTTTGGTGGAATCCTAACTTGGGACCAATCACCCAAACCTTTTGCCAGTAAAATGGTGTAAAATCACCACATGTGTAGATTTGACCTGGGAGCGCAGTTCCACTCACAAGTGGATATCAAATATTTATCAAAGCATATCTGGTTGGTGGTTTGGAACATGTTTTATTTTCCATTTCATATATGGGATGTCATCCTTCCCATCGACGATGGCCCATCGACTAATATTTTTCAAGATGGTTAAAACCACCAACCAGATATTATAGGTACCTCAGTATATGTGGGATATCCCCAGGGGTTATCCGTCGATGGAGCGCTTTCCATCCGCACAGGAACTGAGCCAAGCGGTGCCAGCGGTTACCGTGGTGGCCGTGGTACCTGGACATGTGCCGCTGAAGGAGGCACCGAAAAAAGGATGGCTGAGTGGAGCTGCAGGATGGGGCCCCCAGTCGATAGCGTTCAGTTGGTTTATAAGTGGCTTAACAATGGTTTATGGTAGATATAACTATAGTTAATGGGGATTATTTCATTGTTTATAAACCAACAAACATCACTGGGGGGCCCATCCTGTGGAAACGGCTGGACCTTTCATGCACTCAACTGCACAGGGACTCAAATTGTAGGACTTTCAGTGACCCCATCTTTAGGGTCTATAATGATAGATCCAGGGTCCAGGGTCCCTAGGTTTTAGTTGAGGGTATGATCTTTTTTGGGTTTTTATCATGGTTCCGTATATTAAATATCATGTGTTGATGGCGATATTATGGGGATATAACTCATCAACTTGTTTTTTTTTCGCATGTTATCTTGGGTTGAATGTGGGAAACCTGCCATAAACCTACCACTTGGGGATGGTTTATACCATCCATTTAATGGTGATTTGGGGGGATGGTTTTTTCTTATCCAAATGGGATTGATATGGATTGAGGCCGAAACCAATGGGTAAACCAATGTCTGGCTGGTGGTTTGGAACATGTTTTATTTTTCCATTCAGTTGGGAATGTCATCATCCCAATTGACAAACTCCATCATTTTTCAGAGGGGTAGGTTGAAACCAACCACCAACCAGATGTAAACATAATCCGGTTGGTGGGTTCAAACATTTTTTATTTTCCATTTCATATATAGGATGTCAGTCGAAACCCATTGACTTTCACTCCATCATTTTTCAAGATGGTTATTGTACCACTAACCAGTAATGTAAACCAACTAACATTGAGAATGGAACCATGGAGTATTTCGTAGGATGAACAAGCACCAAACACAGGTTTGTACCATTAATCTGGATCCATGGAGTTGGTTCATGGAGTATGAAAATTGAAAAAAGCTTGAGGGAATATACCCGGCCTGGTAAACGTTAACAGTTTGCGAACTTGAAGCCATGGCCCAATCGAAATAGTTGATTTACCCAGCTATAAAAGGTGATTTTCCATAGCTATGTAAACGTTTACCAGAGGGTAATGCATGTGGAAAATCACCATTTTCAATGGGTACATCAACTATTTCTATGGGCCATTTTCAATAGCTATGTTAAATTACCAGAGGGTATATTGAATAGGAACTCAAGATTTATATATATCCTACCTGGATGAACATGGGCCCAGCTTTAGCCATGCACGTAGATTTGCTGCTGCTTAGCAGCAACCTTTCGGAATTGGGATTTCATTCGCAAAATGACGGAGTTCACAACGAAAATACAGGTCATTCTGGATTGAAACAACTAAGAAGTGGGATCTGACAATCAAAATTTGGCATGTGTCCAACTCCTTGTTGGATGGGAAGAAAAGGTGATCCGCTCATCAATTTAAAGCTGTTAGGTGATCATCAATAATCATCAGTGAAATTTCACCGCAGTAATCAGCCAATCAAACATGGAGGTTTCCATAAATGGTGGTAGCCCTAAATCATCCATTTTAGTAGGCTTTTCGTTTATAAACCATCCATTTTGGGGTGCCTCCATTCATGGAAAGAGAAGCAAGGCAGCAAAATGTGAAGCAAAGCACAAGACATGAAGCAAATTCAGTATTTTAAAAAAAAGTAATGCAAGCAAAGGGCAGTAACGAAAAGTGGAGAAAAGAAACAAAAAAACAAAAGACATGGAAAAGAGACGCTTAAAGAAACAAAAGAAGAAACCAAAAAGAAAGAGAAACATAGAAACAAGGAAAAGAAATAAGATGACAGAGGAACAAACAAAAAAAGACAACCATAAGAAATAGAGAAAGAAGAGGAAGGAAAAAAAAGAAACAAGCAAAGGAAAGAAAGGAAAGAACAAAAGAAAGAAAACCAAAAAAAAGAAATACAAAAGAAAAACAAAAGAAAGGAAATATTAAAGACAGAAAAACACGAAAAGAAATTTCAAAAAAAACAACAGAAAGAAAAGAAAACGCAAAGGAAAGACAAAAAAGAGAGAGAACCGGTTGTGGTGGTCGGATAACCACGTTAAACACCAACAAACCACCGACTTCAGCCAAAGTAGACAACCAAAGTCGGGAAAAGGAAAACAGAAAAGGAAGAAAGGAAAGGACAAGAACAGTAAAAGACAACAAGAAAAAACAAAGAGAAAAGAGAAAGGAAAACAGAGAAAAGAATGAAGAAAGTGAAGGAAAAGAAACTGACAAAACACCCGACAGCACGGGGACAACACGAAAAGACAAAGAAACCAACAGTGACCTCAAATCCTTCGTTCGCGCAGTCGTACCTGAGCCGAAGCACCGTCTCACAGCACCTGTGCAGGTGGTCAAGTCAAGCTTGACATTGCCCACCCTGCTCATCCTAATCTTTTGGTGACCGGACAGCTCGGCTTTGGTGGCCGGACAAGCGGTGGCCTTCCGGGCTCTGGATCATATGATCCAGAGGACCCGAAAGGCGCTATCGGAAGTCTTGGGAAGACTTTGTCACTGCGCATATGGATTGGGCATTGGATGCAGCGCCATGACTGGCTTTCGCTCGACGATGTTCGCGCACAAAAATTTGGAGGTATTTGGCCTGCATGAATCATAAATCTTACTATATTTATCAGATTTTTATCGGTTTGTTTTTTAACCTTTTAGTATTGTATATTTATTTCATTTGGTTGTTATTATTATTGTTATTGCTAATATTTGTTTACTGTTATTGCCATTTTTACCACGATTATTACCATTTTTTTACTATTGGTATTTTTCATTTTTCTATTTCTTTACTTATTATTATATTATCATTATAATTTCATTATTATCTATATTATTTATTTATATTTGTTTATCATTGTTATTTTGTTACATAGATTTATTTGCATTTACTTGAACTAAGGCATTGCTGGCCGGCTGATCATGAAAATACTTTCAAAGCAAAGAAGATGCCCCATACCATAAACAATACCGCTACGGCTACGTCATTTGCATCAGCAGGAAAAGGTTATTCAGAACAAGGGCCAGGAAGCGTGGCTGGAATTGCTTCAGATGGGATTTCGCAGACGCACTGCGCGTATGCCCGAAGAAGCATTCTAGACCACTTTTCTGGTTGGCGGTTTGGAACATGAATTTTATTTTTCCATATATTGGGAATAATCATCCCAACTGACTAATATTTTTCAGAGGGGTTGAAACCACCAACCACTTTTGGAAGTTGAGATGTTGGCGCGAAGTATATGTCTAAAACACCACATGTTCGCGCCACTTTTAAGTATTCACAACCTGTTTCCACTAATGTTTGCGGCGTGCGGATTGCACTTGGAACGAACATGATTTTTTGTCATCATGTCCGACATAACCTTGGTTGGACTCCCCATTGCCATTTCCCCTAGAGAATGGGGTCACTCGATTTGTCCCTTTCTTTAGATAGAAACCTTCAGTCAGTTAATTTGATTTTTATCTAGTTATGTCTGACAATGTTCAAGAGAGAGAAGGTATACCAGTAGTACCGCACAAGGCGGTGGCGGAAGTTTCAAAAATAGGAAACCTATAGGAGAGGTTGGTTGTTGTGAATCAGGGATGGCAGAGCGAAGCCACTGATGGACTGAAAGGTGCTTGAGGTCTCCTCTCTTTCTGTCTTTTTCTCTCTGTTTCTCTATCTTTCTCTGATTATCTACCTACCTACCTACCTACTGAATCCTACTGATCTATCTGTCTACCTATCTATCTGTCTGTCTTTCTATCTATCACACTATCTATCTATCTATCTATCTATCTATCGATCGATCGATCGATCTATCTATCTATCTGTCTATCTGTCTATCTGTCTATCTGTCTATCTGTCTATCTGTCTATCTGTCTATCTGTCTATCTGTCTATCTGTCTAGCCATCTATCTATCCATCTATCCATCTATCTATCTACCTATCTGTCTATCTGTCTACCTGTCTATCTGTGGTGCAGTGTCATTCAGTGTAATGTAGTGTAGTGTAACGTAGTGTGTAGTGTAGTGGAGTGTAGTGGAATGTAGTGTAACGTAGTGTAATGTATGTAGTAGTGTAGTGCAATTTAGTGTAGTGGAGTGTAGTGGAGTCTAGATGTAGTTGTAGCTGTAGTTGTAGTGCAGTGGAGTGTAGTGTAGTGTAATGTAGTGAAGTGTAGTGGAAGGTCGTGTAGTGTAGTCCAGTGGAGTGTAGTGTAATGTAGTGTAGTGTAGTGTAATTTAGTGTAGCGGAGTGTAGTGGAGTGCAGCTGTGTAGTTGTGTAGTTGTAGTTGTAGTGTTGTGGAGTGTAGTGTAGTGTAATGTAGTGAAGTGTAGTGGAAGGTAGGGTAGTGTAATGTAGTGTAGTGGAGTGTAGTGTAGTGTAATTAATGTAGTGTAGTGTAGTGTAATTGAGTTAATTGAGTGCAGTGTAGTGTAGTGGTGTGTAATGTAGTAAAATGTAGTGAAGGTGAAGTTGTAGTTGTAGCTGTAGTGTAATCTAATGTATTGGAGTGTAGTGTGGTGTAGTGGTCGTTGTCGTTGAAAATGCTACAAAGCCCTCACGTTTTTCCTCACTTTTGACAAGGTGCACAATCCCTTGCGCCTGCCATGCGAAGCAACATCTGAACCTTCAAAAGTGGTCCGAACCCCTAGTGTTTTGAACATTTTCACTTCGAAATGTGCGTCGTGCCACAACGGCGTGCACTTTTTCGACATCGCAACTTCCAAAAGTGGTCCGGCACTGAGGTGTTTTCTGCATTTTCACATCGAAATGTGCTTCGCGCCACAACGGCGTGCACCTTTTCGACATCGCAACTTCCAAAAGTGGTCCGACACTGAGGTGTTTTCTGCATTTTCACATCGAAATGTGCTTCGCGCCACAACGGCGTGCACCTTTTCGACATCTCAACTTCCAAAAGTCGTCCGACCATGGTGTGTTTTGCGCATTTTAACTTGAAAATGTGCTTCGCGCCACAACGGCGTGCACTTTTTCGACATCTCAACTTCCAAAAGTGGTCCGACCATGGTGTGCTTTGTACATTTTGACTTCGACATGCGCTTCGCGCCACAACGGCGTGCACTTTTTCGACATCTCAACTTCCAAAAGTGGTCCAAGAATGGTGTGTTTTGTACATTTTGACTTGGAAATGTGCTTCGCGCCACAACGGCGTGCACTTTTTCGACATCTGAACTTCCAAAAGTGGTCCGAGGCTGACGTGTTTTGTACATTTTGACTTGGAAATGTGCTTCACGCCACAACGGCGTGCACTTTTTCGACATCGCAACTTCCAAAAGTGGTCCGAGGCTGACGTGTTTTGTACATTTTGACTTGCAAATGTGCTTCGCGCCACAACGGCGTGCAATTTTTCATCTCTCATCTGGCCAGCTGTCTCCGCACCCGCCGCTTTAGCGAGCCTACTTTTCGACCCTCCGGAGCCCCAAATCATTGGAAAAACACAGTGTTTCGCGACTTTCCTACCTTTTCACGCATCTGCATCTTCTTTCGTCTTACTCTTTCTCTTCTACTCTTCTTTTTCTAATCTTTCTCTTCTCTCTGCCTCTTCCCTGCTCTGCTTTTCATCTGTCCATATTGTCGGAAGTTTGACTTCTAAACTTCCTTCGATAAGGAAAAGATAGAAATAGGTTTACATTCAACTAGATTTGCTGACATGCGATGAGCTGTTTTTAAATGTTCTAGTTCAAAATTGTGAAGAAAGAACTTCAGGATTCATTCTACCGTGCCAACAATTTGAAGCACCAACGAAGGATATCTTTTGGCCATTGGGGATGGTTTGGAATGTGGGCCTTTTAGCAATGAAAGATACTGTAACCTGCTGTAACCAGCCAAAGAAAAATTGTTTGCTTTAAATTTCTGGTTGGTGGTGACTGGAACATGGCTGGATTTCATTTTTCCCAATAGTTGGGATGATTTTCTCCAATCTGACGAACTCCATCATTTTTCAGAGGGGTAGGCCAACCACCAAGCAGATTTTGTTTGAACCACGTCAAGTCTCAATTCACATCAAGTCATGAAGTCCCATCATCCATCATCAGAATTTCAGTCTTGCGGGCGATCCAGACAAATTGGACATCATTCGGCCCATTCATTGTTTTTGGACTAAGGGCTCTATAGGGTTCCTCACAATTTTTGGTTTATATAACCCCACCACTCATCATCATGTCTGGTTTAAATTTCTAAAACCCACATTTTTTGAGGTAAATCCACTACTCACCATAAATTTCTGCTCTGGAATGCAATTTTTGCGGGTAAATCCATACCCATCCACCCCAGATGTCCCCAGATATTCCCGGCCTCCTGGCTACGCCAGGCCTGTATCGAAGCCTTGGCATTGACGGATGAAGCAAGGACGGATGAGGTGAGTGTGTGTTTTTCCTAGATGACATTGGTAGAATTGGTTTTTATGGATGATCGTGATATGAATAGATATGAATAGATCCAATAAGTACAGTCCACTAGGAGGTTAGGCTACTGGGCTGCTAGGGCTTTGATTGGGGATGTTCCATATGTGCGGTCAAAATATGGTGGGTATTTGTCATCCATCCCTTTTTTAATGGATTGACAGGGATAGATCAAACACCTCATCATACCATATTTTGCTGGGGATGAACATCCATTGGTTGGATTTTTAAAAGGGCATGTTTGGATACACAACCAACTACACAACGGAACTTGATGTGATTAATCGGTTTTAACCATCCACAGTGGGAGTTTCATGGGTTTTTCATGGATAATCATTAGCACTGCGGTTCATCCTACAAAATTGGATCAAACCTCAAGTTGTTTCAGATTTTGAAGTGATTTTTCCGATGAGTTTTAACGATTTACGATGAAATTGGTAAGTCTGAGAATCTGCTGTCCAAAGGGGAAATCTACAGGCCTACTCAAAAATCATCTATAAATTGGGATCTTCCATTGCCGGGTTAGATTGCCACCGGCGAATGAGCCCCTTCCTACCCTTACAAAGTTCCCTTACTGGTAAATTAGGAATGGCTTGTTCTTCAAGGCTGAAATTTCCCTATCATTTTCCTCAGATTTGGATACCCTGGAGAGGTGGAAACACGGAACACGGAACCATGTGCATGCTGTGTATAATGCAAGCCATCAACATATACATACATACATACATACATATATATATATATAAATAAAAACAGTTTTATGTTTACATAATTGAATTGTTATACAGATCACAGATTCTAAATGAATATCATCGTAGTTCATGTAAATATATGCATATACCTATATATGTATCATTTACATATGCACAATGTGGTAAACCCAAGAATAAGCCATCCCAATCTCACCAGAATTAGGTGGTATTCACCCTCCAAAATTGGAGGCTTACCATCCAAGACTTGCCGCCGCAGGAGCCGAGCTCGTTTGTTGCGAGGTCTTCGTCACGGACAGGCCTTTCAAAGATTCCTGGGTTTGAACACAAAAGATGTGAGTTTCAACATGGTTAAATACGTGGTCTAAACAACAAGACCTAGAATTCCTTGGCTATTGGTTGATAATAGACGATATCATCAATAATCGAAGGAAGTTTAGAAGTCAAACTTCCGACAATATGGACAGATGAAAAGCAGAGCAGGGAAGAGGCAGAGAGAAGAGAAAGATTAGAAGAAAGAAGAGTACAAGAGAAAGAGTAAGAAGAAAGAAGATGCAGATGCGAGAAAAGGTAGGAAAGTCGCGAAACACTGTGTTTTTCCAATGATCTGTGGCTCGGGAGAGTCGAAAAGCAGGCTCGCTAAAGCGGCGGGTGCGGAGCCAGCTGGCCAGATGAGAGATGAAAAATTGCACGCCGTTGTGGCGCGAAGCACATTTGCAAGTCAAAATGTACAAAACACGTCAGCCTCGGACCACTTTTGGAAGTTGCGATGTTGAAAAAGTGCACGCCGTTGTGGCGTGAAGCACATTTCCAAGTCAAAATGTACAAAACACGTCAGCCTCGGACCACTTTTGGAAGTTCAGATGTCGAAAAAGTGCACACCGTTGTGGCGCGAAACACATTTCGAAGTCAAAATGTACAAAGCACACCATTCTCGGACCACTTTTGGAGGTTCAGATGTCGAAAAAGTGCACGCCGTTGTGGCGCGAAGCATATTTCCAAGTCAAAATGTACAAAACACACCATTCTCGGACGACTTTTGGAGGTTCAGATGTCGAAAAAGTGCACGCCGTTGTGGCGCGAAGCACATTTTCAAGTCAAAATGTGCAAAGCACACCATTCTCGGACCACTTTTGGAGGTTCAGAAGTGTACGCCGTTGTGGCGCGAAGTACATTTCGAAGTCAAAATGTACAAAACACACCATTCTCGGACCACTTTTGGAGGTCCAGATGTCGAAAAAGTGCAGGCCGTTGTGGCGTGAAGTACATTTCGAAGTCAAAACGTACAAAACACACCATTCTCGGACCACTTTTGGAGGTTCAGATGTCGCTTCGCTTCACTACACTACACTACATTACCCTACACTACTACACTACACTACACTACATTACACTACATTCCACTACACTACACTACACTACATTACACTGAATGACACTGCACCACAGACAGACAGGTAGACAGACAGACAGACAGATAGATAGATAGATAGGTAATTGGATGAAAGAGAGAGATAGATACTGTAGATTAGATAGATAGATAGATAGATAGATAAATACATAGAAGATAGATAGGTAGGTAGGTAGATAGTCAGAGAAAGAGAGAGAAAGAGAGGAGACCTCAAGCACCTTTCGGTCCATCAGTGGATTCGCTCTGCCATCCCTGATTCACAACGACCAATCTCTCTTATAGGTTTCCTATTTTTGAAACTTCCGCCACCGCCTTGCGCGGTACTACTGGTAAAAGCTATCAATAATGGGATATTCTGCCAATGCTGCGATACAATGGGATATATAATCCTACAGTGTGAGACAACATATAAGGCTGAACCGTCAATCAATACATGATATGCAAATTCGGCTGTTGAAGGGCGGTATGTCGACCAAGAAATGTGTGACATGGATCTGTAAATGTAATAGGTATTTCAACAGCAGCAATCGGGAAATATTTGAATGAAGCGATTTGTCAGTCAAGGCATCCTGTGTTGGCCGGGAAGGGTGGAGTCCAGCAATTCTGTACAGTTTTCTGTGGCTAAAATCAATGGGGATTTGAGTGAAACACGTGTTGGATGTTTTCTCTGGTAGTTAATCTCACATGGCCGGAAAATCCTCATTGGAATTTCCGGCTGCCCATTCCATGAGGGCTGCCCGAATTATAACGACGTCACCCGACGTCACCTCAGAAATGGACCTAAGCCATTGATTCCCTGCTGGTTTTTCCAAGCAACTGGAAGGGCAGAAGGGAAGTATGCTAAGCTAGCAGTAAGAGAGCTTCCTTGCTGCATGCCACGCGACGCATCGTGGGCCGCCCAGAATGGTTCGAAGCGCATTCCACAATCCCTACGAAACTCAGAGTTCAGGAGGCTCTTCGCGAAGATGGCTGGATGCTTTATAACAAGAATCTATGGAAGAAAAACTCAGATTGGGATGGATGGTGGGACAAGTTAGATGCCGATGCAGGTGATGGCCGCAATTTCTCAGAAGCTTGGCAAGCTCTTGGTATATCTTGCACGACATAGAAAATAAAATATTTCTTGCGACGTAAATCTTATTTCAATTTTGAAATGAACAATTCGACCCAACGCCCTACGAAATATAGTGATTCAGCCAAATGAAGGTGTTTGCATGGGGCGCAGGCCGTGGATGATGGTCCCTGTTTTTTTGGTGGTCCCTGGTGATCAAAGTCGTTCATGATCAAAATGAGAAGTCAGGAAAACATCTTCTCAAAGCCATTTTTGGAGCATTCAATGTGCAGTTTCGAGCACAACTAGCTCCCGAGCGGAGGCTCCAGAGTGGCTGCCAGCAGCAGAGCAAGTGCTGGAGTTGTTTTCGAGGCCGGGAGGGACCGTGGGAGCATTGAAACCTACTTGGAGGATCGCAGGAACCTTCACTGGTTCATAAGATATATTTGGGTTACTTCAATATGGGGGGGTATATAATATACATATATAATATTTATATATATATATATGTATATTTTATATGTACAATATATATATATGTGTGTGTGTGTGTCAGGGTATATTTACAATAACTGACTGCAAGTAGTGATAGAATAGGAATATAAAGGGCATATAAGAGACACGCCATATATAATGCTGAAAGGCCACGGGCACCATCAAGCAGTCAGCCCATGAGCCAAAAGGCTATGGATTACATAGCCCCTGGTGCTGCGTGCCCGAAGGATAGTTGCGCGCAGAGAGGCCGCACTGAGCACAAGAACTCTGTCGGGACAGCTTGTTGCACTCCGAAGCCATATGTCACTATCCTCTGTCAGCATCCAGCGTAAGATTGGAGGTGGGCATAGCTGCTAGCCATTGCAAGAAGGGCAGTTAGGGCCTATGTGGCCAGCCGCTGGTGCCTATTCTCAGTGTGGGATAACCCCCTGAATTGGGGACTTGCTAACTAGAGTTGCTATAAGTAGATAACAACAACCATTCTTAGTGCATATGCTGGCATATCCGGGGTGTTTTGCGTGTGTAAATGCATCATAGCCATAGTTACCTGGCATGGGGTGACAGTGAATACCTCCATTTGAATTGTGGGTCTGAGTATTGAAAAAATAGTCCTTGGTAATTTAACATAGCTGTTGAAAATTGCCATTTAGAGTTGATTTACAGTACCTTTTAAAAATGGTGATGTTCTAATATAGTTTTGTTGGTTTATTAGAGGGTAGTCTTGTCTATGTATATATCTACAGGGTAGTCTTGTCTTTGTGTGGTAGATATATCCAACCAGTAGACAGGGCTCATAAACCAAGAAGTAAAACGTTTTCGGGGAAATACCTTGTAATTAGTTTTGGCAACTTGATTTACCAGATTTTACATGCTTTTACCAGCTCAAAATTGGTATGTGATTAGTGAATTCCCTTCCCCTTAATACTAAACACCGCCAGTGTATGTTCCCAAACAGATGTAAATTCCCTATTAAAACATGGTTTCTGGGGGGGAGGGATTAGTTGAATTATTCGTTGGGGGCGCTCTTGATTGCGCTGAACACAGCTAGTTGTTCAACTATATTCACGTGAATTTCACTTGGATGTTGGGGTTTGTTTGCTTTGTGGGTATTCGGGTTCGTAGGCTTCATCTTGTTCATGCACAGCCCGTTTGTACCCAAAGACTGCAGTGTTGTCGTGGTCCTCAGTCGAGAGTGTCTGCGATCATTGGAGTGGAACAACACGGAGGCAACAATACGGAGGCCAAGACGGAGACGGGGGCCAACACGGCCAACACCTGGGGCCAACACGGAGTGGAGGTGGACCCCCCGTACTCGGCGCCATACAGACATGCCTTGGAATACATCACTGTTTTGAGCGACAACGCGTTGCATGTGACCAGGCTTCTGGGCCGAGTTTTGCCTCAATGGTTGCATGTGCTACAGCGTTCATTGGAGTCACCCTCTATACCCCCGAAAGGTTTCCAAGGCTCTCCCCAAAGATGGTGATCGATTCACGGCTTTTCCCAACCCTGGATGTGCTGTCGTCCGGCCACAGGCGTCTTCACTGCTTCACGCTTGTAGGGGCGCATGGTCCTTGCTTGCAACTTGACTAGCGGTGAGACAGAAATCATCTGCAGGTATGGTGCGGCTGGTATGGTTGGATATAATGTCAGGTTGGATATAATGTCAACCCCGGATTAATAAACCATGCTTTATTTTCATTAGGGGGGTACTCCCCAAATGGTCATTTCATCTGATACTTATATAAATGGTATCCCCCCAATTAATTAAACAACCGTAAACGGAGTTTATTAATCCAGGGTTGACATTCGACTGAAGGTGATGGCTGTTATTCCCATTGATTCCTCTTTGTTCATCCACTATTTGAGGACTCTGATGTGGTAAATCATGGCAAACCCTGGCGAAGCCAATGCCGTGAACCGTCCCATCAACCAACGAGTTGTATGCCCAAGGCCGTAACCCCAAATTGGGGGATGTTTATCATTGGCATAACACCACACTACCAGTAATCTGTCGTATTTTTTTATGGCTCCCTAAAACCGTCTAACATCCAAAGTTAAGCTGATCCAGCATCGAAAGAGTAGGTTCCTGATAGAGGAGCATTTGGACAATCCTCATTGGGGTTTTAAGCCATGTTCAAATTGATCTGATCATGATCCTACTTGAATTACTTGACTTTTGAGTATTTTTTACTTTGAGACATCATGTGAAACCCCTTTGATTTCAGTGGTTCACCCATGAAATCCGCACCATCGCCCCAGGTATCTGGCCCAAGATATGTCAGCTTTGGGTCATCCAGTCCTTGGTATCCTCACAACCCAAGAAGGCGGGAAAATCGCCAGACTGTTGTACTCACGTATATATATATATATATGTATATGTATATGTATATGTATATATATATATACATACACAGTATTTATCACGAAAGGTAGCCTCCTAGCGGGCTACCTTGAGTTTTACTTTGCGAAGCAAAGGGGCGGGCTGGACCCCTTATCCCTGAACGACCAGGAGAAAGGGACCCCCCCCACCCCCCCCCTCAAAGGGAACTCTCGCCACATGCCTTGTGCGTCTCTTCACGCAGCAGCCCCTTCGCAGTGTCTCATCATCAGCATCATCGTCATCATCCTCATCATCATCATCATCATCATCCTCCTCCTCATCACCATCATCATTCGACTTGCAATTCGGATTTTTCGATTTTCCAAGTACCCAACGGTGCGATGAAAGTGACAGGTTCGAGCATCCATAGGCACCGCAAAAAGAAACATTGGAGTTTGTGCTAACACTGATCGTGTTTTTTTTTCCCCCCGCACGATGCGTCTGACAATGTATACCTCCAAATGGCTATTTAAATGGACTAAGTGATGAGCAACCATGGACATCGTGGGGTGCTCTCTTTTCGGATCCAGATATCTCCGCTCTGCTCTGAATGTCCAGTTCCATGCCCCCCCCCAAGTGAACTTCAAGTGAACTCTCGTCACATGCATTGTGCGTCTCTTCACGCAGCAGCCCCTTCGCAGTGTCTCATCATCAGCATCATCGTCATCATCCTCATCCTCATCATCATCATCATCATCATATCATATCATCATCATCATTCGACTTGCAATTGGGATTTTTCGACATCCATTTGCCACGTCACTTTAACTTTTGCAAGCAAACGGGTGAAGCAAAGGAACGTCGGCGCTTCTCCATGCTTCAGTTGGACAGAAATTTTCCCTTCGTTCTGTCAAAGCGGTGATTTGCTAGGTCGCATGTCGGCTTTCCCACTGAGTGATCCCCCGCGTCCCCTGTAACACAACTACCTTTCGTGTCACCCCTTCTCAAGTCTAGTTAAGTAACGAAATTGATTGGAAATGTTTGATCCCCCGAGTACAACTGGGTTGCACTGAATGGAGCCCTAGCCCTGATCTCTGAAAAAAGTTGGGATAGATAGAATAGAACCCCGGAAAGCATGAGGTGGTGCACCCAAACATTATGTTTGTCTGTCTAAAAACCCTAGCAACTATAGATATATCTACCATAATTAACACTACTCAAGCCTAGTTATTGGTTTGGCTATCGAACTGGGGCACCACCTTGCATGGATGGGGGTCCAGAGCCGAGAACGCGGGTTGTATCCCGGCTTCGTTAAAAAGAAAAAACGACGTCAAGGAAGCAAACAAAATCATCACAACAAGTTTGGTGTTATTTGGTCAAGAAAACAACAGGTTGGTACTTTGATTTCAAGTCTTGCAGATTCTTACTTATCCAGGTTGTTTTTGTTATTTCAACCATGCAAAAAAAATGTGGTTGAAGGGGGGTTTTGTTTGGGAATTGTTTGCCCCTCTAATGGTCAATTATCGTTCTCCCTGTTAAGATAACCAGTTTGTGGTTAAACCACAATTTTAGAACAAACCCAAATGTATCATGTTGTTGATTTAAAAAAGATGATTAATATTGATTAATGTTGGTTTTATATATATATATATGTGTGTATATATATATGTGTATATATATATACATATATATATATAGATATAGACATGATATAGATATATGCCATAGAATATCCAATAACATGCCCCCATGATATCACCATTTATTGATGAATTCCTCCATTTTCAGGCACACCCACATGGCTGGGCCCTTTTTAGCTAAGTTTGTGAAAAATTTGACCAATTTCACTAAGATTGCTGCTCCATGAGAGGCAAGCACCCCCCCGGCCTGACATACTTGAACGCTCGCGACACGGGGCGGGCAACTGCGCCACCGTGCACCGAAAGGACGGCCATGGTGGCAGGTTCGGCTGGGGCCGGCGCTGACGCACGGTTCATGCCGACAGTTGTCGTCGATTTCCAGGCCAGTGGTGCGTTGAGGCCTGATGAACTCATTGGGGTGTTCGACGTGAGGAAGCAGGCCGACGTGGACTTGGCGCTGGGGCTACTTGGGGTTTTCCATAGAGAGTATCATGACGACGCTGGTGCCGTCAACTACCAGTTCCTGACGAGTGCGCCGAACTCCATCACCAATGCAGACATCAGGACGGTGTTCATTGATGATATATGCCATAGAATATCCAATAACATGTCCCCATGATATCACCATTTATTGATGAATTCCTCCATTTTCAGACACACCCACATGGCTGGGCCCTTTTTAGCTAAGTTTGTGAAAAATCTGACCAATTTCACTAAGGTTGACTCGGGGGTAGAACACAATATAGCTAGAGTTATTAGATGTTATGAACAGGTCTAAACCAATAAGTGGGGGAGCCCATTTTGCAAAAACTTGTCATTCCATAGTGGAAAATCCTATCCCGTTCATAAATCTATCCCCATGATTCATTGGTCCCAGTCGTGTGTTTTTCACTATAATTATAGTAACTAGAAGTATACCAACCATAGTAACGAGGGATCTCTCTACACAAACTACAGTACAGTAACTATAGTCTACAGTATTCAGTTTTAGATTACAACTATAGTATCTATCGAAAATTATAGATATATAACTATTGATCTATTACAACCACAGCAACTATTACTACCGTAACTACGTATAGTAGCTATAGCAACGGGTTTTACTACAATATACAACTATAGTAAGTATATATGATTGAAGATTACAAGTATAGTAACTATAGATCACTATATTACACTATTATAGATCACTATCGATCTATTCTAGCTGTAATAGTAACTATATATGATCTAGTGACATCTAGTGACTATATAACTATAACAATGATAGTAACCTATGTATATATATTTTTAGTAACTATAGGTTCCTATCATTGTTATAGTTATATAGTACTATCTATATGTCATATATATATATATTAATAATGTCCCAGTCATATATAGGAACTATCTATTCTTGGCTCAGGTCTGGCCCTGGAGGAACCTCCGCCGTTGGCCTTGGGCCTGAAGGTGACCCTGGAAGGTGCGCAACGATGGGATTTTTCACAAAAGGATAGGGACATCTAGAGGGGTTGAACCTGAGATATGACCTGAGAGTTAGATTTACCCTCTGGTAAACTAACATAACTATGGAAAATCATGGGAAATCACCATGCTATTAATGGGTAAATCCATTATTTGTTTACCAGAGGGTAGTTTGGTAACACATTCCTTGGACATCTTAGACTTATCCAGACATTAATTGATTTGGAATTTAAGAACTAAGAAACTACAAGGTGGAGCTCCAGATTTGAAAGCTAAATTGGTTGGGTTCTAAGTAGGTGAACTAGGATTTTTTTGGTAGATATGATATGATATGATATGGTATGATATGGTATACCATATCGAACTATATAATGGTGGTTTATAAACCAAAAAGACAAGATAACTGGAGTGGGCACCACCTTGTAATTCGATGAGCATCTCCGTAAGTGAGTGATTAATAGTAACATGTGGTAATCAGACTATCCCCCGGTCATATGTGGGATATACCCTATAGTAGTTATGAACCACTTACTAATTTGGATGTATCCCTAGGGTTGACCAAGTCAAAGGACTCCCCAATGATGGGTGACCATACCCCACGGCCCCTGTGTTTTGGCCATATCTCTCTGAAGAGGGCATGATATGCCGATTTTTTGAAGTCGTTTTTTTTCATGACAAGTAAACTGGCATCGGCTCAATTTTGATGAAATCCCATCTGAAAAATCCGATTTCCGCTTGCCATGCATGAATTTGCTTGAAATCCGCCATGAAAAATGCCTGGTGTCTTTTCATCCAGGGAATTTTGAACCAGCAACTGATGGGAAGTGGGTGGATGATCCCATGACAGGAGATAGCACAGATCGAAAAGTGGGAAACCTGGAAATATGCAGGAAATTTGTATTTACCCATTATATTCCTATTGATTATCCCATTGTATTCAATATATTCCCATGAAATATTATTACCCTCTGCTAAACAAACAAAAAGCTATTGAAGCCATGGCCCAGTCGAAATAGTGGATTTACCCATTAATAGCATGGTGATTTTCCACAGTTACGTTAGTTTACCAGAGGGTAATGTATGTGGCATCCTTTTTTCTGGGCGGCAATTTGTGTTGAGGTGTCGTTTTCCTTTTTTGGTCAAAACCCTACATTTGGATACACTTGGATACATTTGGTCACTTGAATACCATTTGGGTGTCTGAAATTTGGGTACCCTTTCCAAACCCAATTATGTAATAAGCACATTTAAGCCGTGACCAGCCTGTTTCCACAGTGGCATTCCAACACATTCTGTTGGGTTGAATTTCAGATGAAATCCCTTACTGGGTGCGGAAGTTTACCGGTTGGAAATGGAGCCATACATTGGGATTATCACACTTATGGCCCCAAGAAAAAGTTGTAAATGGGATGAAATAACTCCTATCACTAGCTGGTTATATAATTATATATATATCATGAAATAAGCCAGTTATAACCGGCTATAGAGCTATAGCTGTAATAAATCCCTAGATATTACCCAATCATTCGTTTTTTCTTCCCCTGGAGGTCTGTCCGGCGATATCATCAACAGCGTCGCCGCAGCCAGGGACTGGACTGTGCTTCGGCCGATTACCGGTGCTTCGGCCGTGGCTTTGACAATGGGAGATCAATCTGATGCATTTTTTCACAGGGAAAATTATGAAATTGTTATATAGATATATAGATAAATGGTGTATACACACCCTTTCAATAATTGACATGATACCATTCCAAGGAATTTTGCGCAATTATTCTCAGACAAAGCCTTGCTGCTTCCCTGAGATGCACAGACTTGTGCACCTTGTTGTAGTGGACCTTTTGAGAAATATTGCTGAAAAATCATACCCCTCAAAGGGTGCTCCCCATTACTAAGTGGTTCATACACTATAACTGGCGTATATCCCATATAGAACTTAGAACTGCCACTTGGTTGCTGGGATCCAAGCACATCGCGGCCAAGATTTGCTCAGATGATTCAAATAGACATTTCTTTGCCGAGTGGCCAAAGTCGAAGCCTGCAAGTTCCAGAGTCCTCCAAAGTAGGGGACTTGAGGATTATTGCCCAAAAGTCTTTCCAGCAAGGATTCCTCAGGCTTGTCACTCCAAAAGGCCGTGTGCTACTGGATCCTGAGGAATCTCTGCAAACAGTCGGCTTAAAGCAGGGTGACTACCTCACTGCGCTCGTGCTTCAAATAGAAATCGCCTCAACTAGCCGTGCTTTCGCGTTGTATGCCTCTGGCAGTGGTCGGATTAGCACCTGGGGTCCTCATCAGGTTGGTGGTGACTGCTTTGAAGTCCAAGATCAACTTCGCAACATACGACAGGTGCAGAACACGCTTGAGGCATTTGCAGCAATTCTGGCAGACGGATCGGTTGTTGCATGGGGAAACCCTAATTGTGGTGGTGACTGCTCCGCGGTCCAACATCGGTTGAAAAATGTGAAGCACATTCACGCCACGAAGACTGCTTTTGCTGCGATCCTTGCAAATGGATCGGTGGTGACATGGGGCGACCCCAATACTGGCGGTGACAGCTCCGAGGTCCAAGATCACTTCAGAAATGCGCAACAAATTCAGGCCACATTTACTTCATTTGCTGCGATCCAGGCTGATGGAACGATTGTTGCCTGGGGCATGCCTCGCAATGGTGGTGACTGCTCCACAGTAGACGATCAACTGAAGAATGTCGAAGAACTTCAAGCCACCTTGGGTGCATTTGCTGCGATCCGTGCAGATAGATCCATTGTCACATGGGGCAACCCTGATATTGGTGGTGACACCTCTGCTGTCCAAGATCAACTGAAGAATGTGAAGCAAATTCAGGCCACAGAGACTGCCTTTGCTGCAATCCTTTCAGATGGATCGGCTATTACATGGGGCCATCCTGATTTTGGCGGTGACAGCTCTGCAGTCAAAGATCAACTGAAAAATGTGAAGCAAATTCAGGCCACAGACATGGCATGTGCGGCAATCCTTGCCGATGGATCAGTTATTACTTGGGGCCACCCTGATTCTGGCGGTGACAGCTCTGCAGTCAAAGATCAACTAAAAAATGTGAAGCACATTCAGGCCTCAGAGAAGGCATTTGCTGCGATCCGTCCAGATGGATCGATTGTTACATGGGGTCACTCTGAGTATGGTGGCAACAGCTCCGCAGTCCAAGATCAGCTGACAAATGTGCGAGAAATTCAGGCGACAGAGAGGGCATTTGCTGCTATTCTGGCTGATGGATCTGTGGTTGCATGGGGAAATCCCAATGCCGGCAGTTATATCGGGCCAGTTATATCTGAGAAGCTCAAGAACGTGCAGCGACTGGCGGCTTCCCATGGAGCCTTTGCTGCCATTCTGTCAGATGGATCCGTGGTTTCATGGGGCCTCCATCGCTATGGTGGAGACAATTCTGCAGTTCAAGATCAGCTGGTTTATCTTTGAGCTTTGTGACCACTTCTGAACTTCGAGTCTTCACTGGTAGTCAATGGATGATGTAGCACAAGCTGCAATGTGGACACCATGCCCACGCGTTGCCCTGTCTATTTGGGCCGTGAAAACGGTGCCACCTCAAATGAATTGCTCTACATGTATATACATAAGCTATATACATATGTACATACCTATATATATACAGTATACATATAACTATACGTCACAGTCATTGACTTAATAGGTGATAAACTGACAATGAAAATGGTGATATGATGAATGTCAACGATACATGGGGATGAGTCAAAACCTATTATTACCATATTTGGGAGAATAGACATCCATCAACCAGCTATTTTTGTGTACCGTTTGGGTACCAGGGTTTTGACCCATAATTAAACATATTAATTTATATGGCTGATAAAGTCTTGCCAGGAAACTGCGACAGCATGTATAGCAGCCCCCATTAATCACTGGCGATTATACTATCACTCTATGGGGGTTTCCATCAATGGGGGATCCCCATGATTGGTTTGAAAGTTCAAAATGGATGATTTAGAGGTACCCCCAATTTTAGGAAAGCTCCATAGGTGTTCTCACTATCAACTGCTATATATCATACCCTCTGGTAAACTAACATGGCTATTGAAAATTGCCACTTATAGTGAGTTTTCCCATTAAAATTGGTGATTCTCCATGGTTGTGTTAGTTTGCCAGAGGGTAGTTATCCAGTGTGTGCCACCTTCATAGCCCAGGTCGGTCAGTTGAAAGACACCTTGGGATCTCGTCACGAAGTGAGGCCAAAAATGCTGGGAAAAGGGGCGTTGGAAGACCCTTGAAAAAGATATGGTTTTTCACAGTGGTTTACTCCGAGCTTACGTTGGTCTATTGACTTTTCAAATCACTTTGGTAGTCTAACAACACAACAACACATAAATATATTTGTTTTTGATGAAACAACGCGAGTATATAAAATAACTAAAATCCCCGTTGGTTCTCAAATGTTCTCTGCAAAAACGATTTTCACCATGGTTTTCAACACTCATGGTGAGCTCCATTGGTGATTGGAATGATCGGTGAAAATCTTACCCGGAAACTATGGTTTTCACATACAGACATGGGGGTGAGTCCTATAAGTGTTCCTTGAAATCCAATGATTGCGGAAACCAGGCTGAACATGAAGCCTCTTGCAATTGAGCGTGGTTATGGAAAATGGTCCCTTTGTCGATGATTTAGAGGAAACATGGTGGATCTCCATAGCAAGCTGCTGGTTTACTGGAGGGTAGAAATTTAGATGGCCCCCACTATCGCCATGGGCAGTCACAAGCTCAGGAAGATATCTGATAGCCATCTTTTTTCGGCCATCAAAGCCTGACACTATGGATATGGAAGAAAATCTGTTGCTTGGATATGCTTTTTATGGCTTCAAATTTGTTACCCTCTGGCAAACTAACATAGCTATGGAACATCACCATTTTCAATGGGAAAATCCACTATAAATCACCATTTTCAATAGCTATGGTTGGTTTACCGGAGGGTATGTTCCACCCTAGAAATGTGATGACCCAACTTGACTTTCGCATAGGTGGCTCAACCAATTAGATCCAGTCGTCATTGGTATCGCTTCGACATCAATATCCAAGGTTTGCCAGTCGCAGCTGTGAAGTTGGAAACTGCACACATGGAGGCTTAATTATAGATCTAAGTAGAGTGTTCTCTTCCTGCTAGGGAAATTAGGGGGGTCCTGATGTTTTGCTAGACCTGAAGCATATACAAAGTTGTGCCCCCTAGTCGGCTAAAAGTTGGTGTATAATGCCCTCCGTTAAGAGTTAAATCACCATAGCCCTAGTCAACGCAGTTGTGAATTAACTTTGCTAACTATAGGGGAACACCTTGTATCGGTATGGATCAAAGCGGTCAAAACTCTAGATACAGTACGAATGAGGAATAAAACTACCAGCTAGTTTGATATTTACCATCGGTTGGTCCGATAATGGGGGGTGTCAGATTGTCCACATCAATGTGAATTTACCGTAGTGTAACTGGAAACATGATGAGGATGATGAGGATGAGGATGATGATGACCATGATGATGACCATGATGATGACCATGATGATGACCATGATGATGACCATGATGATGACCATGATGATGACCATGATGATGACCATGATGATGACCATGACGATGACCAGGATGATGATGATGAGGAGGAGGATGATGATGAGGATCCGGACGATGATGATGAGGAGGAGGATGATGATGACGATGACCATGGTGATGACCATGATGATGACATGATGATGACCATGATGATGACCATGATGATGATGATGATGATGGCCATGATGATGATGACGATGATGATGATGACCATGATTATGACCATCATGGTGACCATGATGATGACCATGATGATGACCATGATGATGACCATGATGACGACCATGATGATGACCATGATGATGATGGTGATGATGATGATGATGATAATGATGAGGAGGAGGAGGAGGAGGATGAGGATGAGGATGGGGATGAGGATGAGGATGCGGGCGATGATGATGGTGATGATGACGATGATGATGACCATGACGATGAGGAGGAGGAGGATGATGAGGATGATGAGGATGATGAGGGGGAGGATGATGATGATGATGAGGATGATGATGATGATGATGACCATGATGATGGTGATGGTGATGGTGATGGTGATGATGATGATGATGATGATGATGATGATGATGATGATGATGATGATGATGATGATGATGATGATGATGCGGATGAGGATGAGGATGAGGATGAGGATGAGGATGCGGACGATGATGTTGAGGGGGATGAGGAGGAGGAGGAGGAGGAGGAGGAGGATTTTGAGGAGGATGATGATGATGAGGAGGAGGATGATGATGATGATGAGGAGGATGATGATGATGACGATGACGACAACAATAAACAATGGATTTTCTTGGAAAACTTGTTTGGACAAACCCATAATCTGGCCTGATCATTACAACTTCATAAAGGAGCTGAATATCACGGCAGCTCTACGGCATCTCCAGTGGCCTTTGGGGAGGTTTTGCCCTCCGAGGGGGACGGCAGCGGTTACGGTACTACTCATCACTTCCCAGAGCTTGTGGAGAACAAACATGGCTGGGTCACGAAGATGGTGCTGCTTGCGAAAATCGCAATTTCACCGCAGCTTTTGGCGATCGAGGCGCATCTCGCGCCCTTAAGGGTCGAGCAAAAACAGCCCCAAACGAAACCCGGGTTTGTTATTGGAACAGGAGTCCTGCTCTTTGCTGCTGTGGCACGGCGCTTTGATATTGTGACGCGGCAACATGTGGCCCAATGTGTCCAAGCAGGGAAACCAAAGCGACTTTAGTAGAAGTCTCGTCTCAGTGAAAGAAATTGTAGATGACGGTATTTAATGTGAACGGGGGACACGCTTGTCTTCATTCAGCTAGATACATGTGGCGTAAGGGAACATGTTCCAAGGTATGGATATGAAGAAAAACATGACCCGTGTTCAAAACCCTGTTGGTTGATGACTACCGGAAATTATAGGGGATTGTACTACCCATTGCGTATATTGTCACAATACGCTCTGGGAAAGCTAATTTAGATCATGCCTAATACCACGCAAAGCACGAAATCAACAAATTGACAAATTGAGACGAATAAGCATGATATATTACGATATGGAAGTTTCCTGAAATAGGGGTACCCCCAAATCATCCAGTTTAGTAGGATTTTCGATTGTAAATCATCCATTTGGGGTACCCCTATTTTAGGAAACCTCCATATCAATTGCCCTGGGAATAAAACAGTTTGCTATTGAAAATGACCATTTATATATATAGTTGATTTACCAATTAAACATGGTGATTTTCCATAGCTAAGTGTTAATTTGCTAGAGGGAAACTCATCAAGTTGTATAAGCCTATGGGTCCAAGTACCTTCTTAGGAAGTGTTTGGGGTATAATTTACTATGATTTGGAGGCTTTTTGGTACCTTTGAGACAGTGGCCATGGATCCATAGGGTAATCCAGTCATGACTCGGCCAGGCTGTTGCTGCCGAGTGAAGCGACCGAGCTACGAGACGAACAGCACTTGTCCTCCCTGCTGGTCGAGGCCTGGGCTCAAATGCGCTGGGCCGCTGGGAGGATGATGTTTTGGCTGGATTTTTACACTTTGATGGAGGATTTCTTGCTATCCGGCTAGATTTATGGTTGGTGGTGACTGGAACATTTTGATTATGTTTCCATATTTTGGGAACAATAATCCCATTTGAGTAATATTTTTCAGAGGGTTGAAACCACCAATCAGATTTGTTTCATACAAGATGTGTTGGCTTCAGAAACTTGCAAGTCAACTCCAACATCGAACACCCAAGAAGCAGTTCTGGAAGATTATTTTCCAAGGGGAAAAGGACATGTTTGTGTTCCATGTTGGAACGTAGCGGCTCTATCACTGTTTCATTTGACAAACATGGATGTATGCAAATGAGAATGGGTCACCAACTGGAAATAGATCATAATAGATCTACCAACTCCCAACAAAGATGTTCGGGACATAATCATAATCAACCAATCATGTTTTCGTAGCTAATCAATTGAGGACGGCCCCAACTGTGGTTTGGAAGGGAAGCATATAGTCATAGAACCAAAACAATTGTTCGGTTAGAGTTAAATTCAATCAAGTGAGGTAAAATTCCAAGAAAGATTCGGGAGATATGCAGCTAGCATTGGTTTAAAAAAAAACAGTTATTGAAATGGGGGATATCCAAAATGGTATTTCAAAAGGCAGACGTGGAGTAGCTGACTGATTTGGTTTTCAACAGCAGGAAACCTTTGTTTTTGGTGCATTTTGGCCATGGTTTTTGTTGGGTGTTCAGTTCACCTTCGATCAGACCTGTGAATCTGTGTTTCTTGCTGATTGTGTAGCCCATGAAATATCCCAAATACACCGGCATTTCGGGACAATCCTCATACTGCTGCAGGCTGCAATTACTTTAAGTTGATATAAAAACTGCAATTCGGTTATATCCCATGAAATATCCTCATGTTTGATGGTTAAATCCCCCATGTTTGTTTGGTTTAATCTCTTATTTCTGGACACACCCAGATTTTGCGGATTATCGAAACTTATTTTTTAAAAATGTTTGTTGATGGCAAAATCATGTTTTTTCATTGATAACCCCCCATTCCATTGGCATCCTCCCCCTCGTTACCAGTATTAATTTCACTTACAGTAAATCATGATTTTCGCTGGTCAAACCATAATCTCAAACCTCTATATTTAGTTGGTTAAAGTACTTTGCTCACAGTTTTGGTTAAACACATCCGTCATGAATTATATTGGTGTCATCATTTTCCCCATCAAAAAAAACAGGTGTTTTGAGTTTTTTGCTGGTGAAAATCCCAAATTCCTGGTAGAAGCGCCATTTTCTCCGAAAAAATCTGGCCTTCTCTCCGCTAGGACGCCACGCATCTCCTGCTGCGTTTGCTGCGTGTGGATCCACGCTGGTCCTCCGCGCGGCAGCGCGTTTCGACCGACGCGCAGAGCTGGAGGGATTTGGAGGAGGTGGGGAGAGGATTTGGGGGTACCCTCTGGTTATGACTAACATAGCCATGGAAAATGGCACATTTATAGATGGTTTACCTATGAATAGCATGGTGATTTTCCATGGCTATGTTAGTCATAACCAGATGGTAAGTGGAGTTTTTTAACATTTACCCTCATAAACTAATGTGGAAAAGCCAGCAGAGATCATATTTTCCCAACGGAAACCATTGGTTTACCACATCTATGTTAGTTTACCCTGTAAATAGTAGGAGGTAACCGTTAGAAGTTACTTAATCATCAAAATTTTGGATCCAACCAGTCAAAGCGAAAGGAATTTATTTATTGATTTAACTTTTATCCATTAGAAATTTGGATTCGCCATGATCGGAAGTGACTGAACCATCAAAACTTGGAATGTAATCAGCCAAAGTGTGGATTTATGAGTCAGAAAATAGAGAGTTAATGATTTAATTCGCCTTAGACTTTGGATTTAACATGATTTGACCAGCCACAAAGAATATTTAACATTGCTTAGTGGTGTGCGGAAAAAAATGCTTTGGGTGGGGATATGGGTATGGTAAATGGTGAGTTGTTGAACTGGTGATTTGACCAAGTGTAAGTTAAGCCTTTTGGCATGTTGATGATCGTACCACCAGCTGATATTCATGATTCCATGGTATCGAGGATTGGGTATGGTAAATGTATGTAATTGTGGGATTTTTCATGCCTAAAATAGGGATTTAGTTTAAGAACGAAATAGGAATTCCAGTTAACTGAAGTTTGGCATGGAGTGACGGTATGGGGATGTAGGGGGATATAGTGGACTAAGACTATAAAGTGATATGTAACCAACAATATGATATGGGGTTGGTTTGAAAATGAAGTATACTCCAAGATTTGAATGGGAAAAGAGGAGAAGAAGTGAACTTAGGTACATATTGTTGGGCAAACCCATGTACCCCACTTCACGATCTTGATCATGTGCGGGATGGTATTTCAAACCATATCCGAATAAGTCGGGGTCGCATTTGGTAGGATCAAATAATGGATATGGAAATAATGAAAGTACCAATAATTGGATACGTGGAATGATATATTCATATATTGTACAGGATATGTTATGTGCAAGACAATTAGTGACTGGTATCCCATGGGATAACAATGGATAATGATCATTCCCTTCTCGAAACTGTTAGCCTGCCCCAAAAAAAGAATACGCCTTTGGTGGATTTTCGGGTGAGACAGACCAACATTGGACATCCAGGACATCGAACTAGTAGTTCAAAGCCATACCCACCTAATTCGACCATTTTGTTTCTGATAGGTGTCAAGAAATATGATCAACCATTTCAGTTGACACGTTGTACAGGATCTGAGTCCCACTGATTAAGGAATTTATGGGAAGTTTTTTAAGGTCCTTTAATGTCCTTTAACCCATATTTGTTGTGCAGAAAACGTGAAATTCTGGGATACAGTATCCCTTAGGATACCCAATCCTTTGGCAGACCACCAGAAGCTCCAGCATTTTTCCACAGCTTCCCAGGATTTGAAAGCGGATCGAGGTATTGCGCTTCTGGCAGTGGCACAGGAGGGGTGACGTTGCGCATGACTTGCCCAAGCCCGCCCAGTAAGATATGACGTAGATCTATGAACAGATGTCCTTTTCCCATTGGTAGGTTGATTAATAGAGGGGTTTGAAGAAACCCCTTTAACAACAGGTTTCTATGATGATAGATGGTATACCAGCTCCCGGCCCCTCTATTTTTACAAAAAGGACATTATTGGATGATCTATGGATAACACATGACCCAACGAAAATCATCCCCCTAATCTTTTTTATACCCCATTCGAAACCATGGTTTTTTGTGGGGAATTTCCACATTCCATTGGGACCATTTCGGAGGTGTTTAATATTAGGGGGATGGGATTAATCTACAAATGATGGGTGTTCCGTGTATCTATATTAATCTATTGGAGGGTAAATCCATAGGAACTCGTAGGATCCATAGTGAATATTTGCCCGGTCATGAACGAGAGGTGCACAGTTCTCCCAAGTGGACAGGTGTTTTTGAATTGGGGGAGTTTCCAAGTGTGTAAGTCATCAGCGGGGTCATGATGGCCAGTAGTTTAAATCCACACTCTGTATATATATATACAGAGTATATATATATATACAGAGTATATATATATACAGAGTGTATATATATATTTATACAGAGTGTATATATATATACAGAGTATATATATATATATGCAGAGTATATATATATACAGAGTATATATATATATATACAGAGTATATATATGTATACAGAGTATATATATATAATATCAATCAATCTAACCCCTGTCTTGACACATGATGGCCCCACGCACCTAAGTATAGACTTAAACTCAGTTCTCTCCCTCCTGCTACCATGTCCCATTGTCACCAGCATGAGTCGATAGGGTGTTTCTTAATATCCTACCTGTTTCAGCACCATTGTTATCATTCCATTTAAAATTAGATCTATACTTGTAGTATGATTGATGTATAACCTTCTATAAAGCCATTCTTTTGCTTGTAGGACCACCCCAGTTACGAGCTGGTCAGTCTCCATTGCCATAGTGCCAAAATGTGTCAGTTTGTTATGGGACAACCCCAGGAAATGCGCACTTTCTAAGCAGGATAACTAACCAGTTACAAATCACTGGTTGGTGGTTTGGAACATGGCTTATATTTTCCCCAATAGTTGGGATGATTTTCTCCAATCTGACGAACTCATATTGTTCAGGGGGGCAGGTATACCACCAATTAGATCATCATTGCTTCAATCCCCATGTGCATTGATGTGTTGTCAAGTTCTATCCCCATCAAGTTGTTAGTTAAAGTGGGATCATCCTCCAAAAATCCTGCAAGTAATTGGTGGTTTACCCCAGTTGAGTATAGGATAGTATAGGTAAATCCACTTTAAAGTGGGGCTATAACTGGGTGAACCACCAAGCAACCATTCAACTTCATTCAATCCTGTTTCAAATGGGACTTCCCATTGCCAACCATCGTATACCCACTTCTGCAACCCACAGGAGCCTTCGCTCTTGTCGGAGTCGGTCTTTCTATCGGACGCCGAAGTGGTGCTGGCGGCAGCAAAGAAGGACGGTAAAAGATGGTAAAAGCGTCATTCGTCTGGGGTGAGATTGGTTGGGTTGAAGAAAATTATGATTGGCATTGATGAGCAACATTAAATTGGATTTTTAGAGCAATGCAATCATATTGTTTATTGTCATTATATATCATCATCATCATAATAATAATAATCATCATCATCATCATGATCATCATCATCATCATCATATGTAATCTTTTTCAATAGCATCATCGCAGGCATCGATTGTGATTGTTGTATTGTTCTCAAGCTGATGGTAGCAGTCTTTGACCGGCCGTCCAGCAAAACAGGCGACTACAGGGGTCACGAATATCCAGGAGCAGCAAGCCACGGCTTCTGTCAATGTTGAATGGCTTGTTCGGGGGTTGTGAGGCCATTGTACTATATCAATTGACAGAATTGTTCACAGAGATATACGTATGTATTGTTCTGCACTGTCTACTGTACAATTTCATGTTACGTCATTGCATACATAAACATGTCTACTTTAGGTTTATCTATTGTGTGTATATTACATGTATAGAGAGTGTGCTTGCACCCCTAACGCATTGTTATGTACGCCGCAAACTCACCACATCGCGGAAAAAAATCACGGCATTTCTTGCATCGCAGGATACCTCGGTCCTGCCGCTGGCGTCCCACGAGCTGTGGAATGATGACGCTTTTGTTGAAGCAGCCATTGATACTTGGACTTTTTTGTAGGGATTGTCATGGGATTTTCATGGGATTTTGTGGAATTAATGGTACTTTATGGGAATCGAATGGGATTGTAATTCATTTGATGGGATAATATGGTAAACGTCCAAGTGAATCATGGAAAATATCCTGGTTGACGGGTTGAGAACTAGGGACCTACCTACTGTGGATTAGGGGTGCTATTAATGGCTCCCGTGAAACAGGTGTTAACCCAGAAATATTGGTGCAGAGCCAGGTTTGATGAGTCTCTAAACCAATTATTTTTCGAGTGGTTGAATGCCAGTGAATACAGCACAGCACATGTGATTTGTTCACACAAAAAATGCTGATAAGGCTCGCAAGTAGCCAGGAAAACCACAGGGGTCATAACTGGTTGGTGGTTTGGAACATGAATTTTATGACTTTCCATATATTGGGAATGTCATCATCCCAACTGACTTTCATGGTTAAAACGGCAAGTTAGATTACCAGAGGGGGGATTTCGCATGATCTTCCGGTTGGTGGTTTGGAACATGTTTAATTGTTCCATATATTGGGAATAATCATCCCAACTGACGAACTCCATCATTTTTCAGAGGGGTGGCGAAAAACCACCAACCAGGCATTCATATATCATTCAAGACACCAACCAGTCTGGGATAGTCTGGGATGAGGCTCAACCATCTGGCGCCATCTGTTTTTTACACTATCTTATACCCTGACTCGGGGAGTCCAAAGCCTCAGAAGAGCCTTTTTCCCATAATATACATACATATATATATATATATCATAGTTATTTATTTATTTTTCTATTTATTTATTCATTTACACATTATCTAACCACCCAAAAATCTCTGAAGTCTGAGACGTTGACAATTGACTTGGTCAATAAGTATAAATTCAACCGTATTCAACTTATGATGGAAATTTGATACATACAACTAATTTCCAATCATCATTAGCCATCATAAACCATCACTAACCGTCATTGTCCTCCAGTAAGCTAACATATTGGCGAGTTTCATGGATTTGCCATATCTACCATCTGGTTATTTAACATATGGAGGCCATGACCCATTTAGCTCAATGATTCATAATGATTTGCCTATTGAAAATAGATGAAAATAGTGATTACATATACAAAATAAAAAACCTCTATTGGGGATGCTTTATGGCATTGGGTTTACCACATTATAATTCCATCAAATGGATTCTAATCCCTTAAATTCCAATGAAACCCCATTGAATTCCCCTTAAATCCCCTTAAATCCCATTCCCATTTGATATCTATATATCTATCTATCTATCTATCTATCTATCTATCTATCTATCTATCTATCTATCTATCTATCTATCTATATCTTCCTTTACCTTCCCGGCAATTCCCTGTCCCTTTTCGTATCACCAAAGGCTTTAGACGCGAAGAAAGCGGTACAGCTGGCCTTGGACTCGCGGCTGGATGAGCTCAGCGCCCAGCAGTGTCTCCAAGCGGTGCGTCAGGCGATGGATGGGGAGCCTTGAGGGACCAGGATTTCCCCAAGGAACGTATGAATGGTTGATTTTCCTAGTAACTATAGTTAGTTAGCCATGTTATATATCAAAATCATATTTTAATCCATGTTATATATTTATATATATATACAATGTGGGCCACTCCAATAACTCCAATAACTATGGTTTATAGGTGATATATCTATAGTTAATGGGATTATGAATGGTTGATTTTCCTACAAAGTGGGGCCCCCGTTTGATAGCTAAGTTGGTGCAAATAACTCCAATAACTATGGTTTATAGGTGATATATCTATAGTTAGTGGGATTATAAACCAACTTATAACTGGGGGGGCACCACCTGGTAGTAACTATAGTTAGTTAGCCACTGGAACTATCCCAGTTCATGGAGAAACTAGTAACTATACTTAAACTAACTATAAACGCTTGATTTTCTACTTAAAGTAACTATTGTAAGGATCATAGAAACGATATTTTATATAGTAACTATAGTTAGGTTACTGTATAAATATAAATGGTTGATTTTCTACTTAAAGGATCAGTAACTATACTTAGTTAGTCTAGTTGTAACATGTTGTAAGCCACTTGGGAAAAATGGATAGTAACTATGGTTAGTCTGGTAGCCACATGTGTAAATAGGATAAGCCACGAATGTAAAGGACTTACGATCAGCAGGGTGATTTTGGTGAGCAAACCAGTTTGATTGGATTGGTTTAAGGGAAATTTTACAGGAAACCATAGATTTTCCCATGAAATTCAGGGGGCTTTCCTGCAGATTTTCCCTTAAACCAATCCATTGACAGTTACGATCCCTCAGATGATCCTCCAAGTGGGGTAAACCGACAGAAAGATGTGGAACATCCCTGATTTCCCGATGAAAATGGTCGATGAAAATGGTTGATTCTCTACTTAAAGGATCATCCCATGTGTTTCGTTCGTGGTTGTGGTGATCGTAAGTCTGGTGATCGTAAGTCCCAAAAATTGTTTTAAGCTATCAAAATGATGGTTTATGCATGGTGAAACTACCCCGCAAGTTGGGAAATAACCCCTACAACCACGCTCATATAACCACCTATTGTTGGAACTGCACGCCCAAGTCATAGCTAACTTCTAAACGTGGACGATGAACCCGGCAAATTTGGGAGTTATGCATCACCTGTTTTTAGTTCACCATTTGGAAAGCGATTTGAATAGTGAATAGAAAACATTCAAAAATGTATGTTTTGTTTCCAGATGGGGAGATTTCGGAGAAAATGGGAGGATCAAAGCAACAGCGAAGTGTCCTGCCACACGAAGAATCTGCAAGGTGGTGCCAAATACTTAGCTAAGGTATGCTAAGGTGGTGGAAATGACTAGATTAACTCTTGGGATTTATGGTGGATATATCTATGGTTGGACAGGTGTACAAACCAACAAACAAAAGTGTGGTCGAAAAAGATGCACTTCGTACAGTGATTCTACAGACCTACTTGGTAGGGGTACATCATGCCCCAAAGGCCTTCAAGTTGGCTTACAAAAAAATGCGGGAGGCTTGTTGAAAGGATCATGGCAAAAAGAAATAAACATGTAAGAATCATAGTTTTCAGTGAAGACGTTCCTTGAATCACCTCCATTCGACTGGTTCTCCAAGATAGGGGGTCACCACTGTCACCACCCTGGCGAGCACGGCTCCAGAATGGCCTGGTGTTGGAGCTGCTTCCTCTTCCGCTTCGGAGTCCAGAGATATTGCAGGCAGCCATGGAGCAGGCGAGGTGGCAGCGTGGCTCCAAGAGTTTGTGAGATGGGAAATATATAACTGGTTGGTGGTTTGGAACATGGCTGGATGATTTTTCCATTCAGTTGGGAATGGAATTTCATCATCCCAACTGACGAACTCACGAACCATCATTTTTCAGAGGGGTGGCGAAAAACCACCAACCAGATAAATATGGGTGTCTTTGAAAATGGTGGATGCCCCAAAATGCTGGATTTTCATGGTGAAAATGTGAGATTAAGCACCATTTTAGCCGTGGCTTGCCCCACCTTGCAGGAAGCTATGTCAGCTATCCCTGGAGTTTTTTTGGGTGAAGAAACTGATGATGGGGATAGCTATTCACCCAGTATGAATATCTGCTTGGTGGTTTGGAACATGAATGGATTATGACTTTCCATATATTGGGAATGTCATCATCCCAAGTGACTTTCATATTTTTCAAGATGGTTAAAACCGCCAACCAGGTGGTTTAATACCCAGGAACAATTGTTGGATGTTGTGGTTGATAGTAGCGAAATCCCATAAACCACCAATTTGGGATGGTTTTTCAACCCTATAAATACAGGGATGTTTACCATCTATCAACTGGTGCAGGATTTCGCCACCATCTACAGTATGATTAGCCAGTATAATGGATGGCAATTAGTGATTACGCTGGCTGAATGGCTCGCTAGAATCTGCTACAATCACTTTCCCCAATATGAAATACCCACGATATGGCCCCGGGACCGGAAAGGACTTCCTGACAACCGTGATTATACCAAGGTCGGCAAGATGACAAAACTTAGTATCCCGACGAACTCTGACGAAACAACCGTTGATGAGGAAACGAAGCAGCGAATGACCAAATGTGAGGAGCATATCCAGTTATCTGGGAAAATGACGAAAGTGGAATCAGAAGTGTCGGGACTTACATCCTTCCATGGCATGCTGAAGACCTGACCTCATTAGAGGCTACTTCAGCATCTTTTCTGTCCCATGCAAGGGCAACTTTCATCTCAAGACCAGGACGGGACAACCAAGATCCAGATCACCCAAGGACAAGGATGATCAAAATGATTCCTAATCAGTGAGCCAGTCGAACAGATTACCACTGTGCTCATCATTTTTCGTTGGGGTCTGGGTGTTCCCTATATAGATCCAGTACTAAACTAGCATTTTGTCTGCAGGGGTGTTGAAGATATGCGGGGGAAAGGATTATAAACATCAGAGACGCTGTTTGTTTTTTCGGAATCACCTTGCATGATCTGGGGATTAAAGCTGCAAAATGGATTGGTTTTAAGGTAAAATACTATACACCGGACACCGGTCCGGTTGTGAACCTCAAAAATACGGTCCGGGGTCCAGTTTCAATTTGACCTTTCAACCAATTCTAGAAATCAAAGGGGAATTGATCCGATGGGACATGTTTTTTTTTCAGGTAATGTAGGTAAAACAATGCCATAAACCACCCATTTGGTTTGGGGGATGGTTTATTATTGTTTGAACCACATTAGATTATTATACCATAGGTCTGGTTGAATTCTCACAACCACACCCTGGTAGGCTTGTAACTTTGTGTTTTCTGCATACGGGGAACTACACCAAAATGCCTTGTAATAACATATAACGTACATTATCTTGGCATTAGTGTTATATGTGTGGAATAGTCACATTATCTTGTGGGAAGAACACTTATCTTCGTACTCTTATATTCTGGGATATTCTGTTCCCACTGGCTGCTTGTTTCAGTAACCTGTCCTTGGCTGATGGTACCCCATAGTTCAGATGGAATGAACAGCATGGCCCACAAGTTGAAAATAACTGCGCGAATGGATTTTCGAAAAATCTATGTCAGCTATCGTCAACTCCAACCAGGTGTCCGTTTCGTCTCTTCGTTGTTTGGTGCCCTGTTATGATTCTTACGGCTTGTTGGCTTCTGTTCACCCATCTAACTAGACATATAGCCGGAGTTCTAATCAGAGTTGTAACCAGAGTTATCACCATGAATCACCGTTCACCCTGACAGTTCACCTAGCTCAGCCAGGATGTTTGTGCCTTGCAGTTCGCACCCGAGGCAGCGACCGCCATACGGTATAGATGGCCCATGTATGCCCATGTAGTTCGTGCTGAGTTTCCAGGTCGCAAACTCTTAGTGTACCGCTGGCCTAGAGTCACCCCATCACCATCATGAAAGGGTATCCTCAAATAACGGGTGAAAACCTTGCTCTCATGGATGACCCACATGACGGACCATGGCACTGCCTGGGAAGGTGGTTAAAGTTGGATGTATTTTGTTCTAAGTCTTCGTTCAATCATGTTCAATCAAATTTTTACCCCTTCCCCCATTCATATTCAACACCCCCAAATAACTATGGTTTAGAAGGGGAATTACACATAGTTGGGACCATCTATTAGGGGGATAGGATTATATTGGCCAAATCATGTTTTTTTCTGCCAGATCCCAGGTTTTGCTAAAACCTCATTTTGTAAGCACAATGCCAATGTCTTCAGGTTAAATCACCCGATAGCTGGGGCAATTGAATCCATGAAAAACGGCGGATTTTTCAACAGCTTTTAGTTCATCATCACCAAAACCTATTTTCAAAACTTCCAAACATCATGGCTTTATCAATATGAAAACCCACCCCAGGCAAGTTGCTGGCCTATGCCCAGTTACTGGACCCTACCCCACTTCCAACAAAAGGGTGCAACGTCGAACCAGATGCGATTGGGACTATTCAGTAAAGTGACTATGTACAAACGCAGTACAGGCGTCTCATGCGAACCCTTCATCCTGATCGAGTCGGAACCTCACCGGATAATCGCGCCATGGCTGCCGCCTTTGCGACCCTATCCCAGCTCTTTGGAGCGCCCTCCCAAGGAGGATGCCGACCCCCCAGCAGCCGCTGATGATGGCGACGATCATCCTCCACCGGATGTTGCAGCGGCCTCAACGGCCCCACTGACGCCATCACCGGAGGTCTTGGCCAGCGGCACACGACGGATCATGACGCCGGTCGACCTGAGGCGTACCAAACGCCAACGCACTGGCCCAGGCCCATCCACCTGGTACTAGAGCCAGGCGACACGGCGACGGGCTCTGATGATGCAATGCAGCACAGCTGGTGTCTTCCTTCAACTGGACCCACGATTCATTCCTGGCGTTTTCACCGAGGTTTTTCCCCCATGTCAATGTCATGCAACAGGAACCGATAAACATTGGAGGTACCTACCATATGTAATGTGTGTATGTATGTGTATATATATAGAGATAGATATAAGGCCTATGTGTTAGGCCTAAATTTCAGGGAATATCCCCACAAAATATTGTCAAAAATATGGTACTAACGTACCCCCATGTATTGGATCCTGAAATTCCCATTGATTTGGCATCAATTTCCATTTCACTTAGAAACTTGGCGAACGAAATCTGGTCCCCCATTCCAAGGCGAGGCCCTCAATAACATTTCTAAGTTGCTTCATAACCTTTTGTGACTATGATTATGGATGTTTACGCTAGATATATCGAACTAGTATTCATGGGTGTTCCCCTCGTTTTCCTATGAAATCACCATTTTCCCATGGCTTTTCCCCTGGTTTTCCTATGGTTTTCCAAGGGGACCATGGGAACTTCCTATGGATTTTGAACGCTCTCGGAGGCCATGAAGGATGATCCCCGGTTGCTCGAGAAGTTGTTGCGTCTGGACGGCCGCGCCCTGCGTTATGCCTCGCGCAAGTTGCGCGGAGAGAGGTTTGTTTGGATGGCGTGGGGATGGCGTGTGATGGGATGGGGGATGCGTGTGATAGGGATCATCTGATGATTATAAGATTGGGATTTTAGAAATGGCTCTAAGGATTGAAAAGATTGATAAATGGTTTCTATCTATACGTATAATTATATACATACACATAATTTATATCTATAGAACATTGGGATTGGCAAAAATGGAATCAGGCTGGATTTTAGGGCTATGTCACCCCTATGATTCGACAAACCCAAATGGAGATGTTCCCACCAAAATGATGGTTTTTTTCCGCAGGACTTAAGTAGCAATAACGGCGATTCACCGATGTTTAATATGTACCCTCTGGTTATGTCAACAGTGTGCTATTGAAAATGGTCATAGAAAGTTCGTTGATTTACCCATTGAAAAGGGTGATTTTAGTGATTTTCGCTACTTTACCAGTAGATTGAAACATATTGAAACCAAGCAGTAACTCTTCCGTTTTGCCTGGGTTGATCCAGTTGATTCAGCCCACATACGGTTCACCCGGTTCGCCCGGTTCGAATGTTGATTGAATTCTGGATATAAACTCTGTTACTACGTCAATCTTACATGGGTACTTTAATCCTTTAGTTTTTTGGTATTAATGGGAGTATCTACTAACCAGCAAAGAAATTAATTTTTTGCAGGGTATCTAAGATTGGCAATGTAAAGTCTATTAGAATCGGAATGGGACAACATACTCAGGTTACTCCACTTCACCCCGTTCCGAACTGTACCCCAAATTCCAGTGTTGGCTGTAATAACAAGCCACATCATATGTGATTGCTCAAGTCCCTATGTTTTCTCAAATTCCAATTTGGGCTAGTTAAATCCTTGGAAGTAGACAACCTCCAGATCGTCAGGTCACTAGTTCTTCTGGCGATTGCTACATGCCCCCGTGTGGTGCTGTGCGCCAGTGAAGATGCTCGACCCGTGTGGTAAAGGCAGTTGTGGTAGGATATTCGTCACCGACCCCGTAAGGATTCTTTTCCCACACAAGCAACATGGTTAGTTGGTTTTGATTGAATCTATGTCGTGAAAATAGCAGTTTTTGTTGAACAGCACTAACCCAAAAGGATAGAATGTGGTAAAATATGATTTTTATCAAGGTGACAAAAGAAACCTGGTTTGCATCTTTTGGGGTTACTATGTATATTGTATGTATACAAATAGATAGTTTGAAGATGTTTGAAGGTGATGTTGGAGGATGTCAGCCCAGTTTCACCAGTTGGTGTTCTCCCGAAGCCTGGATTCATGGTTTTTTCTGTAGGGAAATCATCCCCATTCATGGCATTAATTCATGTTAGTGAATTATTATTATTTGCCCAGAGTTATGGAAAATTGATGAAAATTGCCCTTAGCTTTCTACGATGAAAATATACCTGTTAGCTTTCTAAGTCAGTTTTGTTTTCGAAAGCTATGTGACATATATGGACAGAGTGTGTTCAGGATACTTCGATGGACTTAGATGGACCGTGGACTGTCAGTGGTTACTTTTTGCGGGTTATAACATGGCCATCTGGGTGGTGGTGACTGGAACATGGTTTTTATTTTTCCATAATATATGGGAAATTCATAATCTCAACTGACTTTCACTCCATCATTTTTCAGAGGGGTGGCGAAAAAACACCAACCAGATGTTATAACCCATGAAATGCACCCTCTGGTAATGTGAAATGTGTTACATATCTATGAAAAACATCCGCATTTTTTACAGAGTTAAGGCATCTGAAAGACGGGCCAACCATTACCATAGAGTGAAAAATTACCGTCATTTGATTAAGGATGATTACCCTCTGGTAAACGTTTACATAGCTATGGAAAATGGCCATAGAAATGGTTGATCTACCCATTAAAAATGGTGATGTTCCATAGTTACGTTTGTTTACCAGAGGGTAAGGGAAAAGCTACAGGAAAGCCCCATATTTGCTGGGAAAACCCACGGTTTTCTCTGGATTTTCCCAAGAACACCAAGCCATTGACGGAGGGTAGCCACATTGATTCGCGTTTGCCACGCGTAGCCTCAGGAAGTGCTGAAGGATCGCGAGGCCAATGGATTGGGGGTATGGATTGTAATAGGCTAAGGATTGGGTCTATGGTGGATATATGTATATATATTTTTTATTATTTATTTATTTATTTATTTATTTGTTTATTTATATATATATAATCATGTGTATATATATATAATCATATATATATATTTATATTTATTTATATTTATTTATATTTATTTATATTTATTTATATTTATTTATATTTATTTATATTTATTTATATGTAATTATATTTATTTATATAGCTGTAGTTAGATGGGCTGTCATCTAAACGGTTTGTTTTGAGCCAACAAAGATTTTGTTGGTTTCGATGAGAGAATCTGAACCGGAAACCATGTTTTTATCCCTAGATTGATTGAGGATTCTTGCAGAATTTCCCTCAAACTCAAACCGCTTCTGGGATATGTTAAAAACAGTGGAAGGAGTGAAAGATCATTTTTCTCATAGAGTAATCGGGGAGACTAATAAAGATGATACCCGTATGTACCCGTATTAATCGCATTATATCCACTCCCCCAAACAACATATACCCTCTGGTTATTTAACATAGCCATGGAACATCCCTTATAAATGGAGGTATTAATGGGAAAATCATCTATAAATGGGCCATTTTCCATGGCTATGTTAAATAACCAGAGGGTAATTATACAGTGTTTGCAGATGATGCTGGCTGCGCTGGTGAAAAGGCATGTAGCCGTGTCAAGAGGCGTTTCAAACGCATGCGGCGTGCTTGGTCTGCTCAGGCGGACAGGTTCCTGTGCGTGTGTGTCTGTGTGAAGCGGCTGAAGAGACGCACATTTCATCCTGATGCTTTCCTGCTGGGCTCCTTTCATGTACGAAATCGAACCATGAAGTATATAGTCTGATCCGTGAATTAACCCTGACGCGAGGTAATTACTATAATATGGTACTTCGTCTAAGTAAAGTGATATAGACAGCCTGCTTTCCTGGTTTTTCACCCTTGTGTGTCGTCGATGTGTTGAACAACCTGCCGCTGTGCCTGGTTTCAATCTTCTTTTCGTTTCTGTTTAGTGCCATTGTTGACTGGAGCGGCTGGAAACTGACTACTGTGAAACAACTTTATGACTTGTATCATGTGGCACAATCCAGGCAGCAGGACATGCTTTCCATGCAGGTGTGCTCACTCCCTTTTGGTTGATCTGGTGAGATCAAGTTGTGCACTAACTCAACAGTTGACCATGTCAGCCGTCGAAGGGTTGAATCGACGATCTCTGGCTTTGAGCCTTATCACGACTCTTGCATTGGAAGCTGGACGCGTCTGAGTTTTGAACTGTTGAATTTGTGTTAAGCTGGTCTCAACCTCTCCTCTGTGTCACCACTCTCCTCGCCGCCGCTGAAACGCATGAATGCCCCTTGCCCAGAGGCACGTTCTCAGCACGGCACCTTCAGATGACTGTGATTTTCGGCCCGGGGGGTTCAATTGCTTTTCCTGCACTCTGTCACGCCGCTGGTTCAGTCCCTTCAACATCAGTCTTCCAAGCTTGCTCAGCACCTTGCCACAAACCAAGCACCTCAATCTTATCATCTATTTCGTGTGAACCATCTGTATAGATGTAAGGTTTCCTTTACTGCAGGGGATATGCAGGTGCATGGCAGCTGTTCCCCTACCCATGCCAACGAAGCTGTGGGATTCAGCCGGAAGGCACTGTGGTCGCACTTTCCTGTACCTGCATATAATATATGTGGAGGCTCAGCCCAAGAACCCCCATCCCGACCCATGGCTTTTCATCTTGCATCATGTCAATCCATGTTGCTTCCGTGTTGGTTGATGCAATCATTGCTTGTGGTGCACGGTTGTGGTAATCTGAATCATTCTGAAATTCATCGAGGTACATTACAACTCAGCTGCAGGGATGGATGACGATGATTTCGTTTCTGCCTGATCTTTGTGTATGACAACTGTAGTTACCTGATGGACGGATCTGAATGTTCCATCCTCTTTCAAGTTTATTGTGGATGTGCGTGTGTGTCATCGTTTCGGACATGGCATCCCAGAAGGTGATGTCATACACGCTAGCGTCACTTGGTTGTTTGTGTTGTGTCTGCAGTGTGGGCGCGATAGCTTTCATAGAGGGAGGTCCACAGCGAAAAATGTAGCATGAATCAGTAGCCTGCATTGGAAGGAGCAGAACGAAACGGCTGCGCCGTTGCGTGCTTGGTGTGAGTCGCATGGGTATGACAGCAGCCTCGATGCCCACTCGCTGTTTGTACTGGGGCACGGGATTCAGAATGACAACCAGGATGGCAAGTTCCGTTTAGCATTTGCTTGCAGAGGTCACCAGGACAGTATAGTATGCAATATAGATGCTTTTTGCTGGTGCGCATGTTTGTCCAAAGGTTTCTAAATCCCCGAGTTCAGAGTAGGAGTAATCGGAATGCAGAATGCGGATTGTCATGCCATAGTTCAGATGCATGTGCCGTCTGGAACAGGAAGTCCTGGAGAAATTGGCTGAAGGACACATTCTCGCTCTGTCTGCGGACAGCACTTTCAAGATCAAGTTTGAGAACTACATCTGCCAAATTATCGGCTTACTCCATCTGATCATCTCCATGGGCAAAGTGAAATCTGGGAAGGGTGGCAAGGGGCAAGTGGAGTTGCCGCGGGTCTCCTTCGCTCCGCTGTGCTTCGCGCTCCTTGAAATGGAAAAGTCCGAAGGTTGTACACAAGCTTCGCGGTGGTATGAGGAGTGGCTGAAGTCCAGCTATCCAAGGGCCCATGCCACGCTCATGCAGTGCAGTGTGACTATCAGTGACTTCAAAGAGTCGGGGAACCGTGCGCTGCGCGGCTTATGTGCCCAAGAGCCGGTACATGGGCACTGCGCTGTGCACATGATCCGCAACTGCACATGCTGGTGAGCTGTGATACTATAACTACTATGCCTGTTGTTGATTGGTTTCATGAAAAGGGACAGGTGACTAGCAAATAGGCTGGTTCAACCACAATCCAAACTTAGTTAGTATAAATAAATATATATATATATAATTGATATACCCTCTGGTAATTTAACGTAGCTATTGAAAATGCCCATTAAACATGGTGATTTTCCATAGCTAAACGCTAGTTTACCAGAGGGTAATAATCATTCTGAACAGTCCAACAAGTTTTGGTTGATATCCCCATTATATCCCCATGTCATATTTGTCAAAACCAGCAATCAAATAAGCAAATGGGATAGGTAATATGGATGTGTCTCGAGGATATTAACCACCAAACATTTCACCTACCAACTCATGAACTGGGTCAACCAACTGGATATATAGACACTTTAGTACAACGTGATCTTCTATGGTATTCTGCTGTTTGGAGATCTATGAACCTATAACCAGCTGAACAGATATGTGCCAAGGTGTGGTTTCTTTCCCAGGGTGTCTAAGGGTGGCCATGTGTAACCTTGTGTCCATTTCTACAAGCCCATTACTAACCAACATATTACAGTCCTAACCATTATTCACCATTATACTAACTATTATTCACTGTCATTTTATTGAGCATTATTCTCACCATTAGTCACCACTAATCATTATCACTACTAGTGACTATCCATCACTAATCATTATCACTAATGATTATCACTCACCATTAGTCACCACTATCATTAGTCACCATTATTACTATCTCATTCCAAATCCATTCCATCCTAGCCCATAACAATCCATTCCATACCATTATTAGCCCATTACTAGCCCATGATCACCATTGGACTGCATTTTTAATTTTGACCATTTTACCATCTGGTTATTTAACATAGCCATGGAAAATCAATGAAATAAATGGAGGCTTTTATGGGAAAATCATCTGTAAATGGGCCATGGCTTCCATGGCTATGTTAAATAACCAGAGGGTAACTTGTCCATGTGTACAATATTACTAATCATCACTACAAACCATCACAAATTAGGATGAGGTTTGTGATGATTTGTGGTGACTAACCATGATTCACCATTAAAAAATCCACTAGTCACCACTAATCATCATTTAAAAATCCATTCCGAATCTCACCCAAGCCATGGTCCATTCCAGTCCAGGTGCTGGGAGCCGCTATGGATGGAGATCCTCAGCTGGCTCAGCAGTTAGCTCACTATGCCACCAGGAGCGCCGCGAGTGCCGCCTGGTCACGAGGGAACGGAGGTCACTTTTAGGGATCCCAAAATGGCAAAGGTACAAAAAAGAGGTGGAAAATCGACCTGTTTTTATACTTTTAATTATAATAGCTAAAATCTATTCTAAAATGGATCTAAAATTGTTTTTTTGGAATTGGGATGATCCCCGAAGGAATCTCCGATGGCAAAGCTTTAAAGGGTTTCACACCACATACTGGGCTGGTGAGGAGCCGGTTCAGGAATCAGGGAACTCACCTATAGATTATAGTTTCAAAGCCTTCTGACAGGATGAATTTTAAAAAATCCATATGTTATTTTTCTGGAGGGTTTGATATGCCCGCCACGTTTTTGCATCACCAATGGTTCACCTGCGGTAAATAAACCGCTTGCTGCTTTGGAATTGTGGGCACAGAATCCTGGGATTCCAGCTGGTGAACTGGCATTCCGATGTTTATTATCTGGTTGCTGGTTTGGAAGATTTTTTTCCATTCAGTTGGGAATGGAATAATCATCCCAACCGACTTTCATATTTTTTTGAGGGGTAGGTATACCACCAACCAGTCAACCAGTTATTATTATCATTGGTATTCCTATATTGCAGTAAACATGGTCCTGGTATGGGAACCACTGAGCCGCTGAAGTCTGGGACTGACATTCTGCATACTGCCAGGACTTGACTTCCGAACGCCTGTCGGCACACACGGAGAAAATGGGCCGTGGAGGAGTTGATTAAGGAACTGCCATGGGCGGCCTAGCCCAACAAGTGGGTTGGTTGATGATTGTAGGGGGTTATGCTAGCCAATTGTTGTGAGGATTGCAAGATCCATCATGCTTCGGTGCATTCAAGTTGTTTGACTTGTTTGCTTTGATAAGTCTCCCACAACCAAGAGCTGAAGGTCAAAACCAGTCCATCACCATCATCACCATGGCTCATCGGTGGCTCAGGGCTTCGACTTGCTCCGTTGCCGTCGGTCATCGGATGACTCTCAAGTTGGCAGCGTGCGCTGCAAAGTCAGCGGCTGGCTGAAGATCTTGATTGCCTACAGATCTACAATCGACAGGCAGATCCTCCACTTTCAGATCCACCTGTCCTGTTGGATGATTTTACATGATTTTACGACACCCATGGCGAAAGCGCAGTTCAAAATGCTGCCAAAACAGCGGGGATCAAACCTACAAGCTTCCGGTCACAACTGCTCACAACCTTGACACTGAAGATTAAACAGCATATAATTATTGTGTTTAGTTTTTTCACCATCCAAAGTGATGAATTCAAAATGTCCGAATGAACTTCCATGAAACGGAAACGTGTTTTTTGTGCGTGTTTTTTTTAAGGATCACACGTGACAATCCGACAAGATGCGGCCGGAGATCCCGCAACTCGCCGTTGGAAAACCATCGTAACATGCCATGGAAGCGGCGCCATGCGAGGATTGGAACTGGAAGAGAGGTCCCGGGATCATGGCCTTGGGGGAAAACCATGGAAAAACCAAAAATAAGTTGGATGGTGATGGAAGATCATACAAAATATACAAAGTGTGGATGATTTAGGATGATTTGGGGATACCCCAAGGAAACGGAAACCTCGGAAACCTCCAACCCATCGAAATTCTTGCTTTTTAAGCATCATTCATTGCTGTTTGACCAACAAAAGATGGCATTTCAGCAACCGAAACGTTTTTAGTACAGATAGAAAACTGTGAATTAGCCTGGGTAAACGTTTACGTAGATGTGGATTTTCCCATGGGTTTTTCATGGTTTCCCGTTCGGAAAATGATCGAATTCCGGTGAGTTGTCCTCCACAGCAGATGTTGGTCGATGTTCTGGGGAAATCATGACCAGCAGCTCCCATCCGATGTTTTTTCTGGGGCTCAAGCACGTGAAACATCGTTTGTTCAGTTCCTAAAATGCTGATCGCTGGGTCAAACAGGCAATGTTTCATTAAAAATTGCGATTGTCCCATTAAAAATTGTGATTTGCCCATTAAAAATATTGATTTTCCCATTAAAAATGGTGATTTTCTCATTAGAACTTGAAAATGGTGATTTTCCCATTAGAAATGTTGATTGTCCCATTAAAAATTGTGATTGTCCCATTGATTTTCCCATTAAAAACGGCGATTTTCGCATTGAAAATTGCGATTTTCCCATTAAAAATGATGATTTTCCCATTAGAAATGCTGATTTTCCCATTAAAAATTGTGATTTTCCATGGCTTTCAACGTTTTTCGTTACGAAAAGCTGAGTTTCTGTGTTTCCTCTGGAGGCCATTTCTGGACAGCGACGATCCCATCCGACCATCGGCGTCCCGGTGTGATGGCCGACCAGAGTTGGACCTTCCCCAATTTGGGGGTGCTAATTACCAACTAAACTTGGGGTAAACCTGGGTTATAATATACATATATATACATACATACATATACATATATATATACATACATATATATATATATACATACATATATATATATATACATACATATATATATACATACATATATATATATACATTATAGATAGAATATGTATATATATTTATACAATTATATAACCCCATGAGAATTACCAGCTATTTATATAGATAAATTGTGGGTCGGTATTCTCGTGCTCCCAAAATGAGATCCACGGCAGATTTGCCGATATTGTTTGGATGTAAAGTGCAGGGGCCCTGATTCCACTGATGCAACGACGGAGGCAGCTGATCAGGGTGATTCTCAGGGTCGATCGGAAGTTACATGTTTAGCACTACATGTAATTCATGCAACCATCAGGTCGTAGCTCAGTTCCCCATCTATTCGTGCAGGTGAACCCCACATGTTTGAGGCTTCAATCATTGAGTTCAATCATCACCAATATGATATCAATTACCCTCTGGTAATTTAACATAGCTATGGAAAATCACCATCTATAGCAGGTAAATCACCTATAAAAAATCGCCATGTTCAATAGCTATGTTAAATTACCAGAGGGTACCAAATCTTTCTTCGGGTGTTTTCAGGATCTATGTGTCCCATCATTTTGGCTGATCAGTTCACCCGCATCCAAAATTGACTTATGCCCTGACATGGCCGCAGCATCAACGACCACCCTGGGTGTCCTCGCAGCTTTGAGCAACGGGGCTTCCCATCCCAGGTCGGTTGATAATCCCAAACCAGAGTGAATCACCCTCCCCTACAACTCATCAACCATCAACCAACCACTGGTTAGTGGTTTGGAACATGTTTTTCCCATATATTTGGAAGAATCATCCCAACTGACTTTCATATTTTTCAGAGGGGTAGATATACCACCAACCAGACCATAATTTGTCAATTATCTCCCCTTTTGGCTGGTTAAAGCCCTATTTGATGGTCAAATTACTATCCAGTAAGTCGTCAACCAGGACGGTTTATCATTAAGACACAAAATGCAATGTAAGTCATCAACCAAAAAGATACTAGACTTGAAAAACAGTTTGTAGATTCCCATGAGAGGTTTCTCTCGTGGCCATTTGATGGTTATCACTTGTCATTAAGACAACCTACAATGTGAGGCCCCCCAGTTACAAGTTGGGTTATAAGCCCATGAATACTATAGATATATCACCAACAAAAAGCATAGTTCTTGGAGTTATGTTCACCACCCTGAACGTTATCGAACGGGGGCCCCCTCCAACCTATGAATCCATCAGAATCCACCAGGTATCGACCCAGATTTGCCGGACACCTGGACTGCCTGGACTGCTGTGCCTGACGCTGCTATGTGCGGCGGGTTTCAGCAGGCGAGACACGTCACAGTAGCACTGTGAATGATGGAGGATTGGGAGGTTTTTGGGGAAACCATGCCAAAATCTCCGAAGTCTTCAGCTTTTGATATACAGTTGAACGCCAAAATGGCAATCTGACTGGTGAAAGTATGTGCAAAATTTGCAATGTTAATTTAAACAATGATGATCGAAGGAAGTTTAGAAGCCAAACTTCCGACAATATGGACAGATGAAAAGCTGAGCAGGGAAGAGGCAGAGAGAAGAGAAAGATCAGAAGAAAGAAGAGTAAATCAATACAAGACATGCATGGACAGATGGCGGAACAATAGGGACGATACCGCTGGTTTCTTCGAGGTGGCGGCCAGCGAGGCAGAGACGTACGCTGCAGAAGAAGCTTGGTCCGACGTCCACGACTCAAACACCAAGGGTTTGAATTTGCCCAAGGTTGGTTGAACGTCTTTTCTCATGGCAGCCCGTGTTTTCTGTAGGTGTGTTCGGAAGATGACTGGCCGACCGAAGAGGGCGATCGCTGGGATTGCCTGCAGGGCCTCAGACTGCAAGACAAGCCGCCGACAGAAACATCAGAATCGGAGTACGGTTGTCCACGTGCTCGCTAGCAGTGTACTCACTGCGTAGAGAAGCTGCTCTGAGGATACATTGACCCTCACACGAACCGCCTCTGGTGGTCCCTGAAGGGAAACAACGAGACTTGGGAGTGGGACGAGGATGATTCCACGTTATATTTCTGATAAGGCCCCCGAGAAAAGCCGAGAACAACCTATTTCATATGGTCGAAGGAAGTTTAGAAGTCAAACTTCCGACAATATGGACGGATGAAAAGCAGAGCAGGGAAGAGGCAGAGAGAAGAGAAAGATTAGAAGAAAGAAGAGTAAATCAATACAAGACATGCATGGACAAATGGCGGAGCAATAGGGACGATACCGCTGGTTTCTTCGAGGTGGCGGCCAGCGAGGCAGAGACGTACGCTGCAGAAGAAGCTTGGTCCGACGTCCACGACTCAAACACCAAGGGTTTGAATTTGCCAAGGTTGGTTGAACGTCTTTTCTCATGGCAGCCTGTGTTTTCTGTAGGTGTGTTCGGAAGATGACTGGCCGACCGAAGAGGGCGATCGCTGGGATTGCCTGCAGGGCCTCAGACTGCAAGACAAGCCGCCGACAGAAACATCATGCCGACGGCGGAATCGGAGTACGGTTGTCCACGTGCTCGCTAGCAGTGTACTCACTGCGTCGAGAAGCTGCTCTGAGGATACATTGCCCCTCACACGAACCGCCTCTGGTGGTCCCTGAAGGGAAACAACGAGACTTGGGAGTGGGACGAGGATGATTCCACGTTATGTTTCTGATAAGGCCCCCGAGAAAAGCCGAGAACAACGTATTTCATATGGTCGAAGGAAGTTTAGAAGTCAAACTTCCGACAATATGGACAGATGAAAAGCAGAGCAGGGAAGAGGCAGAGAGAAGAGAAAGATTAGAAGAAAGAAGAGTAAATCAATACAAGACATGCATGGACAAATGGCGGAGCAATAGGGACGATACCGCTGGTTTCTTCGAGGTGGCGGCCAGCGAGGCAGAGACGTACGCTGCAGAAGAAGCTTGGTCCGACGTCCACGACTCAAACACCAAGGGTTTGAATTTGCCAAGGTTGGTTGAACGTCTTTTCTCATGGCAGCCTGTGTTTTCTGTAGGTGTGTTCGGAAGATGACTGGCCGACCGAAGAGGGCGATCGCTGGGATTGCCTGCAGGGCCTCAGACTGCAAGACAAGCCGCCGACAGAAACATCATGCCGACGGCGGAATCGGAGTACGGTTGTCCACGTGCTCGCTAGCAGTGTACTCACTGCGTAGAGAAGCTGCTCTGAGGATACATTGACCCTCACACGAACCGCCTCTGGTGGTCCCTGAAGGGAAACAACGAGACTTGGGAGTGGGACGAGGATGATTCCACGTT